GCTTAACAAGCCAAATATATGTTTAGTTGCGTGAATTCCTCTCTTGACAAATCGAATCATCCCTTGCTATAGACTTCTACGAATAAGCAAATTTATAGGCCTTGTAGAATCGGTTGATGGTTCGAATGATTTCATACCCATAACAGAGAAGCCACCGCAGGTTATTTTAGTTGTGAACTGCGAAAGGAACCAAAAAACCTTGTCCCTCGGTAAAACGAACTCCCGATATAACAAACTATTTTCTGGTTCCCTTCAGAGTTCGTTATATCGGGATTCCACTGTTTATTCGACAAGAGCATAAGTTAAGTCATGCGTGTGGCTTCTAGAAGTTGCCTAGGAACAGCCCCAGCCTAATGATGCTTTAGAGGGGGCCTATGCGGGTGAAATTGAGAACTCTGCAAAATGACCTACCAAGAATCACCTTTGGGATTTTGCTAGTTCTGATTTCATTCGCAATCGTATGTTTCCATAAACAAGGAAACTTACAAAGAAAGTGATATATCCTTATTCTAAAATCCAGTATGCAAAAGCTCAAACAAGGAAAATACTTCAAGGACTTGTTTCAAGATAAACTGCAGTCTTCATACATACAAATGAACAACGTGAAGTGTCCTAAGCATTCATTGGAACATTTGAGAATGTATTTTTACTTTAATGGTTTGCAATTTTAAACATATATATTTTCCCTAGACTCCATCTTTCATCGAGAAAACATTTTACAAAGAAAATATCCATCTAAAAAAAACTTTTAAACCAACGACCAACTCTTTGCAACAGTGATTCGTTTTCCTTCTTAGTTCCTTCCCTCTTATTCGCAGCAGGACCAGGCGATTGGGCGACATTTTCAAAACTTTCTTCGAATCTTTCCACTGGCTTTGCAGCTTTCACTATTTCTTCTAAAACGCCAGATGGCGATGCATCTCTTGCTGCATCTACAACTTCTTCCTCTTGCTTAACAGTTTCTGCTACCTCTTGCACTACTTCAGGTTCAGGTGACGCGATGGTTTCTTCCTTTCTAGAAAGAACTGGTGCTTCATGCTTTGCTGCTTCTACTACCTCATCTGCGGCTTCAGATGGTATTGGCCCACTACCTGCCTCAGTTGCACCGATAACCTCTTCTTCCGACTTAACAGTTTCTGCTACCTCTTGCACTATTTCAGGTTCAGGTGACGCGATGGTTTCTTCCTTTGTAGGAAGAACTGGTTCTTCAGGCTTTGCTGCTACTACTACCTCTTCTACGGCTTCAGATGGTATCGGCTCACTAGCTGCCTCAGTTGCACCGATAACCTCTTCTTCCGACTTAACAGTTTCTGTTATCTCTTGCACTACTTCAGGTTCAGATGACGCGATGGTTTCTTCCTTTGTAGAAAGAACTGGTGCTTCATGCTTTGCTGCTTCTACTACCTCTTCTTTGGCTTCAGGTGGTATCGGCTCACTAGCTGCCTCAGTTGCACCGATAACCTCTTCTTCCGACTTAACAGTTTCTGCCACCTCTTGCACAACTTCAGGTTCAGGTGACGCGATGGTTTCTTCCTTTGTATAAAGAACTGGTTCTTCAGGCTTTGCTGCTACTACTACCTCTTCTGCGGCTTCAGATGGTATTGGCCCACTACCTGCCTCAGTTGCACCGATCACCTCTTCTTCCGACTTAACTGCTTCTGCTACCTCTTGCACTACTTCCGATTGAGGTGAGGCGACAGCTTCTTCCTTTGTAGAAATAGCTGGTTCTTCAGGCTTTGCTGCTACTACTACCTCTTCTACAGCTTCAGATGTTATCCGCTCACTAGCTGCATCAGTTGTCCTAACAACCTCCGCTACTTCTGATATAGGTGACGTAATAACTTCTTCCTGTGCAGGAAGAGCCAGGTTCTGAGGTTTTGCAGCTTGTACTGTCCCTGCAGTGGCCTCAGATGACCCAGGATCACCAACTACTTCAGTTCTGTCTTAACAGCTTCATCTCCTACTTCTAATGTAGTTTCAGCCGACTGTGAGGTTTCCTTGTGCTTTGATGGATTTATTTCCTGTTGCAGTGTAGCTACTAGAATTTCTGTTGCTGGTGTTTTGGCATTGATCGTTTCAGCCGCTGCAGTAGCTCCTGTTGTTTCTGCTAATGTCTTGCCAACCTTTTCATTCTTTCTCAAGTTAGCGAGGGTCTCTCCATTGAGTGTAGCATCTTGAATTATAAGGGAGAGTTATTCAAATTTTCATGCTGGTAACTTGTTGGAAAACTACATAAGAAAAATTTAGTTCATGCACAAAACACATGCCTTTTTAGGAATCTTGTGTAGACTGCTCTAAACTGTGTCAGCTGATTGGCAGATTGTGGAGTCTAGTGCATACCCTCTCCCTTTCCCTCTAGACATCGTAAATCATTTGTACTTTTGCAGTGGAAAGACCTTTCAATAAAGTTCTGTTTTTCAGATAAACATTTAAGTAGAAAAACGAAACAATAGCCCCAAATACCTTCCAATAACAAAAAATATCAAACAATTGCTAACTGAGAAGGATAGCTGAATACCAGCTTAGTTTCTTTGACCGTAACAGGTTTTGGAACTCTTCAGCTGTGTCGCTGTATACCAGCAGAGCTGCAAATGGCATTCTAAGTTCTTTACATTCATGCAACAAAGTCTCTGTGGATAAATTACCTTTTGGGTGCTTTTTTGACCTCTTTTTAGCAAAGGCCAGCTGAGTTCGTCCTGAAACGTTTCTAACAAGAATATGGCTGAGATTCTTTGAACCAACTGCCTAAAAGAAACGAGTCTTCTTCAACTAAAATTAGCGATTGTAAGTTTAAACATATGTTTGGATTGCATGATATTCAAGCTGCTTTTTACATTTTAGCTCCATCTTAAATGGAAAATTGATGTTTATAATCCTTGAAACATACAGGCTAGTCAGTTATGTATTTTTAGCTGTCGATACAATTGGCAGTGGCGTGCTATGAGACGGGCTCACTAGCTGCCTCAGTTTGTGAACTAGATATGCAGGCGTAAACTATTTTTCAGCTTTTATCTAACATATAAGCGATACTGAATTTTTTGTGGGAATTCAACAAATTTTCCTTTACACAATAGAATAACAGTTAAAATAATAACAAGCCCTTCGTTTTAGATAAAAAAAAGTAATCGCAGGATTTTCAATATACACACATAAAAACAAATTCTCTCACCTTTTTTGCAAATTGAAGTGATCTACTGGTCATTGCCATCGTTCGGAAACCAGGTTTACTGCAGCACTTTAAAATCTAGGTAACAACGTGTGCTTTGGTGACGGAAACCTCCATTCTTACCCTGGTAATTTTCTGAGCCGTAACAGACTTATGTAATTCGAGACCATTTAACCACAAAACAACTTAAACTTGGTTAGAACAAAAGGATATTGGTTTTCTGGGCAGTCTTTCTTTGTTCGAAGTTTGCAAATGTATCTCTTCTCTCCTCTTGGTAATCCGTAGCATACGTGATCGTCTACGTGATGGTCCACGTGACTATATTGTCAACAAGTGCTTGGAAAACGTGAACACATTCATAAATAGTTTGGCGAAGCATTGTGACATACGGCTTATTTGAACATACATTCTAATGTTCCAGGCACAAAGTACGCAAAACAGATCACAGATGCAAAGCAGATTACAGAATGAATATGGAACGTGTCGGTTAGGGTTCATTTAAAGAAATTTCTGTCATTGCACATATTCAAAATTTTTGAAGACTTGTTTGTTGCCTTCTTAAAAATTTTCATGATCACACCTATCAAACTAACTGTTAGCGAAATTTTCGAACTACACCAGCTATTATCAAAGCCTTACGAGAGATTTCGACGAGGAAAAGTAGTCCAAGTTTAAACATGTTTTCGAGATTAAAGATCTAAAGGAGAATATGAAAGACGAAACAAACTAGATAGCTTCTGGATACTGAATAAATTTTAGAGAAATTTCATAGATTATGATCATTGTTACTGTTATGTTTATGTTTTTAATACTGCAATGCTCTTTTTTAAATGTCTACTGGTAGTTGCTGCAATTTTACTTTTTCAATAGCAAATCTCTTTAATTTAGTTTTATAACCGCACAAGAATTGAGTTGATCACTGCACCATTACGATTTTTCACCGCACAAATTTTTTATCACTGCACGTTAAAATAAACCTTGGGTCGATAATAGTTCGTTTACTGAGAGGGCAGAGGTGCGGGGATTTTTTTCGATTGATGTGACCCATAGTCAGTTGTGTGTTGTGTTCAATCTAAAAACTATTTTTAAGAGCCAAAAAACTTATTATTTGGGGCTTACTGTTAACGCAGAGACGGCGTCACAAAAGTGAACCTGGGGATGCTAAGAAAGAGGATTAGTGACCCACAATCTTTAAGTCAATCGAGCAAGAAATTCTTGAAAGAAATTAGGATGGCTAAAAAAGCATCTCCAAGACTAAAATTTAGCAAAATACTATACCGCTCAGAACAGACAATTCGACGTTTTTAAAAAGACACTGATTATTGTTTATTGGGAAAATGATAAGGCGAGGAGTCATGCTAAAACTCTAATGACAGACCCTTGGGCTTGGGAAAAGAAAGAAAAATGAAATCACATGGTGAGAAACGTTAGACTCCGAGCGCGTACAGTGAAGTGTAAACAATTTAGAAATCTTTTTGGAGGATTATTAGTATATATGGTAGAGGAGGGACAGCAAGATTTTTTTCAGGCTGGCAGGGGAAGGGGAAACTTGCAATCATATTGGCAGCACTCTGGCTCAAAGTATAGAGTTCAAATAGGTTAAGTTGAGAAGGTACGTCGGTAAATAGTGCCAGAGAGGGGAACTTCAGACTGGCTGAAAGACTAACTCATCTGCCGGGAACAAGGAAAAAAGAAAAATGCCTGAGTCACTCAATTTTTCCGCAGGGACTTCAAGGAATGATTTTCATCGGGCTTGTAACACATGGGTGTTCTAAAGGGGCCTATTTTCATGAGCCCTCTCAAAACACCCCTGTTTGGGGTGCCACTGCGTGGGAGACTTGAATAACGAATGATTTCTGAAACGAGGTAAAGCAAGAATGGTTTCCCTGGTCTTCTGTTAGTGCCACTGGTTTTTTCAATTCCTGTAGTCTGGGCAGCCAATCTCGTCATGGCGATGGTCAATGGTGCATCGAAATTTTTGAGGAAGGTTTGTGCTTATTTCTTTTAGAACGATGAAGAACAATGATGGAAAAATGTAAACAAAACTTTACTTACACTTGCTTTGTTATTATTGGGTTTCGGGGTGTCGCTGTAATGCAAGTTGGAAACGAAACAGTCAGCCCTCTGTATACAAACAGCCGTATGGCACCTGCACAACCTAAATTTGACCAAAAAACATTAAATGTCTAGTTTTGAAAAGTAAAGAACCTTCTGTCCTTGCAGGTTCTAGATCTCAACAGACAAAAAAAATTAAATTAATCCTCAAGACAAGGCTTAGGTCTGATGCAGGGTCCATCAAATGCACACCCGATATTTCCCAAAAAATAGGGCTGCTCAAAAAATTGGAGACTTGCTATGACATTATAGAATTTTATTTTCAAATGGAGCGGGCATTGTTAGCTGTTATTTATGCTCTCATGCTGCTATGCAGTTTCACACCTTTTGGACATTAATCAATAAGTATGATTACATGTTCTGACCATATACTAGGAGATGCAAAACTGCAGTAGCACTCGCTTTCTTCTCTGAATGAAAGTATGGCCACTTTAAAGTGCAAGTACAGATTCAAGTGCAAGGAGAACACCTGAATCTTTATTGATAATTGCCATTACTCAGAGGATTCCCAGTATGAAATGGTCTCATGAGAGTAGAAAAGAATTAACCAAAAATATTGCATGTTGCATTCATTTTAAAAGCACTACACCAAGGATCCCTATAATAACCTTGTTTCAAAATTAATCTCATTATTCACTTTATGGTATATATCTAAACATTGTGCAATGTTATGATAAGATTTTTGGGTTCGACACCCAACAGAAAAATCATTTTTACTTTATTTATATGGTTTTATTGCCTTCTACAGTGATCTGTTCAAACATTTAAAAATCACAAAAGCATTAAGGATAGGAGATTTTATCATTTTATAGCTATGTTCCCTTCTTGTACATAAAAACAAAGAAGCAGGGGAAAGATGAGGTGTACTTGTTACCTCATAATCTAGGAGCCATCATAAGTCCAAAGATACTTGACAAATACAAAATTGGTTAAAATATATTGTAGCTAAATATAAGGAATATTATACCTAATGGTAAATTTACTAACTACTACACCTGAGGTTTTAGTCCGCTGACAGAAAACCACCAGTGTCTGACAGGGCTTGTTATGCTTGTTATGACAGGGCTTGTTATAACTAATTAAACTTGTTAGCTATTTTCATTTTTTCATGTTTCACTTTTTCATATTTTCACAGTATTTTATCACTTTTTCATGTTCTCTCTTTACAGATTTCAGCTGAAAACTTACAAGCAACAAGAACATTCATTTCTGCTAAGCAATTATGTGCAAAAAGCTCACAAAACAAAGGTACTACAGTAATTTACTTTTAAGAAATGTCTCATTTTCTACTCAAAAGAAGCACCATTTATGCACCATTTCATACTGTTATAATGCTAAAATTTATAATGTAGGTGCAAGGTATACCTATTTTTTAAAAGTGCTTCTTGTCACAAAGCATTTTTCTCCAATCAAAACCTTTTTTTGTTTAGGAAAAGGGAAAAAAGTTGAAGAAAATAAACCAGTTCAAGAGATACCACAGAATCAAGAAGAATACAATAAGTTTGTCAGCAAATACAGAAATGAAGATTTTTTCAACTATAATGACTATTCCTATTATGATATAGAAAATGAACTTCTTCAACACAGACAGCCACAACCAAAGAAGCCTGCCCTCTTTTAAAAGCTATGAATTATGCTGTTTGTTTTCATTTGTCATGGAAAGTTCATCATGTTGAGATTAAAGAATTCCCTTTTGTCTGTAGGCAGTAAGCAAGAAAAAAAGGCTTGTAAAAACAAATTTTTTCAATGAGTGAAAACTACAATTTCTATCTTCTGAATGATTCAGCTCAATCAAAAGTAACTTAATCATTTTAAAACATTGAATTTCATCAGGTGTTTGCTGTATTCTCATTGAGATACCTAAATCATCTAGTGTAGTGTCAAATCATGTGAAGACAAGCTTTGATGACGAATACCCAAATCCTTTGCTACTGCTATTGCATTCAAAGCATTCATTCTAATTTCTTGGAGAAATACGATACCTGAAAAGGCAAAAATTAATGATAGTTGGCTTTGGAAATTTCAGTCATGAATGTCTTTTCAAGAAGTGCCTTGCTATTCCTTATTTAAAGCCATCAATTTTGATGTCTGTTAGATGTTAATTGCATTAACAATTGTCTAAGTCAAGTGGACAGGGTTGACAAATTAATGGATCTAATCACTGTAATTTGGTCCCTGTTCTAAACTTTATGCACCAAACCAAAAGCCAGCAATCTGCTTTCACCCTATTCATTACATATTTGAAATATTCTACAGTTTTAGTTGTATTTTATGGTGCTGTTCTGGCTATGTGGTCAAATATAAGAATTGAAAATATGTTTTATCACAAAACACTCTAGAACTCTATTGCATGCCAATGTGTGCTGAGAAATCACCAAAACAGTATCTATATGGAATAATTAGAGGTTTTTATTGTTTGTGATCCACTCTTGCTATGAAATTTTATGAATACATGACTTTTCAGTCAATACTTTCCATCATCATCATCATCATTACATTTAAATTTAACAACCCTTTTGGGTCATACAAATGTCTGCCCAGTCAACTACAACATTAAAATTTAAATGAACATGCACTTGATAAACAATGGGCAACAAGACCATTTGAGTTTTAGCATTAATACTAATCTCTCTTCAATATTGATGTCAAGGGTTTTTATTTCTAAAATATTGCCTACAACAAAACTATAATAATTAATGGTATAATAAAAAGAACTTTCAGATTCTTTGAAAGTTAGGATTTGATCAAGCTATTGTGAGCCAATTTAGATGTGTATAAACATTTTTTGCTTAATACAATTGATTATGTCACAGTAAATTTCAGTTATAGTGAGAAGAATTTTAATGACAAAATTTGATCAATTATGCTTTAACCTTAAAAGCTGCCTTCATTCAAAACCACTTCCAAAGACTTAATTTCAAAACAAATTTTTGAATAACTCCATTGTTATCTTTTAACTTCGGGAGGAAGTTTTGTACACAACTTAGATGTAACAATTATTTTCAACTAACAAAAACGTATAAAGCATTTATTTAATATTTAATTGTTTTATAAACATATTAATAAAAGACTGGCATTCATTTCATGGTCATAACTTCCATTATTATCATTAACAAATAATTCTATTCACAGCTTAATTCTTGTCAAAGTTTTTAAAAAAGATTATCCTCCATTGACTGAAATTCCATTTCGTACTAATTCAGCCATCGTCATCATCCTTATCAGATATGCACCTCAATCACACAAATTTGCCAATTCACAGACTAAAGTGCAAACTTTCTTTGTTATGTTTTCAGCCTATATAACTTCAGAGCTGAATTACACTGCACAGAATCATTTAAAACTCACCTGATTTGTGAATCGTCATTTTCAGTAAATTTGCGACAAATTGCTCTGCAATCTTGCACATCTTGTCGCACCATCTCCAGTAATTTTTCATGTTGCTTATTCAATACAGAAAAGAATTTAAGTTTGTTTTTGAGTTCATTCACTTTATCCTCGTCGCATTCATTTTCGTAGTTTCCAAGACGCGTCTTTTCTTTTTCAATTAAAATATCTTGTGTTTCTTGGGCAGTTTTGAATCTTTTAAGGTACACACTCAGTCGGTGGCGACATTCGGCGGTTGGGGCGCCAGCTTTCGCCCGGCTTCGCCAGTTATCCAACTCGACGCGAATCTGCAGTTCCAAAGACTTTTTCTCTTTTTGAAGTATGAAACACTTGCCCATGAAATGTTCAAATTTGGAATCTATTTTCTTTGGCATTTTTGAAACCTGATTAAGAGAAATTATTTCAGTCAGTATAATAAACAAAGTAAGTAATTTTAGGGGTTTTTCATTTACCAAGTCTGGAGCCCCTTGTCCAAAAACTCCCTTCTACGCGTTTTTCCTAAATAAAATTTCATTTGTATTTTTTCTATCGACAATATACTATTCAATTACCAGTGATGTGGCTGGACAATTTAGTTGGGGGGGGGAGGGGTATTCTGAAAAAAGTGACCAACTTCACTTTTTTGATCAACTTTAACTCCTTAAAAATGTATTAAAAATTAAATGGAATGTCATACACACTTAATGATAACAAAGGTAGAGCAAATAATGGCGTGAAAGTATAAGGAAATTAAGTTTGCAGCCTTGCAGAAACAAATTTTAGTTTTCGCGTTTTGGGGGAACCAATAAGCATGTTTTTGCGAAAAACCAATTTTAGGTTAATTCGTAAAAATAGATTACATCTTCTTTGAGCTCCTCATAACAATAATTTCAAATTATAAATTTTCCTATAACCTATAAGAATTTTAAAAGACTTCTGTGGCAAATATTTTTAAGTATGCTAAATCTGTAAAATCTTGAAGTTTCTCTAATTAAAAGTACTTCTGACTCAAATATTATTGGAAAACATCCAGACTTACCATGAGTGAAACGAATTATTAACAAGCGAAAAATAATTTCCGTGTAATGAAGTGGGGTATGTATTATTGTAGTGTGTTTAGAAACGCCATGTGACGAGCACGGAATTTGGAAAGCTCATTCCAAGATGGCTACTGGCTAAGCTCATTCCAAGCTCGAGATTTACTTCGGCTACAAAAACGCTACAGGGCCAGCGAAATGTATTTGAAAGTGAAGGGGCCAAAATATTAAATTTAGGTAAGGTCAAAGAAAGGCCGCCACCATAGTTGGCGGCAAAAAAGATTTAAGGAATATATGGATCCTAGGATGGCAAGAAACTCTATCTAAAATGGAATTAGGCTGGAGGAAAATCTGAGGCAATATTTTCAAGCTTTCTTTTATCAATTTGTCCCATAGTTCCGCCTATTGTAATGTTGAGATACGTTTGCAACGTTTTTGGAAAATTTTCTTTTAACAAATAGATCTTGCGAGCCAAGTTCAGGAAAAAAAACAAAACTTCATCACTTTATGCTGGCACCAAGTAATTCTGGATCTTTTTTTATCTATTTCCTAAGCCATTTTATATGTCTTCTATGATTAGAACATGGTAACCAAGCTGGAAGTAAGGGCATTTTTAAGAGAATACTAGGCAAAGTTACTTGCAGAATGTAGGCTCCGTTTCTTTCCCCTTTTCCTAAAACGTTTTAATTTGCTCTGCAGAAAAGTTTGGGCCATGGCCCTCGGACCCCCGACCCCCCGGTTGCGCTGGCCCTGCGCTATAGTAAGTTAAGAGGCTGAAATAAGCAATCGACTGCATCTTATAGCCGTTAGTTATGGCAAATCATTTGCAATATTACCAAAAGAAAATTGAGTATGACCAACCAGGACCAACAAAATATATTAATTTCGAGTTGACATTTGTTCAAACTTCCTAATTAACTCTAAGGTCCCCTTCCTAATTAGCTGCATGACCAACTTTATTCGAGTTTTGCAGACATTGCAGTTAATGAGTTAAATCCTTTAAATTCCTACAAAAACTGTTAAGTTAATTTGATCAAGCAACTGCTCAAAAATTTCAGCATAATCCGCTATACGAAACTTTTCTGAAAGCATCTTTCTCCCAACAAACGGTAATTTCTGACCGCATTTAGTTCAAAACTCTTGTCACTACTCTAAAAATTGAATAAAAGTCGAAAAAATGGAACGATAAAATTACCATTTTTAGGAGACATATTACTTTAGCAAAGTTTTTTAATAGCTAATAAGTCTTTATAATGTCCTCTGGACTTAAATCTCAGATGAAAAGCACCAGAGGCAATCGATATGGCAACCGCTATTCTAAGGCCTTTTGTGTACAAAATTTTCTCGTCCATCCCCACAAAGCTTGCAAATTCTATGTACGGTCTGAGCCCTAGTAAATCTATTCATTGAGATTTTCTACTTTTTATAAAAAACAGCGTAAAACTTACCTCAATTATGACAAACCTTTACATTGAACAGGACAATGAAAATTGCACATGAAAATGAGACAAACAAACATGTATGGAAAACACTAAAACACAAACAAACCACATTCATTACAGACATACATACAAGCAAAGTTGAAAATTCCTCGCTTACGAAGTTTTATTGAAGATTCTAGTATTGATAATTTTTTCCAACACTTTTCAATACGGGATTAGCTTATGCAAAAATTTTTTTTTGTCGAAAAATAAATTTTTATTGGCCTACGACGACGAAAATTTTACAAATAGATACCTGGTTGAAAAATCGCCATTTCATTTCTTTGCAGGTTTAATAGGCAATATTTCCTTCCTTCTAAAAAGAAATTTGCAGCCTCTCTGGTCGACATGGTTGGGATGCACCACAGCAATACTGCACTGTACTTTAGAAGCCTATTGGACTTATAAAACCTAATACATGGTTCATAGTTACAAGTGCATTTTTAAAAGTCTTAAATTTTCTAAGGAATCATCGAAAAATTTCAGAGCTTTTTCAATAGCATAGGCATAAAATGTTTAATGTAAGAGAAATGAGCCGAATACAAGAGATGGGTACGAGTTGTATCATCTGCATTTCAAGTTTGTCATTAAAGTTACAAGGACTATCTCGGATTGGGCATACAGGCCATATAGTGTACTAAATATGTGTAAGTGAGCATATGAGAGGTATCTAACAATACAGTATTGGAACATGGTATTTAAATTATGATCTCTGAAATTGCATAAAGTGGATTGCTAACCCAGGAAAAAGTAAAAGGTTATGATGATATCCTTAATCATAATGTTCTTTATAATGGCATTCATTTTTTTCATACAGAAAAACCAATTGCTAAAAACAAAACATCAGTTAATCTAAATTCTTCATATTAACAGCAAAGGAGAAACGTGGTTCACTAACAGCCAACGATGAAGGTACTGCCATCTCACTGTTAACTTGTTGATGCAAATTAAAATAAAGCTAAAGGGCTAATCGCTGAACTCGTTATCTAATTTTAGTATTCAGTTTTTACTATGACATCTAGATTAAGATCTCCATAATAAAAACTTGCACAGTATTTTCAATTTAACTGAATCTGGGACTTCTGCAACATTTACTTCGGGTTTACTTCAGTTAACAAAAGAGTAGGTCGAACTGTATCCAAAACCCCGGACACAAGAATTTGGAACATTTTATTTAAGATGTTTAATCACTGTTCCAGTTCTGGGAAATTCAATTACTAAATGCGATGTAAATGTAAACGCTTTCCCTTCAAATCCTTTTTTGTTGAGAGAGTTTCTCTTAACACTTTTATCTACCCCATTCCTATCTATAATGTTCTAGTACTCCAGTAATTTTTTGTGATATTCCATGTGGTGAAGTTTTGTACTGTTAATGATGCTATGATGTTGAGAACTTGAAATATGAAACAGGAACTTTATTAACGTTAAACGAAAACTTTGGCCCAGGCCTAGCAACCTAAGATCCGTTGGGGAACTCAACGCATCTTCTGGTGCATGAAGAAGAAAGGTTCTTCATATAATATGCAATACGGTTTTAACAACGTGTTTACGAAACCTTGTGTTACCGCCTAACCTGGACGAGGCAGCACACAAACAACTTGAATAAAATACGCTTACCTTGACACACGAAGCATCAAACTGTATGGGAATCTGAGGGTCTTCAGAAATTTCTTCAGCAACAGCAACTGCCATTGATGCTCCCATCACTGAAATCAGAGAGCAAAAGATAAATATCAAATCCTGCACATGTCAAAGCGTTAATAAACAATACAGATTCTAAAAATTGAAATAGCTTTGTGGATTGGCAATCAACAGCTTCCCGCCAAACAAAGTGGATAAATAATACTTGGAGGCTTGCCATGAATTTCACAGATCTGCATATCACGTGTATATGAGAACTGTTCACGTGCAGATCAACTTCAAGGCCCGATGTATTTCAAAGCAATCATGTGAAAAACTAAATGTTCCCCAGGCGGCAGAACTTTCGGGAAACTATGTTCAAGTACCCTAAAATAAAAAAACGCCACCATTCCATTCCATGGTTTAAACTTGTCAAGAGCAACTTAATCATAAAACATATTCTTATAGGAAGACTTAATTTTTGCTGAGCCTCAATATTCTTAAAGTTTTAAGACTCTGGGTCAAAGATTATTTTTATATCATTCTTAAGCGACACCAAGTGTAACTGATCCGCATTATAATGTTAATTTCAAAATATAAAGCGTGAAACTCGCATTTAATTTTCCTTCCAAAAAAACTCAAATAAACAAAAAATTTAATTCTGATGAAGCTTGAATCTTTGAAGCTTAAATTTCATTGATTTTGAGCCTTAATATCACATTGAATACGAGAACCTCTTACGAGAACTACCTATGCAAGTTGTAGGGGGAGCGGCTCCGACACAAATTGGAAAGCAGGGGGTTTGAGAGCAAATCAAAGACCAATGACAAACGATGTTGCAGAAAAGCTCTTTGGGGGCAGGCTGAGGGGGTTATTTCGGTAAAAATCGATCGACACGCCCTCAAATACTTCAGCACTTCCATTGGAAATCGTCGAACAATTGAAAATGCCCCTGAACACTATTGAGCACTAAACATTAAGCAATAATCTGAAAGAAGATAAACTCTTTTCTTTTTATAAGAACCAGTAAATTTAAATTCAGGCTGACTGTTCTTAATTTTTCCGAAAATCTGACGCTGGATTGTTCTTCATTTGTTCTTGAATTAAGATGGTGTGAGCAGTGCAATTGTTAGCTTTTTCGCTTTAGGGAGGTGTTCAGGCCTCATTTGTGAGTGAGACAACCTTCATTTGCCGGAAAGTTGGAATCTTCACCGAAAAAGCACACACACATGGCTAAAAATCCTTGTTTCTGGAATAAAACGTTGTTTAGAATTGCATTTTACAGTAGCTCAGCCTCAGCTTGTTCTTAATTTGTTCGTAACTTTTGACCAATTTTGAGGCTCGTGTTCTTATAAAATTTTTCTTATAAAAATAAGAGTGTAAACAGAATTTTCCAACAAACAGTCACCTGCCATGGGAAGTGGAAACTTGGAAAGCAGTAGGTCTGATTGCAAATTGAGCGTTTGTTTTTAATCCAAACATTAAAATATTAATCGCATTCAAAAATTTGGAAATCTGCGTTAGGCTGCGTAATTGCGCGTTAGGCTTTTTCGAACCAATAAAATACGGATAATGGTCAGCAAAGCATTATATCCTATCTGGTGCTAAAAATGAAACGGTTTCAAAGAGTAAGGGATATAAGAAGAAAGCTGGTATTACCATACGCCAATCCTCCCAAATAACACAAAGGAAGATTAATCATTTATCAGACGACGCACCCGGGGTAGATGTAAGAAATTTCATTAAGACCAGGCCTGTAGAAGAGAAGGGCTCAGGGGGGCTCAGCTTCCCTTCTATTTTCCGAAGGGGGGCTGCACCACCTCCTCTTTTTTCGGATTTGTTCTAAAGTATCATGGCTAGTTTCTGCCAGGATCAAATCTTTGAATGAACCGATATTACTTTTTGACATTGGCATTCATGTGTGACCTCAATAGCCCTCTAGATAACTGAAAACTCAATAAATGCTGGCAACATTTTAGTGCTTTAAATTCTTTATTTTTAAGATTATTCTACTCAAGTAGACACTGGAAGATGATTTCACTCTTGAAAAAATGGTGAAGGTGAAGAAATTGATATTTAGGAGGCATGCAAACCAAAAAAATTGAAACGTCCATTATGTATACAATATAGAGAAAGCGTTATGGCCCCCTTCAACATTTTTTTGCATTTTTCGGCTCTACGCTACTGATTAAGACTAAACCAGAGGCGGTGCCAGAAATCTTCCGACAGAGGGGCTGGAGCTTTCGACAGGGGGGCTAAAATGACTAAAATAAGCAGTTTTCGTACGTTATTTTGTCAAATTTGCTCCGACAATAACCTAAAATTTCCTCCGATGGGGAGGCTAGATGCTTCCGACGGAGGGGCCGTAGCCCCCCTAGCCCTCCCCTGGCGCCACCACTGGACTAAACGTGCTTCAGACGCATCGTCATGTGACGGGGAGTGACCAAAAAGTACAACATGCACCAACATGGGTTCCACCCTAACAGACGACGGGATTTAACCATCTCATAATCAATGTCTTATTCGGCAGTACTTAAGGAAATATTTAAAAATTTTAAGAACTAGCTTTTAAAGCATCTCCGTAACACTACGTTTTCGATCAGATTGAAATGGGCTTTGCTTCTAAAATCTAACTCTGAAAATTTCAAGTTGCGAAGGACGAAACATATCAATAACAAAATCACTCGATGGTGTATCCCAAAAGTATGATATATTTAAAAAAGCATACAGAAAGTACATTGAGAATAATTAAAAACATCAGAATGCATGAAGGGCAGCAATATGTGAAATAGCCTGCATAACAGACCATAACTCAGTTATGGTCTGTGACGCAGGCTATATGTGAAACTGCTGTTACTTAAAAAACAACAGAAATTTGAAATAATGTTCTCAGTCATCCAGTTAGGACGATAAAGGCAAAAAGCTCGAGAAAAAGAGAAAACATAAAAATATGACTTTACCTCGTTTGCAGCAGATGTGTTTGGTGATTTCCGGTTATCAGCAAAGATCAGCAGACTAACAAGAAAGTTATCAGCCAAGGAAACCCCTCTGTCAAATTACGTACAGCTAATTGCTGCCTTATGACCGAAAGTATAAAACTATCACAAGTTTCTATGAGAATTTTTAAAAATAACGAGCTGAAAACTGTTTACAGGCATTAATTTTGAACTAGGTTTTCAAACAAGGCACGAGCTAGCCGTACTTGAACTCAATACAGCCACTTGCTATAGCATACAGAGTGATGCGGAGTCGTGAAACGTGCGGGTTTGTCCTGCCATGAATTTACTCGGCGCCGTCTTTCCAGGCATAGAAGGCAAAAAGACAATACCTAGGCATATTCTCATTGCCTCTTAGCCAAAAAACAACATATGCCATTAGGCATTCCTGCATTCTGCGATTTAATTCCAGCATGTGGATACATAGAAGACTAAATCGAACGAAAGATCGAAGCGTACGACTTCAGAAGCTGAACAATATCTGTTCAAAATCTCGAGAGGACTTAAGTAGGAAACAAGGCTGGGATGACCAAGATGACTTCCATCAACATTTTACCTATTTTCTAGTCCTGCTCATAGGCACCAAGTCCTAGCCAGTTTCGCTTAATCATTACTATAACCCTTCCAAGTAACCCCTTCAAAGCATACAATATAAAAGCCTATTGCTTCATCAATGCGTTTTGCACTTTGAAAAATGTCTTTCATATAACAGAAACTGTTGAAAGGCTACTTTACTAGTAATTTTTTGCTGATTAAAATGGTTTGGATCGGTGCGTTCACTCTCATTTCCTGCAAGTGCCTCAAAAAATTGCAGAAATCACGCAGGTAATCCGCGGGATTCCAATTTTATCGTTTTTAGGCGCAACGCGTCAAGTGGCCGGCGGTGTAATCTATATGCCACCTAAAAACCAACAAATGTACTGGAGACATGATAATTTATCAACAACGGTTTTCTTTTTGGAAAAGGAATTCCTTAAACCTGAATATGGTACTAATCAAGATAGCGCAGCAATCAATATAAATCTATTTTATCAACAAAAATTAGTGATGAAAGGATTATCATAATCAATAATAAAAATTACTATGGAATTATCTGCAGCAAGGCAAAAATTACGTTTCTATTTGAAAAACCTGACCACGATTTATTTTTTGAAGCAAGAAAAGCACGATGTACTGGAATAATTTATGATTTTTGATCGCTTTGTGCCACCTGTATAAACAAGCCGAAAATCAATTCGTGGTCAGAAGTGAGCGTCCTTTCTTCATCCAAACAGAGTTGTATGTGATTGTTTACCAGTCTTTCAATAGGATGCATTGACGCTGAGTTTTCTTATCGAAACGCTGAACAGAAGGATCAACTTAGGCCCTATGGTTGGCAAACTAATTCTCGGGGTCATTTTTAAAATTAGGAAGTTTCATAGAGATATCAGCTAGCCTTCATTCTAAGCTACTAAGAATAGTGCAGAATTTGTCCCAACAAACATCACACATTCAATTTCTGTTGCAGGTATTCAATCCTCAGCCCCTGCTATCTACTGGCTTCCATTTACGAATATTTTGTTCCTTTCAAAAAGATGAACTATTGTTCGGAGTTTAATCTTTTGTCCTGACTGATCCTCGCTTCAGTCTAAAAAGTTGTGGTTTTAAAATGCTGGACACGCAAAGATCCTGGCAAGGTCAAGGGTTTAAAAAACATGTCTATGCATGTGGGTCTTCTCTGCGGCGTGGTAGAGAGAATCTTTTGAGAAAAGTGCATATTTTATAAAAGATGATGATTAAAACGTTAACCACAAATCAGATTTTCTCAGATTCAATAAACTTGATGATAAGTTTAGATTAATAGTTCGAGCGTGTATTGTTTAGATACACATGTATCTCAGTTACATCAAAGCTGCAAAATTAATCTTATATACAAGATAAAAATGCGAACAACCAACTGAGTGGAATGGATTTTCTGAGTGGAATCTGCGTGCATCCATTTGCCTTGAGCATACTTATGAGCCTAAATGTACTTTCACCATTACTGAAAAGGAGCAGGGTAACCCGAATACAAGTAAAACGAAATTAATTCCACCGATTTTGAACTTGGTGTTATTGAGTGAAATTTTGCAAAAAAAGTATCAACAAACCTGATTATATTCTAAGTAATGAAAAGTTTAAGTCTAATTGTACCTGTTACCTAGTGACAGGAAGCAAATATGACAAAATGTTCGAGACAATAAGCCCGCCAATAGTTGACAATTAGTGCGAAGTTAGAATATCATCAAAGAAGATGTGATTGAAAGGAAGACATTTTTAATTTTTGCACAAGGTTCCTATAACCCTTTTCTCAGTTTATAAAATAAACTACAAATCTAGAATGAAATTCATTGTTATTACGCGGTAACATGTGGTCTTAATCCAATTTAGGACTTACTGCCAACATCCATCAAGTTTTTCCAGATTCACGTATTGCAATGGTGATGTTTTGTAAAGTTTTGTCAACTGTTCTCACCCAATATGAAATATCCTAACTTCAATCTGCGAATGTCTGCAAACAGAAATAAAATAGATTTAAGACTGCGAATAAGACTCACTATCATCAAAGACATTGGAAAAGATATATTTCCAAGGAGTTTTGCCTGGCTCAACATATGGAATCACAGTTCGGGGGCTCTGTGCCTTATTGAAGGCGTCAGAAGAAGTGCAAAGATTTGAAAAATAATCAATAATTTACCAAAAAACACTCCTGAAGATAAGATCTCGGAGTCTCAATAGCAGAGGTTCCAGCAAACTAAATGAATTAAAACAACGAAAAATATCATCAAGAAAAATGGTAGGTATGGAGCAACAGCACATTTCGGGGCCAAAAATGGAAATAGGAAGATCAAGCTGTAAACACAGAGCAGCGACAATATGGAATGCCTTTTTCAAAGAAGGTTAAAACTATAAGATCTTTTCGTCCATTTAAATTTGAACTTTCGAAAAACACTATAAGGTTTTTAAAGTTTATAACAATGATTACATCTCTTTAAAAAAATCTCACTTACATAATTTCTCTTTATTCGATTATTTTTTATTCTCAAGCTATTTTTAACTTGATTGCAAGCATGCAAGCAGGCCCACATCAGCCATGTTTGTATGTATGAAATAAAAACAAGCCATTTGCCAGGATTCGGGTATCTCAGCAAAAAGAGACCCAGTGCAAACACATTTCATCATTTCGCAACGTATTCGTTCACTGAGTCCAAAGGCAAAACATTCTCCCCCCCCCCCAATTAAATAAATCAGTCTTGAAACAATCGAGGCTTGTAGCTCTAAAAGGATGCTAAACAGTTAATGAAGAAGATAACAGAACAAGGAAGGAGGAAAGTTAAGAATTTCGATGATATGTAGTTTGGCTTTTTGAAAGGTAGGGGAACAGTGGATACATTTTGAAGAAACTATAAGACGGGCGATAAGACCTTAAGAAAGTGTATGATAGAGTTTCAAGAGGAGGACTGTAATGGGATTTTAGAAAAACAGGTCGTACTGTAGCTACTTGTGTAAAGCTATACATGAAAGTGCGTGGAAATCTGAAAGAAAAGCTTATTGGGATACAGGAAAATATGACATCAAATTGCAATTACATCAGGGATGTGGATGGTAAATGACGTGCGAGCACGAATAAAGCTAGTTGTGATAAATGGCGGGTTACTAGGGTAAGGAGTGACAGAAAATTACCAAGAAAAATGAGTGTGATGATAAATGATGAGACCAGCATTGATGTATCGAGCGAAAACCTTGGCGATGAGGAAAAAAGCATGAGAATAGGTTTGAAAGGGCAAAAAGATGAAAATGTTTCGATAGATCACAGGAGTAATTTTGATGGGCAGAATCAAGATAAAAAAGCTAGGGGTGGTGAACTTTTTGGTTAAGGTAAAGGAACCAAAATAACATGGAAAAGGCATGTGGTGAGAGGCAACTAAGAAATGGAACAAAAAGTTGGCGAAAAAAGAGGAATGTCAAGAAAGAGATGCAGTCAGGGCCTTCACTACAATAAGCTATTTTTACCGTTTCATACCATTCTCTAAAAACAAGCCACGGTAGGAAATATATAATCAAAAGGGAGATTGAAAAAAAGGACCGGGCCAAGAAAATAAGCAAAATAGAAATCTGTGACAAATTAAGTCTGTGACAAATTAAGTACACTGGCTGCACGTACATGGCAATGAGTTAAAAAGTCTAGAAAGATACCTTTGTGGTAGAAAAATCAATGTTTTGATGAAGCTTTCTTCCAATCCTTTAGCAGTCTCGTAACATGACAATAGAAAATCATTTTGAATAACATCTTCATAACCCTTTATAATGAACTAGAGACCCTGCTTCCAAACCGGAAGAGCGACAAATGTGGTTGGGGGTTTAACCCTTAAGATGAAACATTGGACAAACTTGGTTATTGGACAGTTTTGCTATGACTGGTGACTTGAGATGAAAACAAAATTAACAAAAAATGCAAGCAAGAACAATCTCTTGTGACAAAAAATAACTGAAACCAAATTTCTCCCGTAATTGCACCGTGTCGTAAGACTGCAAGCAATGTTACATTGACACGTGTACTATGGTAATAAATATAATATGCTGAAATAACTTGATTGATTATTAAAATGCAATCATCTTACCAATCTAAGAGATCTTTCATGCTCTCGCCTCCTTCCTTCAACTTGTTTATTAACTTCTTCCACTTTTCGTTGGAGCAGAACTGAAGGACGAAAAAAGTAGCATGACAATCGATACAGAACTTCACATATACTTCAGAAACGGTAGATTAATTTGAGCATGATAAACATCGCCTGCTAAAGAGAATTCAAAATTTTAAAGGAAATACCAACATACCAGCATTTTGATCCACCCACTGAAGCGCATCCATATGGGAGTTGAGTATTTTTGCTATTTGAGACATCTGGAAAAGAAAACTCGCGTCAGCCAAAATTCCTTCCGAAAAAACATTGACCTTACACTTCAAAGGTGCATATAGCTTCTCTAGCTTGGAGAAACGTCTAGAGAAAACAAAGCCAAAATGTGGTGTCTTATTCTTGAGATGCAACAAAAGGACACAAAAACAGCTTTAATCATTTTGAGAATCCAGATGTACAGGAAACTTGACCGGGAACAAAAAGCCGCGAAAAGTTTCGAGCATATCAAAGCCGGTTGATATCCGAGCTTCTTCAGGGGTATGACGTATCCAAGGGGCTAGATGAGAGAGGTTAATGTTACATCTTGGTCACCATCCGTTGATTCAAAAATCGAGCTTGCACAAAGAGCCGCGAGCATTTCGGAAAAAATTGAAAAAAAACTTGTAAATAAAATCATGTGCGGTACATCGAAAGGTGAAACGTCAGATCATGACCAAAGATGAAGAAATAATTTAAGGGGAAGATTGGACATTCGCAAGGTTTCTTATTCGGAGCACCTGGGTATATATTTCAAGGCGAAAAGTCTCTGTGTAGTTGTACACCTGCTTGCTGTAACTTTTGCTTCACATTGAAATATTTAAGATCATTTAGTGATGTATGTATTGATGATAATATGAAAATATATCATAGCATCTACAAAAATTCATATTCTTAAATTCAGCTAACTTATCAGTCTTAAATATGCTTTCTTTTTTGAACGTATCCATCCTGAAATATGTAAATTGGAGCTTTGACACGAAATGGACAAAATAGCTCATTGTAAGGACAAATAAACTGCCTGAAACTCACAGGATCTTCGTTTTCTTTCGTGTTTGCGTTTGAAGTATTGATATGGTTAATTATATCTTTAATGTCCAGCATCATTCTCTTCAATTGAGTATCAATATTTTCAGCCATCTTATAACTACAAAAAGTAACAAGGAGCAACATAATCATTTTTCAAAACAACATTTTAGATGAGAGAAGATCTAAAAGAATCTGGTTGAAGACGCCTATACAAGCCTTGGTTTTGACATGAAAGACGTTCTTTTCTCCGTGGGCAGCAAACTCTGCTAAATATTTTTTTAATATTAACATACACGCCATCAAAGAGTTATGCAAAACTTTTCACGGTACATACAGTGTAATAAAACCTTTGCTACGTCATTATATTTAACGCAAATTTGTCAATGGTGTCTTGCCTTGCTGTTAGTTACTTCTGAAAAATCTGCTTCCATCATATCACATCTTCTAAGCGAGGAGTTTAATAATTCATGGTATAGTGATATACATAAACATTATATTCTATCGGAGAAAAGAAACTTTGTCATAGAAAGCACTTAGCGAAAATATGGGTTTGGCTAGAGAGGCCATCATTTCACCATCAATGGGGTGTCCAGATCTATTAGATGTTGTGCATTTATCTATGGAAATGTTCGAGCAAGCGAAATCTCTGAAACAAGCTGGAACATTCGATAATGTCTACAGCTGTGAGACTCAGCATGTTTTATTTGACAAAAGGGTAATTTTTTTTACAAATTTTGGTACAACCCCTTTAAAATGTGAAGTGCAAATATCTTGGCAAAGTCTCGTCTGCTTTTCCAAAAGTTAATTTGTCTTCTTGAATTGATTATTCAAGAAACTGGTAGAAGAATATTTATGTACCTTCTGATAGCAAAGAAAAAACATTATTGTTATGAAGTAATGTTTGCTTTTGTTTTTTATGTGTACCTAGTAACCGAAGAATGATTTTTGAGGTCCTTGAGAATAGTTAATGTTTTGTGTCATGGCTTTACGTGTCATGTATCATGATTCCTGAGCACCGACAACGCTTAGTGGTAAGGAGCAACTGTAGTTTGCGAAACAAGATGAATTGATTTATAACAACCTTCTGCCAAAACACAGCCGAAACACTGTTTTAACTTTATATCACGCGTGCATACTAAGCGTAAATGACACGGAAACAAAAGGTTACATACGTTTTCTCTCGTTCCAAATCAGCATGCTGCATGTATGGTATGCTTTGCTGGGCTTTAACTTGCTCTTCCAGTGGGGACAAGATCTCCTCTAGTTCTTGTTGTTGAGAAAGTATAAAATCAAGTTCGCGGTCAAGCCTGAGAAAGGAAAAACTGGCAATAAAATAAGGAAAAAACATAACTGGATGACAATATTTTTTTTATTCTATTAGCATTCTAAATATGAAAAATGAACTATGCATTACAAAAAAATAAAATATGAATTATGCAGAGGTTCAAGTCTCTTTTATTGAGAAGAGCTAAATTTCTCTTCAGACATGGATTTTCAACTTAACAATTTAAAAACGCCTCCTCTATTTAACGCCTCCCTCTTTTGACGGCATTTATAAACATCCAAGGTAAGAAATAAAGGATATTTCCTGTGACCCTAACCACCAAAATATTGAATACTGAAACTATTACGACCACTGGTAGACAAAACATTGTGTATTAAACAAAATTCAAGTGCACGGCACAATCTTATCATTGACAACGAGAGTCTAAAAAGTAGAAGTCTGAAAATGTCAGTCTAACTGTAACTTGTTTAAAGTAGAAAACTCTGGCGTTAAAAAAATCATGTGATTTGTAAACCATTGGCGTCTAAATTCACTAAAAGGACGAGACACTTCGGATAATCGGATAACTTAACCAGTAATATAGCCAATTTTGCAATTTGAGGAAGTCGAAGCGAGTCCAACTGGAGGGGGTCAGGGGACCTATTCCGAGATAATTTTTAGGACCAAGTCTTTTAAAATGCCAGACAATACCCTTAGAATTTGAAATAAGACAAAGACATTTAATTAGCTTGGTACTAATTATTGCGGAGTTACTTTTTTGTCTGACACAACTTTCTGACCGTTTGAGGGGGTACTTGCCCTCTTGTCCCCTAGCCACACCAGGTGCATTCATTCTACAAAAAATATAAAACTATTAATGTATAAAGCAACGGGTTAAAGATTTAAGCTTGCCTGCTTTGATCTGTTTTCAGTCTCTGGATATCATCATTGATCAAGGTTATCTGGAAAGTAGAAAAAGCGGGCGTTAAGTCAACGGATGGGGATATATATCTTACAATAGGCTACACACGTCATGAATATAAGACAAAAAACATTTCTAGAAAACAGCCTTTCAAAATGGTTCAAATAACAACTAATGATGAAAAGTCGAATATATATTTACACAAGAATACATTATATTTCAATTGTTCATTAACATATTGACTTGAGAGATACTAAAGCCAAAATTCAAATTGAATATAATTTTGCCAATAACTATTTAGATTTTATCTCATAGTCAAACTAGGATAATAGTTAACAAGGAAAAATATTTAGAAAAAGGTTGAGGTATTAACACCAAATTGGTTGCAATTGGTTGAGGTATTAACACCAAAAACGAAAATAAAACGCATAAAAATTACTAAACAAATTAGGCTTTTCCAAAAAATAATAGAATAGACCATCACGAACCTTTTCTCCATTTTCAATTAATAATTTGTCCCAAGCGTTAACTAGTTTGGCTTGCCTCAGAAAAATGGTCTCTTGTTCTTCTAATTCTTGAACCCATTTGTTAATAACATCTTCCAGCTGCTTATATGTGAATTGCTTCTCCGTAGCTACAGTCGCTGTTGAACTGGATATGCAAAATAAGATATGTTATTTACCACCCTGGATGCCATACTCTAGTGAAAGAGAAGGTCGAACAGCTGTCTTTCACTTATCGACAAACTCTTTCACACACCCACTCATTCATTGAGGCTCATCCAGAGTGGTTGCTAGCACATGAACAGACTAATCCTAGAAAATTCTATGGCCCTGAAACTAGCCCTTTCTTTGCTTCAGTTTTTTGAGTCGGACCTTGAACTGCTATAAACATTATTTTGGGCCAGATAAATTGCCTAAGAGATAGTGCAATGTTGTGTAATTAACTAAAAAGGCACCAGCAAAGGTTTGAATCATGAGTATAAGTGAGATAGATTACTGACAGAATTTAACAAATTTGTTGCATGCCTGGTGCAAATGGAAATTATGGATGAACAGTGAGCTTCTCATTCCACTTGAATAATGAGGTAAAAATGAGGATATGTTGTCTGAAATTGAACAGTACTCTGTCAATATTGAACCTCTGTTTCAAATGGGGAAGACTGAACTAGGTGTATATGTTTTGTAGATATAGGTCTCAAATGGTAACAACATAAATCAGGGGTTCAAGTCTAATTCACTTTGTCAAGCAACCATGTTTAACTTTGACTTCACAAAAAAACCGACTCATGCAGGCTAAAATTGAGATGCCTGTGAATATTGACAACTTACGTTGCTATTTGTGCAGTTGATGTGGTACCTTAAAAGACAAAATGTTGAAACACAATTACCTTGATGATAATTTCATTGCATAAACTAATTATTGCTTTGTCAAAACTTTCCATTTCAAGACTCCTGCAAGATTTTGCATCAAGAATTACCATGATAGAAAATGTAGGAAAATAAAGCATGATATCTTCAATCATCCCAATAAAGTACTGGAAAACACTGCATAGTCAGCCAATGAAATTGTTGACAAGATAAAGATACAAAAACAAAAATCTTAATCATAAAAAGTCACTTACTGCTTGCTGCAACTGTCTTAGTGGAAAGAGCAAATCCACTGCAGAAAGTAGATTAAGTGTCAAATGAAAAACTACTTTGTGCACAGAGTAAGTCAATGTAACATCATTTTCAGCAAAACTCTCAACAGTTGTAGTTAAAATGTAGTGCAATCATTCCTACTTCATATACAAATTAATCTTTACATGCTATTCCAAGCCTTAGTCAACAAGGGACAAGAAAGGGAGCTACAGATTTAATTAGAGAATCAAACTGGGAGGAGAAAAGAACATTTAATTCTGGGTAACCAACAGCATTATCAATGGCAAAAAGAGTTATGATTGCTACAGCTGCTGGTAGCAGGTTTAAGGACAGATACTACAGGAAGGGTGTTAGGGGGGGGGGGGGTATTCCTGAAAAAAGGCCCTCTGTTGGCAGCCAAAATCTAAGGTCAATGAAAACTGTTGGCAGTTAAAAAAATTTCAAAGAGATCAAAAGAACTAGACAAAAATACAGAGACAAAAGACAAAAAAACAAAAATACTGTCAACTCTAGCAAGTAGAACTGTCAGTAAATCCTTGCAGCACTGCTTGCAAGTACAAATTGCTTTTAAACTAACTTTCAGGCACATTACCCAGAATTCGCTAGAATCAATATCATAGTCAACCAGCTACTAAACATCTATGATACAAAACAAAGAAATAACATTGTGTCACCTGAATTTACTTTCAAACAAAGCCTTACCTTGAAGTTGTTGCTGCTGCTTGAGAAACACCTCCAAGAAGAGAAACAGGCTGCAATCAAAACAGAATATCATTAGTCTCTTTGTAAAGAAGCTTCAGAGATAAAAATCAGTCTTAGGGGCAATCATGCAAAATTAGACCAATAAAATGGAAAGTACAGACAGCTTTGAACATTCGTATATCAAAATATCAATGTATATACTAGCTTGAGTGTTGCACAACATAATGTGACAATATAACTTGAAATTGTATAAGGAAAAATCTATTCTCCTCATATATCAATTAAGGAAAAACAAGGTGTGCCTGTTTACCTGAGTTGGCTTTATAGAGGCAACAGATGTCTGTCCAAATGTAGCACCAGTCAATGCTAATCCCTTTTGCCCTTCAGTTGTGGTTGATATGACACTTGTCCCTAAAGGTTTCAATCCTAGGCCTAAGGTTGGTGCTGTGCTTGCTGGCTGACTTGTTGCTAAAAGAAACATAATATTACCAACTTCATCCTCTTATTTTTGCACTTTCTAAGAAAGAAAAAATAATCTTAGCTGGGGTTGCAAAAAAGCTATGTTGCTCAACTTTAAAGGAGCAAAAATAACAATTAGCCATGCAGTTTTGGAACATAAATCTGTTCAAAAATCTATCAGGGATATTCTATCAAAATACGGAATTAGAAACTGTATTAAAGAAAAGAAAAATTTCCAGCTAATAACTGCATTTCCTGACAAAAGGGTTGACTTTCAGCAACATCTGTTTTCATTTGAATACTTTTAGGAGGGTAGTGTATCATTTCCGAAGTTTGCAGCTTTATGAAATATATGAACATCTAAAACTTCCCCTGTATTGAGGACTTTCAATATTGAAACTTCTAGCAAAACTTTTTCTACATAGCACTATCAAGTATGAAATCAAAAAATATATTTGCATGATAAATTCTAATGTGATCTAACCTGCAGGTTGACTGCCAAAAGAGAATCCGGTTGTACCACTTTTGAGACCACTGGTTGCTCCAAAACTTCCTAGACTTGGTAGAGTTGCGGCTGTTGGCTGAGATGTAGGGAGTCCAAACGAAATCTGCCCAGTAGTTCCAGTGGAAGTAGCAGCTGCTGCTTGTGAAGTTGTTGCCTGAGTACCAAATGCTGGTTTTGCTCCAAATGAAAATCCAGATGTACTTTGGCCTGAAGATACAGCTGAAGGAGCAGCTGAAGATGTAGCACCAAAGGTAAATCCTCCAATTCCTGTGCTTCCTGTGAAAAATATGAAATGCTGCATTTTCATTGTATTCTAACAAACTACAAAACAAAATCTAAACATAAGACAATTCGCATCACAAAATCCAGGCCTGGCCAGTTAAGATCAACCAGCCTTCTTCAGTGCTCTCCTGAATTGTTAGAAAAGAGTGATTATATGTTGCCTGTGTTTAAGGTGATATCTGTATCTAGGAAACATTTTGAAGATGTCTTAAGAAAGCCAGAACATCCAGGTCAATTTTACTATTTGATCTGTCTCCTCCAATACTTTCACTTGACCATAGAAGGGGAACATCTGTTGGGTTCCAGCTACACATGTTCTGTGGAAAGTAATGCCACTAAAGGTGACATTTGTTTGAAATAGATGCTACAAGACACAACCACAAAGCAAAGAGAGATTTTGAATCTGTTGGAAAGTTTTTCCAACTTGAGTAGTTAATAAGTATCTGATAAATGCAGTTGGCATGCTGTTTTTCTTGTGATCTTTTTGTGAATTTATTTTTAAGCAAAATAAACTATTAATGTTGAGTTGATCAATTTCATCTGTCTTTGCCTGCTTCATATTAAATGAAACACCCTAGTACCATTTTGGATGACTAGAAATCTAACCAAAATTGAATTTTGCACTTCCGCAAGTAGATTTTTAGCAATTTTAGGCGGCCAAACAGTAGAGCCTATTACTGAAATGACTCACATGAATTAAATTATTCAGATATCTAAAGTGAAAAAGAAAACAGACATATCCAACACCAATGATTTATATATTTTGAGCCTAGGCCTACTTTAAAACAGTGTATAGCATAAAGATTTCTTACCATGGGGAAGTAACCTAAATATAGGGCAACAATTTTCAGAGCCATATAAGAGGGTCAGGCTGCATCGATTCTCTAGAAGAAGTGCTAATGATGCTATAGCTGCAGTAACTGCAAAGACAATACATTTCTGCATAATTGCTTTCAAAAACTATGGCCAAACAACATGGCTGTGCGTGGTGGTCATTCAATGATAGATCTGTTAAATTGTGATTCTGGATGGTCCTCATTGCTCTTTGTGGTAGAAATGAGGCATTATCTCAAGCATGCATCATCTATACAATACCTGGCAATCATGCCTTTTCGTTTCTGGCAAGTGAGCACTGGCCATCACGTCAGCACTCACAAAAAACCCAAACATGCGAATGTTGTTTGCTCACACAAAACGGTAAATTGTGAGGAATAAATGTTTCATCAGTTAACATATTTTGTGACCCAAGAAAGTGACATAGAAGATACAAAGCCAGTATATCAAAACAAAGCAAAATAAGTAAGCTGAATTAACCACATCCATATGGAAAAATCAAATTGAATATCAAATCCACTGCATATGTTTGAGAATACTCTAGTCACTTAGTATTTGAACTTCAGTAACGTTCTTTATGACATTCCTGATATACATTAGACTTTCCCAAAGCATTCACACTTTGCAAGGGCATATCTTAACTGTGGAGGAGATGATAGAAGGCAAGGAAAATATATTTTTGAATCTTGTAGCTAGACTTATGAATAATTAATGAGCTAAAAAACATTCTCATTAGTTCCACTCTTAGTTCAGGGGGTTACCACCTGCAAAGAAGTCATTTGAAGGATGTAGGGATTAACACCAAGGCATATTCATGGGTGTTACAAAAAAGCCTCCAACAGCTCTTCCCATCAAACATTCAGCAATTTTTTAAGTCTCTTTAAACATTAAGTGTATTCCCTACTATGATACTTTTGAAAACCTCTCTTTTTTGTTTGATCACTCACCAGTTTAGAAAGCCTTCTTAGCTCGTCATTCATCATTTTTCTTTTGTGTTATTTTCAAAATCATTCATAATGTTTGCAGTTGACAGATTCTAGTTTTTTTCTTTACCCAACACTTTTCTTAACACTTTTCAATTGACTTCTTTGTTTTGACACATAGCCTTTTCAATTTTAGTAAAATTGTCTTTTGAGCCTCCTGGATTTTGGGAACCATAACAACAGCTGTCCCTAGTGTATTGTTTGCAGACAACATTGATTGGCCTTTTGAAAGATGTGAGAGTACTGTGCTGGGCCGAATGTGGTCCGGTTCCAACTGTAAGAGCTTATTAATTATTCACAAGCCTACAAAAGTCAAAAGTAATTTTTCCTTCTCCTTCTAATGTCTCCTCTGCAGTTTAGATATGCTCTCGCAGTAGTATGAATGCCTTGCAGATTTAACAAAAATAGATATACATTAAACTTATAAATGCAGCTCATTTATACTGGGTATTTAACCTTTCTTGGAGTGCATTTAAGATCAATGTGACTATTTGTTTTCATTTGATGTTACCTTACACCAAAGTACACTACAGCAGGATTATACTGTTTTAAACATTTTTGGCATTGTTGATTATTATTATTACTTTTAGAGCGATGACTAGTGCAAGAGAAATCACGCAAGCTATTGGCCAATGGCATGGCAATTTTCTTAGAAAAAGGCTTGGACAATGGTCAATTATATTTGAATATGATCAGAGCAAGTTTTTATGGGAGAAGTTAATGTCTAGCTTGATCTTGAATGATTGCCTCAATGATAAATGAATAAAGTACTATTTACTTAGGCACTGGGAGGGACTGAGGGCCACAGCCCCCAAAGTCTAGCAAAACTTACTGCCTTAAGGCTCCAATTGGGCAGTTCTATCACAAAGATCCATACTAAGCCCCTTTAACATTAAGCATCCACTATTCCCATGACTGTTTCCATTTTAAAATAAAATCATCTTAAGATATGCTAGGATCATATGAAAGTGGAATACATTCAAAAGATACATTAAAGCAAAATGACAATGTATCTGAAAAAGCAAATACACATTAGCATTTACATTAGCAGTCTTTTCACAAACGTTTCTTTTAGTGAGGCCATCAAAATATGTCAATGCTTTTTACAAAAGCGAGCTCAATAGCCCACCATTCCCAGAGGAGGATATCATTGAACTGATGGAAACTGCAACACGCTCAGTTGAATTCAGTAACATTTCATCAGAGCAAAAGTCATGAAGCCCTGTATGCTAGAGCAAAATATTAGCCACAGTTAATTTATGTGTGTATATTCTTTTTTTGCTCTTGGCACCTGTAGTGTTTCTTATTTGTTTAATTTTTATAGACTTTAAGCTCAAAGAATTCCATTGCCTGCTATTGTAACCTTTTCTTTATTTATACATATAAGAAACAAAACTGCCCCTCAAAGAGAAAAGCCTCCTCGCTCATGTAGGCCTAGAAACCCTTGTGAAACAATTGATCCTGCCAAAGTTTATAATGATGACATGTTTCAGATAATTAGCAGAGCCCGGTCATCTTTTCATCTAGCAGTTTTGGAATCAATCTACATACAAATAAAGAAACCACTATTGTGTAAAGAGAAGGAGTTTGTTTCTCTCTTGGACCCTAGTGATGGGTGCCTTATACTGACTCTTGGACCCCAGGCACGCTATACTGACTGGAAAACTATACCTGTGTTTTTCTGATTGGCCTATTTCGATCCACAGCTGGGTATTTTCCATCTTATATTTTGTAGCCTTATTCTCTGTTCAAATGCCAAAAAACCTGAGTGTATGTCAAAGATCTTCGGGCCTAAGATGCATTTGTGTTCAATGTTCAGTAAAACACATTTTGAAAATCTAAGGCACTATGACATTGTTTGTGATTAATACAGTGACTTACAATGTCCCACTGATTTAAATAAAGTTTTATCCATATCAAATTTATTGAAACTGGTTTCAAGTTAATAACAAGATTATTTTGGAACCAAATTTCATCTGAATATGTTAGTAAGAAAATTTATTTTTTGTTTGTGACTATCTTTGCCAATGCGAACTACCCTAAATGTGCTGGAGGCTTGCAAATAGATGAGGCCCTCTCACCATCTAAACATAATGACAGAAATATATGGTGTCACTTTCCCGCCAAAACTTACTGTCTTTGCTTGTAAACTCTGTGAACCTATCTTTCAACACGATTAGTTTGATCTAGCCTGTGTGTAACTGCCTTAGTGTGTAACAGCCTATCAGCACTACTATTGCTCTTGAAAAATTATTAAATTCCTTCTACGAAAGTGTGACCAGCATAAGTTGACAAAAATAGTAGTGTATAGGACGCAAACTTAGGGACTTACCCGCAGTAGAAGTCGTGGATCCAAGAGTAAATCCTGTTGATGCTGTAGTTCCACTTGAGCTTAAAGATCCAAAGCCTGCGAATCCCCCTTTATTTTGCCCAAACATCTTAGAAAATATGATGATACTTCATAAATCCTGCGACTAGACCCAAAATGCTAGGTTGGTGCTAATGTCGCTTACCAATTGGCCTCGTTTCGATAGTTAATCTCATATTGAGAATGGTTTCTTGGTAATGGGAATGGGAACTAGTCTCTGCGTGCTTCCAGCAGTGGCTTCCAGCAGTGGCTTCCAAGGCAAACTACCCTTCAAAAGTGTTTCTGTAAATCGCGTATGTGGCGAATTCTGATGATAGTCTTTTCCAAAATTCTTAGTCATAAAAACTCAGAAATGCCTCTTTGAGATATGTAAATTCTCTAAACAAGGTGTTTCACAAGAAAACTTCGAAAAACAAATTCTAGAACAATGTAATAGGATTCAATGTATTCGTTTGAACGAAACTCACAGTAGAAGGGAGAGGCTGTCCACAAAGCTGTTTTTCACCGAGTATGTTACAAAGGAGGTCGAGCACATTTTCACAATCATTGGGGAGCTAAAGGCCCCCTTTTACGACAACCATGTATAGGGCTTGTCTTCTAGAAAAGTAAACACAGATTTTGTGTCCATGCGTAGCTATTTTTTTGTAAAATTTATGTATTTTTAGTTTTACTTAGCATAGTTTAACTTTGCACCAGATATTGCTGGAGCAATTGGTCTGTATGTAAAATTAAAGGGTATAGAACTCTTTGAAGAATAAAATAGGACAGTTTTACGAAGTAATAAATTTATCTGAACAAAGCAATGTAATCACGTTCTTTCTTACCCTCATGAGAATCGATTATGATTTAATAGTATCTCAACATACTTATCATTGCATGCTAAGAGCAACAACAGAACAATTTCTGTTTTTTGACAAATTTTTAGACGATGCTTAGAGAGCACCCGAGAAGCTATGGAAAACCCGTTCAAAGCTAAAAGGACTTATTGAGCAGCTGTGTCAAACTCTCCTTTCATTGCATGCTTCAAAGTAGCTATTGGTGATGTCTGTAGAAATCATAATCTCAAACCATTTCTTTGGTTTTAATAAGGTATAGAAAAATATGACTGAATGAAGATACGCTTGATAGAGGGTAAGATAATTAACGATAGGCAGGATAACGGGGAAGAATTATGATCAATCCAATTTAAAGTAAAACTTATTTGAAAAAACAAAAACTAAGAAATAAATCACCAGATTAACTAATATTTTGCACCAACATACGAGGTTGCATCAGTGTTAATCAGAGTAAATAATGGAAAATAGCCCGCACACAAAATTAAATTATATGTGTGATTACATTTAAAACTTCACTGCTTGACAGGAGAGAGTTTGGTTTGTTTTGACTTGCTTTATCTAAAATCTTCATTTGACTGGCTCAATGTACGAAATAGCACCCTGATACAGTTCGGGCCAACCTACCCCTTCACCCACTATTTCGAGGACTGGTTGCTTCTACGGCTGAACCATGCAATAATAACGCGAAAACAGCGTTAAATTAAAGGATGGGCCAAGGGCACTCGCTGTTTCATTGCTTTCTAGAGAATGAGCATGGGTTAGTTAAGCTTAATAGCAAACCTAATTAGCAAAAGAGGCTGAATATTCTGAGGAGAATATGTGACATATAAACACTCGAGGAAGGTAACTTGATAAAAGCAATAAAACAACTTTTTAAAACATAAAATACAGCTCAACTTCTTAGTATCTTGGTTAACTAACAGAGTATATTATGTAATATGAGAAAATACCTTGAACGTAACGTAATAATAAGGTATAGATATAAGTTTAGATATATCAAGTCAAAATGTCAAGCAACAAAGAGATCGCCGCAGAAACTTTCGTAATCAAATGCGCCAGGTATCTCCCGTCTCTTAGGATCAATATATGGCTGCATGAGTGACATGCAATACTCTGCTTGCTCTGCAGTCAAGGCCTACGTAGAAAAAAATGAGGGACTTTAGCGGGACTGTGTGGTTTCTTTAGAGGGGATGCGGGGAATATAAAAAATGTTACAAATGTTTACTGAAGATAAACAAATACTATAAATATCTTTACTGGTTACTAGTAGATTAAAGAAAATGGTTTTAACCAAATAAAAATCAGATTGCAAGTGAACATGATGAAAGACAAATATTTGATAGGCTTAAAAAGGCAGGCAAACATATTGAAATAAAAATTTTCAAATAATTGCATCGCAAAGGACTTTCACGGTAGGTGGAGGAAGATTTGGGAAGTTCTTGACAGGAAAAGTAGTCTCCACGTGAACACACCATTTAGAATCAAATAGCTGAATTGATGAATTAGATAAAAAACAGAGCCGTTTGCCCTCCCCATATAAATCTTCAGACTTGAAAGCTGAATTTCGCGATAGACGAACCTGGTAAAGCTCCTCCTCAGTCACATATGGTTTGGCACCACCCTCTGTGATCGCCTTGAATGCATCGACAACCTCCTTTGCAGAATGGACATTCTCTGTCTCTCTGCTGATCATGAATGCAATATACTCGTTCATTGAAACCTTTCCATCCCTGAAAACAAACAGAAAGATATAAAGATGCAACAAAACGCATGCAAGTGTTAGGGCTGACCTATCAAAATGACCACCTAAAGTGGCTTAAGCAGTTTTTGTTTTAGGATGAAGTCAAGGGAAATGGATCTGTTGCCTTCCAAAAGAAAACATTTGCTACTTGAGGATTTCAATGAGTTTGTAAATTAAGCGAGATCTTCAATGCCTGCTAAAAGTCTTGGTACGCAAACGTCTATTTCCAAGGGCAAATTCAGCCACCCCCATCCTTCGAACAATGTTGGCTTACTACAAAACAAAGTGGGAATTACGAAGTACGCTTTTTGTGACTTCTATGATATTTTTCTAAATTATCAACATTTTTAGAGGGAAGGGGGTACTGAAATAGAAGTACTTGGGAAAATAATTGAAAAATATAAAAACACAACACAAATTGCTGGCTGTTCAAAGTACTTTTGGCAATGATTGTACTTCACAAAAACAAAGTATTAAGTCAAGAATCGAGAATACTAGCGGACATGCCTAAACAACTACATACGTACCCATTTGGATCGACTGTAGCTAGGATGGCATCAAACTCTGGGTCAGTTTCACCTTCTTCAACCATTGGAAGATCATAACCAAGAGACCGTAGACAGGATTTGAATTCCCGGTGCTCCAAATACCCAGTCTTGTCCTTATCAAAGTGCCTACATAAATAATACTATTTCAGGCATAGGGCAACATTTTAGGCATAGAGCAACATATCAGCTGGAGTTTATAGCGGCTGCAGGGTAACAATGTATTTTTATCCTCTTTGTGCGGTCGACTTGAAATATAGCTTTAAGCAAATTTGAGTTATAATGAGAGCTAATAAATATTTGGAAAAAACAAGCAATGGCCAGGGAATCTTTCATATTTGATATTCTTTGGACGCCATTAGAGCCTTAAGAAAGAATAACTTAGAGTCCCTTTACGAAAACCAGTTATTCAGCACGATTACTGAGGTAGTTAACTGTGCACAGCTTCTATTAAAGGGCCTTTGTCATGTTGGCAGTTGGCTAATGCAACAAAAAAGTTTGGAGCGTAATTACATAGTTTCGTGACTTTTTATTTCTGCTTCATTAATTTTAACTACCATGAAAATTCATTCTTGATCTCGTACTTTGAACTAAACAAAAAAGGCAATTGCATTGCATTAGCAGTCAAGTTCACGACGCATGCCCTTCAGAATGAGGTAACGACTCAGATGATTGAGACTAAAAATTAAGTAAGCTTACTTGAACATGAGTGTGATCTCTTTGAGTGTCTCTTCTGAAACCCCCGTTCTGTTTCTTGCCTGGATTTGCTGTTCAATATTGCGCTGCATTCTGGTGCAAAGCTGATCCAGTTGGTCCCATTGTTGTGCCAATCCCACAGTGCTGTGCTCTGTGTACCTGCACAAAGCGAGAAAACAAAATCCTCTTAAATCAGTAGCATTTTTATTCTGTCACGTTTCTTGAAGTAAAAACAGAAAAGACAACTCTACCAAACATTCTTCCAAATAGGCTTATAGTTCTTACTTCACGCTGTAGTTCAGACAATTGCTGCTCTAAACATGACTCGGTATCTTTTTTACCCAGAAACGTGTCAAAGAATTCACCTACTTGTTATCAAGGATCAGTTGTTCTTCCATTTGGGCTCCAAGGTCTTCTATCTCACTGAGATCATCTTTGCGTTCTTTGATCTCGGCAGATCTCTCCTGTAAAAATATAATGAAAAGGCAATCACGTTAGCGAATCCAATGAGTTCAAGGCGAAGAAGGAAGTATGACATGAGATTTTGTAATCAGGATATTGTATTGTAATTTTTCTCCAATATAAGTAGCGTGGTGCGATGTTTAAAAAAGCCAAGAAACAAAAAAGAGACTACCTTGAAGAATTTGAGTTGATCCTCTAAGTCACCAGATATTTCAACCATTGATGTTCTAAAAAGAGAGAGAAGGAAGATGGCGAGTTGTATTTTCAGCTTTCCAAGAAAGTACAAAGCGTTCTCAAGATGGAAAAGGAAATGGAAAATGTCTTCAACATATTAAATTTCATAAGAGCTAATGCCATTATTACTTCAAGCCTCGACGTGTTCAGTAAACATATTAAGGGACAGATTGATCTAACCTTGTTTCAGTGAGGAATTTGTGGAACTTGTTGGCGCGATCAGCAAACTCAACCCTCAGTTCATCGTTATAATCTTGCCTTCTCGATTCTTTCTCTAGCTTGTTCTCTCTTTCCTACGGATGCAGGGCAATTTAGCATTGGTTAGCAATTCAATGCAGGCCTTGCCATATACACATAGATTTAATCCAAAAAGGTTCTGCGATCTTATTTCAATAATCAAGATAGGGCTGGATTAGAGTATATAGGCACGAATCACACGGATTAAGAAATATTGGAATAAATAACACACCCTTATGATGACCTCTAGATTATGCCAGGTTTCTTCAGGTGAATCAAGGGTAAACCATGTATAGCTGAAAAAGAAATAATTCTATACAATATAGCAATAAAATTAGAAATATATCTCAAAGATACCACAAAATTACTATCAACGCGACTCAAGACTAATTAACACTAGCGAATTGTGTCGCCAGCAATTGCGATTCCTCTTTCTTGTTACAAAAGTTTCATCGAATACTTCTCTCTTTTGAAATATTTGGCACTTGTGATCTATCATACGCAGCAATAATGAGACGAGAACTTTGTTCCAAGCAACTATTGCAAACATTCGCGAAAAAATCTTACTTGAAAGGAAAACTGTTAGTACTCTTATAGAGTCCTGGCGGCTTGTGGGGTAAATTTTTGGTGAGGCTGATGATGTAATATTTGAAATCTAAAGCCATAGACACGGAACGCCAAGAATGATAAATAGCCTTTCCCTTTCTATTCTTTACTACCTCTAATCAACAAGGCTGTCATCATTTTGAGAGTTTTGATTGCAAAAAAACAGCAAAATTAATTCTGATAAAGAACCAACTTGTATGCTTAATTTCAAAGTTTTTAAGTTGAAATTGCAAGTCATCGAATACACGCCACTCTGCTGCGTTCCACTTCAAGATCAACATTGCCTATCACAACAACAAAAATTTAGCTACTGTTGACTTGAATTAATTGGTACTAGTTTCAACTAGCCCTAAAGGAATGCAGATTCGAGCAGAATTGGTCAATCAGCAGGCAGTCATCAATTGAATAGGCGAGTCAAGAGAGGAACCTGATCGGTGCATTCTCTACTAGTTTAGGGCTAGCCTCAAATACTCGGGAGATGGTTTCTGATACGCGTGTTTGTCTAGTTTTCAAAAGAACCGCGGGCAGTGGGACCTAAACAAACTAGAGAATGAACAAATAGTGAAACTCGAAGCAACGAAATTAGTGAACAGTGCTAAACTAATAACGGACGTTGATTTTATTTAGGTTTAAAATCTAAAACTTATTTTTGGAAATCCCCGGTGCGGCTGAGCCCTACTAGCCCCAATACACGAGCCGCCACTGACTTTATCTAATAGAGTACTTCATCTAGCTAGAATTCTTAACCCCATCCCTCATTCCCTTTATCTATTATATATTTCACAATTTATTAACCCAAAAGAGGCTTGGATAGAGATGCGTATAAGGAACCCACTAAAATCACGTTTACACCATTGTAAGAACCTTTGTTTACATACGGGACCTTTGAATTTTCTTTCCGTTTGCTCTTTAACATGGCAACCCTGATTGTGATGACATTATTTGAATGTGTGCTAGATGAAATATATTAATAGTCTTCTTTGGATAATATTACAAAGTGAATGTCTTAGTACTTTGGTGCCTTGTAAAAACTAAGGCGCCGATGTACTCGAAACCTACGGATTTATGGTGACACCACGGCTTTTGATCTGCTGGTCAAGCTCTAACAATTCACTGAAGTCTTTTTTCGTCTGGTTTAAAGTTTCTCTGAAAACCGTGTGGGCATCGAGGAGGGCCTAAATCAAACACGAAAAGCATATGTTACCACCATTTCTGTAAAGAGATTTGAAGTAAAAACTAAAAAAAATTAATATGACGAATTTCATCCTCTAAATAACGACCAGAATTTTTTTTCTGATCAAAAATGCTCAGTCAATCGATACGAGAGAAAAATCATAAAAAACCTTAGGAATTGTAAGCGAATTCATTTGGAAAACGACCCAGCATGAAACTCTGCCTTGTTTAAAATCACACCCTTAAGGAAGATTTGCTAACAAAACATCCTTATGTGGTCACATCGAGAAGACGGTTAAGTGTCCTTGAAACGACCTTCAGAAGCGAGGAAGTAACAAATATAAAATCTAGCATATTACTGCAAAGTTCAACTCTACCTCAATATGCCCATATAGCAGCTGTGTACGAAGTGTTTAATCATAAACAAATTTTCTAAGAAATACAAAACTTTACATTCACTGACAAAGGTAAACAAAAATGTCGATAAAAATATTGATAAAAATCTTGATTAAAACTATTATTGGAAGTAGGTTTAATTGGAGCCTTAACTTAGAATATTGCCTCTAAATAAACAAAATAATTAGATAAGGTTCGTTTAACATCGATAATAAGCTAAAACATGTAGCCTCGCACCTTGATTTCTTCAATCGAGTTGCAGCGAACCGGGTCTGTCAAATCCTCTTCTGCATTTTCATACCAACTGCTAAACACGGAGGCCTTCTTGGCAAACAGCAGGCACAAATCTTCAATCTAACATTTAAAAGTAAAAAAGTCACTAACAAATAATCTATATATATATCATAAGGGTTGCAATTTACCAAACTCAAATTGAATTGTCATTTTAGCTGTTGAAAATTGAGTTTTATGGTCATCTAGTCGGTAACAGTATTTGAAATACAAGCTTCATTATAAAAGGCGAACCAAGAGGGCGTCATTGTCAAACGTCAAAATAAGTTTCTCCTAAAAGTCAATAATACGATTAAAAAAATATTGAAAGTCAGCATTGCAAGGTGATTTTATTCTGCGCCAAATTGGCTTAAACAAGACCAACAGGGTTCATGTTCTTCGCACTATGTTTAAAAAACCTTTTCTGGTGCGCTTATATGCTTCTACAAGAGTTAACAATATTTTGGGCTTCAGCTTTGCAAAAGATTGAACAAACTGCAGTTCAAGTCACAGAAGTTTGCTCTGCGAAAAATAAAATACTCAAGATTCTTCTTAAAGTTCATAAAGATTTTTCGATACGTGGAACACTGATACTTCAAGAACCTTTTGTCCCAAATCCTGGAAAGGAAGGCTGAACTATTTTCTAAATCTCAGCAGCGGCTCTGGGAAAATCGTTCTCGTTCTATGAAATATTAATGCATACTAGGAAAAGATTTAGCAACACGGCGAGCAAATCTAACTCTTCTTAATTCCGGAGAAAAATAATATAAATTTGATATAAATATAAAAATAATATAAAAAAGAGAAAAATACTAGTTTTTATCATCATCATAGACACCACCATAAATGAAGTCATTTTCTAATACCTCCAGGGAGAATTTTGAAATTTTAGGAAAAAAAGCCACAAAAAATCGCGAAGAGATTTTCCTGCTATATATGCTTGATATAATATTCCCTTTGTGATAATTTACTGCGAGGGGCTTTTGAGACTAGGGATCAACGATACAGTTTAAGGGTGCCTGTAGCATGAAAAGATTTTGCCATAACATGAAAAACACTACATTGCCAACCTAAGAAGACCTTAATTATTTAGATATGGTTCATACGCTAGTAATAGTTAAAAGATTAAGTTTCTACGTATTTAATTTTTAAAAACTTCAATTTAATTTTGTCATATTAACATGAAGCTCACAATTTTATATTAAAAGCTTTTTAACGTCTGAATTTAAAATTATCACTTAAATTTTTTATACGTAGAAATGTTAAAAAGTTGCAAGTACTCTTTAAACATGGTGCATACCTTTAAGATCTATGAAATTAATAAAATTTAGGAATGAAAATCAAATTGAAAACTGAGTTACATTCAAATTTAATGATTATTATTTTTAACTCTTCAGCTACCTTTATTATACAACCAGTTGCTAATGCCTCGTGGTAATTTTCTATAGTCACATCCTGCAAAATGCAAAATCTCTAATTCTCTGAATTTTGCTCAAAAAAATTAAAATTTTAAAAGATTAGGTTTAAAAATTATTTGCTGACATTATTTCAAATGATGGAAGAACAGGCCTTGTTTTAAAATAATCTATTTGATAACTTTTAAATCATTTCACTTAATTAGCATTTATTAAGATGCGTAAATTTTAATTTATACAATGTATTCTCAAGATTTTTAACAATTAAATATCAAATGATGCAATATCTAGCTAATTTATTTTACAGTCCGATAAACATATAGAAATATTTTAAAGCCTTAAACAGAACTCACTACATCTGCATACTTCAGATCGGGTACCTCAATATTTATTTCCACCGAGCAGTGCCTCTTACCTTTTGGTATTGCCTCTCGACCTCCATAAGTTGCTCTTTGCGATGCCTTCCATCAGCCAAAAGCTGTTCCCATCTAAAATCATATGTGATTGAATAAACTGGAAGGTAGTATTATGGATATCAAAAACATTGAAGTTCATCAACTGCGATAAAAAGGCTATCTTGTAATTCTAAAAAACTTGCGCTATAAACTTGATACTTGATTCACTATTAAATAATAGGCACTAAGCAGTTATAGCGAATTCAGCAATTAAAGTCAATCTCAGACAAAAGAGCCTATTTTATAAGTCCATAATTCCAAGATAGTAACACAATACAGCAAAATAAACAAAAAATTGTTAAACAGTTTTGAAAAAGTCCACGAGCATGAAAAGACAGACAAGCTATGTGCTTAAAAAAAGGAAAGCGGCTGCCAGCTTGATCACGTATCGAACACGTACCTGCTCAAAAGATTGTCATGTCTCTGAATGATGGCACGTGACTGTTCATGCTCTGATTTGACCAATTCGTCTTTCAGACTTGTGACACGTGCGATGCCTTCATGTTCGAATGCTTGCAAGCCAGCTTCAAATGTGTCCTATACAGAAACAGCGCCAAATTGATATAAAAGAGAGGCAAATTTCGATGATTTAAAAAATATGCATAGAAAGATGCTCAACTATTTTGAAGTTTCGCTGTAATGCCTTCGCTGTAAGCTTTTACAGAAACTGATTTTGATTCTGAGTTACAGGACGAAATGACATGATACGTTATTGCGAAACTTTTCACTGATATTTGAAAGACTGTTCATTAAGGAAATATGGGCCACTATTACCAAATCGTATGAGACTTTTATATCTTATTCAGAAATTTAATTCAGAAAAGACTTGGATTTTACAAAGAAACTCGAAGATGACGGTGCAAAATTAGGAGTTTCAACTTAAAATGTGTAAGCTAAGTACTCTCTACGAGAGATTGTGGAGATTCTTGGGAACAGACACCCAATTTAGGAAGGCAAAGGAAAGCAAAAACAGGATGGGTGCTGAAAAATAACGACTGTATTCCCTAAATATTGATCAAATTGTGTATAAATAGATTCATGATTCACCTGTTTGGTGATGAGGGTTTGAACATGTGGAAGGTCTTTTCCAGTGTCATCAGATTTAACAAACACTTCCTTGTCATCTGTCAAAAAGACATAAAAGTATTTTTAAAGCAAAAAGGTCTTTCTCCGCGCACTTGAGAAGAAGTTTAAGTGTTATATAGAATACAGAGAGTCAGGTAACTAACTTTGTTTGAACTGGAAAAAAGAGGTGGGGCAACTGTTTCCATTGCATAGCAGTTATTGTGTAATATTTTGACGCAAGGCAGTGAGACCAGAATATCCTCCTGACCTTGCAAAAATGACGTCAGAAGGTGATATCCCGACTTACCTATCCAAGATTCAACAACGTCGGCCTTCCAGTTGAACTGCAAAAATGCTGAGTTGTCATTGAGCTTGTTTTTGCGGGTGTCTGCTTGCGATTCAAGGTCTTCCAGCTTGCTCTAGAAATCCAGAGAACAATCATGACAAGGTGATACCCGCGATTTCTATTTGATGGCTGATACAATAGGAAATTGTTATAGGTCACAATCGGTATTCGAATTAGTTGACGGAGAGTAAAAGAAGAGAGCAAAGAAGGAGACTGTCCATCACTGTTTCGATGAAGTAAACCTTTAACGGGCAAGGTTGCAGGAATGAACTAACACCAGAACAGTCTGCTGTCTAGCCATCCTGTTGCTGATACGTGGCAGCCGAAGCGTTGTTCTGCTGTTGGTTTCTAAATTCTAAATGCAAAGGAGGAGGACTTTGTTGATGTGAACAGCACACGGGCGGAGCATAATGCCTTGAAAGTGTAACGCTTAATATGTTAAATTATCAGATTGTGACTCAAAGTTTTTACGTTCTTTCCACTAACTTGATACTTTAATCCGAAAAATTCATTGAAATCCGATTGTAATCATTGAAGGTTTAATATGTCAGTTCCTATAAAGAATATTTCTGAATATTGAGAATCGCAATATTTACCTGAAGAATGTCAATTCTTTTCTTGATTTGATCTCCTTTGAAATTATCCTGTAAATTTCGTTAAAATAAATGAAAACGGTCAAACTGTGATAGGTAAATTATCAAGAGGAGATAATGACTTACCAGGAATGCCGGTGCAAATTTTGAAATGGGGAAGGGAGGCTCTACACAAATTGGTAAATTATTAAGAGCTTTGTGAAAACCTTGGGATGTGCTGCTCGGTATATTCTGCCGTATTTTCCATGATTTGTCTCATTATTCAAGCAAAGAGAGTTGGATAATAACTGAACTTCGTCCGATCGCCGTACAAAACAAAAACAAAAGTTTGCGGGTTTAACTACAAGTAACAGAATGCATCGCGCCATGCTGTAATTAGGGGAAAGATCTATTGGAGAATATGCCAGAATTACAAAATCTTTTAGAGGTGAGTAACATTTATACAGAACATTAATTTTGGTATTGGCGAGATCTCCATCGTGGATAAATCTCAAGCAATTTTTCAATGGTATTTTACAAAAGTTTAAACAATACTCACTTCAGCGATCAGCTTCTCTCCGACCGAGCGGATATCAGCTACTCTCTGCTTATGAACTTCAAGATCACTTTCAAATGCTTCATGTTTCTTTTGAAGGGTCTAAAAGCGAAGGATTCACTTAAGGGGCAGGTTGAAAACTTGGCTTAACAACAAACTGGCAATTATATGACAAAATACATTCAAGCTGAAGTGGGAAGCTCATAATAAAAGACTTCCCGCTAGGACAGGTAGGACCATTTTTAAGCTTTGAATTCACAAATTAATACTTTTCAACACATCTTCTGCATAACGAACAGCTGCAATAGTGAAATGAGAAATAAACTTGCCCAGGACATAAAAGAACGATTAAGGACACTGACCTGTACAGCTGCGAGAGTATCGCCATAATCATCACTTGAAACGAAAGCCCTCTTCTCTGCAATCCAAGATTCTTCTTCATCAATATTAGCACACAATTGCTGGAAGGCCTCTGATTCATCCAGTCGTTTTGATCTATGATAATTACAAACATACTATCAACAAACCTCTTACAAGAAATACTCCTTTTTTAACTACTAACAACTGCTTCTGCTTCTAAAAAATAAGATTTGGCATTAGGTTACCTTTCATCCGCCATTTTGTTCAGATCTTCCCATTTTTCAAGCAAACTTTGTGACCTTGCTTTGATTTCTTCTTCATTCGGATCATTTTCTGCAATAAACTTTCGACCCGTTTCGACAACACCCATTATAACTGGCTCGTGAGCTTTGAGTTCAGTTATAAGCCTTTGGTGTTTGCGTCTGAGATTTTGCACCCCAGTAAGGTCTTTGCCAAAGTCTTGAGAGCTGACCAAAAGCTTCTTTTCCCTGAGTGGTTTAGAATAAATTAAAAGTTAGGCTAAAACACAACAGATAATTATCGAATGTTGTTAGCTTTTGGAACTTAGACATAATCTTTGGGTCAAGAGATTTTCTGTACTCTTCATAGTAGGTGTTTAGTATTCATTTAGACGATATTAGGTAAACGTTAAGCATCGATGTATTTTTGACAGATGCTGAGTTGCAAGAGCTCATTTCTAGTAACCTGACACCGGCCTAAAAGTTACAAGAACTGAATTCATTACAGAGAAAAGAATAAAATGTATGATTGAAATCACTCGTACTTAATCCACGACTCTTCATCATCAATGTCACGGTAGAACTGGTGAAGTGAAAGTGATTGTTCCAGCTTTGAGCGTCGAGTTGTTCGCATCACAGTTATCCTACAAAAAAGAGAAACGAAGCATGAATAATGGGTATATTCGCTCATCTGGTGCGTACATATGAAGATCTGAGAAAGAGGCTGTTGCAATATCTCACCAAACAGGGCGTAACTTACCTTGGTAGCAAGCAGAAACAACATAAGGCAAAAAAAGTCTATGATTGTCTGTCTATTGAATGTCTCGGATTTGAAAATGCTTCATGTTGTTACTACTCTTTCTTATTTTGGGTTTGTTTCGAGTTTCAACATTTACCACAGTTTAAACATCAACTCTTTAGATCTAATAAACTTTTGCAAGCTTACTCTGTTCGGTTTTCAAAAACCTAATTTCATTTAAAAGATTTTCTCTTTTAATCTAATAAACTTTTTTCAAGCTTACACTGTTAGGTTTTTTAAAAAGCTTGGGACGAAGGGTGAAACCAAGGATCCTTACGCCAAACACAACATACAAAAAGCCTGGTTTGTAGAGAAACCTGGTCTTGTTTATTAATAAAATAATTAAACAATTATCAATAGAATACAAATATTACTTACTTTTCAAATCTTCGGACAATTGTCTCGTGCTTCTCTTTTATTCTCACAGCATCAAAATGTTCGATTTTAATGAAATGCTCACATTGATTGGTCAGGACTGTTATTCGTTCCTAAAGCATTCAACAAAAAATACAATCAGTTACAGACAGCCCTTCTGTTTTCTAAAACCTAGCATTGTAAAACCTATTAACTCCCGATTTGTTTAATTTTTTATACACTCAACCTAGTCTGTTTGCTCATTCAGGTTGCAGATAGAAGAGGACAGAGGAAAAACCGACAGACTCTTTATGTACATTTATCACTCCACAGATACACTTAATGTCAAAAGGTCTCCTAAAAGTCGAGATATTTTTAAAACATTTTTATCGGATCACTTTGTCTTCGAGGGCTCCCTAACTCGGAGAAAAGACAGTTAAGCTGGCAACTTTCAAGAAAACATCATCTACATATGAAGAACTCTTTGTCGTCACAAACCTCATGAGCAGAAATGTCCACTTCAATGAGCTGGTGCTTTCGCAACAAATTCTGCACACTTGCCAGGTCCTTGCCATAGTCTTCAGATGACAAGGCTGTTTCGACCTGTAGAAAGAGTTTATGGCTTCAGTTATGTAAAATATAGATTTTATATTAGCATTAGATTAGACCCTGATGAAAAGTCTCCGGAAATCGTTAAAAGGTGGATGTTAAAAGGTGCAGCAAGATTCAGGTTCTGGTTTTACCTCGCCAAGCCAAAAGTCCATGTCCTTGACACTGCTGTAGAACGACTGTTGTTGACTGCCTTCCTGCAGCTTCTGAGTCTTCACCTTACAAGTTCTGATCAGTGTTGTCCATGATTCCTCGATAGTTGTTATCTTGTATCGAACTGTCTCCTCGTTGCCTTGACATTTTCCGTTTTCAAGCAAACCTTAAGGAGGGAAATCATCAAAAGCTTACTGAAAAGGTAATCATCAAAAGCTTACTGAAAAGGTACTTTTAAGGTGGGTAGTATAAGATCACAAAGAGAACTAGCAATTCCCACGATTGCGTGGACGGTTTGAGTGTAAAGTACTAATATAAAAGAAGGTTTTACAAACAATTGATTTAACATTATTTCCCATTGAAACAAAACATGCCTGAATAACCACAAAAAATAAAGAATCATTTACTATATTTGGGGCTAGCAATAAAATCTATTCTAATAATTTCCGACGTTGGAATTCAAACTGCAATTATAAAATCTTCAAACAAAAAATGACATACAAAAAGCCATATAAATTTTAAAAATAGTGAAGGACAAAGTAAATAATCTAGATGAACATTAACAAAACCATCTTAAATCTTCAAAACTGGTAAAAAAGGTTAACGCGATAAATGTACATATTTGTTTTTGATAGCCAGCAAAAAATATTCTTCAAAGTTAAATTTTTATGCCATGAATAAATGTATAAATGCATGAATGAATGAATAAATGAATTAATTAATTAATCAATGATTCTATCCAGCAGGAGGTTATTAAATACCTTTTCCTACGTTGATGACGCCCATAACTCTATCTTCATTGGCGGCAATTTCAGCTTCAAATGCTTGATGCTTTTGTACTTTACCCTTGAAAATATAAAAAGATTCAAAAATAAATCATTTATGCATTCAAATTCAAACAATACCTTTCGGGAAACATTTAAAATTTCCCTCAGTGGCGGACACTTGGTCAAATATTGGGGGGGCAAGCCTATTGTTTTAATAAGATGACGTCACATTTCCCATTGTTTTAAAACAAAAGACCATTGTTCTCTAAAGTACTGGGGGCGGTCGCCCGCCCTCGCCCCCCAAGTGTCCGCCACTGATTTCCCTGAAGATATGCATACCAACCAAAAAGAGACTTTCCGATGGCCGTCAAAAGGAGGTCGGAACATACTGCGAGTCAGGTGAATAAAAGATGCAGCTAAATTTAAATGAGATTAGTTGAAGTCAACAGCGAAGAGATGGAGAAAAGGGTTCTTCTTGTGGATGTTTTAAAGAGGGAACTTAGGGGGGAGAAAAAAGAAAATCACAACATACCTGGATATTACTGGGATCTTTATACGACTCCTCCAAAGCGGTCTGCATTTTCTCGCTAATCCAACCTTCAACATCATCGACATCTCTTATAAACTGCTGCAGGTTCTGAGACTCTCCAAGCTTAGAACGCTTCTCAACCAAAGCTTCTTTCAAAGTTGCCCATCTGAACAGATAAATAACAAGAACGTGAAAAACAAAACAAAATCTACGGAAAAAATGAAAGGCTTCCAATCCAACTTTTACTATTAAGGACAGTATGATACTTGTTGATAATTAATGATAATTGATGATAATTAATGTATGAAGAGACTGTGATAAAGCCGGGTATCAATGGCTTTCCGCATGGCATAATCTACGACAGTCTACAATGTTTTGTCCGGTGTTGTTTGTAATGCGGCATGCAACGTATCATCGCTCACAAGTGTTAAATACTACCATGCTATTCAATGATTTGATTGCCCAGACAAAAGAGCAAATTTCTACTCAGTGTATCTTATGTAAAAACATAACTCCAGTGGTTTTTCTCATATCTAGTTATAAAAAATTCAGAAAGCAAACAGTAAGTAAAACGGGGAAAATATATGTTAAACAGGATAATAACATACATATTGTCAGCAATCAATTTCAGCTATTAAAATATTATGGAGCCAAGCCTGCAATCAACAGGCAAGAACATCGAAGCCAATACCTTGCAAGAACGGCCTGTATTCTGGCAGCGATTGCCTCGGAATCATAATGCTCAGCTTCAATAAGTTTATCGGCATTCTTCTGCAAGTTTGAGACCTTTTCTTCCTATAATTTGGCAAACAAGTAGCATTTAGCAACGTTATGACAATGATAAAGTATGGTACTGATAACATCAGCCACTGAAGGAAATTTTTGCTGTACGAAAACAGCTCTTGTAATTAATCCGGACATTTTCTGATAATTTCTTGCAGTTGCTTATAAGTATAGATAAAAACTTTTAGATTTTCGCTTATTTTGACTATTTTCTGATACTTTCAAATTTTAAAACCTTCCTATGATTTGGGCGATTAACCTGTTATTCTATTTGAGGGATAAGTTATTCTAATCACTTTCTGATTATTTCTAAAAGGGATCTGATTATAACAATTGATTATCCCTCGAACACATACCTGTGCATTCAAAGCTCGCTCAAAGTCGTGGTGTTTTTTCAAAAGCGCATCAGCTGACCCGCCATCATCTTCACTCATCAGAACAGACTCCCTCGCAGCCATCCATGTTTCTGCCATCTCAGCATCACGAATAAATAACTGCTCCTCCATACAGTCATCAAGAATTTTCCTCCGCTTCTCCCATGCACTGGAAAAATTCAAAGGTAGAGAATACTGTCCGATATGAGCAGGATGAACTCTAAATTTCTCAGGATTTCTAGGTATCATCTTGATAGTTCTCACATTTTTAAAGCGAGTAATTTTACGAGGTCACGCTTTTCAATCCATTTGATAGTATATCAGGATAATAAAGCATTCAATGATTTTAGAACAATTCATGGAGGATAATTTAACAGTACCAACAGTTTTTAGTAAATATTGTCCTTAAACTAGTTCCCAAAGAAACTGGGATTACAAAGAAACAAAGAAACAGCTTTAGCACCAAAAAACATAACTGCTTGTAGCAAGTCTCAAAGAAAAATTTCTACTCGATTCAATCTTACAATTAATATTCCAAAAAATAATTCTCGAGGAACTTGAATTTCTTTAAAAACTTGAATTTCTGTTTACCTTCTTTAAACGGTGGCTGAAAAGGGGTCGAAAAGGAAAAAAGTCCCAACTTACTTTTCAAGTTTCTGCCTGTCATTTCTGATTTCTTGCAGCTTTTCTTGAATCTCATCTTTTGCTGGGTGATCATTTGCATCAAGTTCGGAAGAGAACTGTTCAAAAGCATCGAAAACTGGCGATTTTGAGTCGATTTCCATTCGGTGTTCCTACGAGGGGAAATTAACAAGATGCCTTATTCGATGTTTCGAAGACAAATTTACGGTGGCATTTTTTGTTATCCTCCGAATATTCGAGGGTCGACAGGATATTACCAGTCTTCCACTCAAACATGAGCGGTATCAATGCCACTTTTAAAAGAGAAAAGTATTTTATTTAAAAATTCCAGGGACGGCTCAGATAGGAGTAGCATTATAAAGAACTGTGATCGATTTTTACTTCCTTGAGGAAAATCAAAAAGCAAACAATTTATCTCTTATAAGGGAGCTTGCCAAAAGTGGTAGATACCTGATGCCTGTCTTGCAATGCTTCGGCTTCGGCTACATCTCTTGCCAAGTCCTCAGAAGTTACCAAAGCGTATATGCTGTTTATCCATGACAATAAATCTCTGCAATAGACACAAAAGACGATATAACTTTGCACTGCCTCCCGATTGCCTCTGATTTATACACATTGTCACATTAACTTTTAGACTTAAAATGTGACACACCAAAAATTCAGATCTAATTCTAATAACATAAGATAAGAAATTAGAAAAGATAAGAAATATAAAATTACGAGATAGAATAAAAAGTACTAAATTTGGCTGTTATCTGTAAACGACACGATTTCATAGCTAGTCCACAGCCAAATTTGTTGTCCCTATTCTATCGTTAGAAGCCTTTTGTCAATAAACTAGGATTCATTCGTAATCCGTGTATTCCAAAAAATTAACCCTTTTCTGTAGTAACAGTTTCAAAAATTATATTCTAGCACGAAAATATGAATGTCCATAATTAATCCCATAATTTATATATATATTTTGTCCCTAGATTCTTTGTAACTAATTTTCAGAATATCTTTAAAGATATTCTGAATCAACGATGAGATAAGACTATTTCAAGCATCTTTATTCGCATACAAGGTGATTACAGTTACGAATATAACATTGCGCACCTGTAGTCATTCAAGTACTTCTGTAAGGCATACGATTCATTTAGGTTCTTCTTCCTCATGGCCGCCTTCTGAGATAACGTTGCCCAGGCTGAATGCAACTCGTTAAATTTAGACTCAACTGTTTCAGCTGAGCCAGGATGCGTGGACTTCAATTTCTCTGCTTCAAGATTTAAGGCTCGAACCTGCAAGAAGCACAATTCACATTAATATGATTATTATCACCCCCGGTTTAGTTGGCATTTGTCGTTTGTTTTCACAAGAAACAAGATTTAGGCCTTGCATCTGTTAGAATAGAAGCATTACTATCATTCCCGCTTTATCACCGAAATGAAACTATTAGCATAACGAAAATGCCAAGTATAAAAATCATTTTTCAGAATATCATAAAGCTGTTTGGCCTGTTATAAAACAACCAACTCAATTTGCTGCTATACGAAATAATCATATATGTTTTTCGATTTTTCCATTTCATGTATGTATTTTGTTTTTCTATAGGCACGCGGCACTGACGGGACAACTATACAGGTCAAGTGCTTTTTCCTTGGTTGGCCTATTTCGATCTACAATTAGGTATATATTCTCCATCTTGCTTTTTCGGACCCTTATTCTGACGTTTTTATACTCTGAGAAGTGTCGAACGGAAAAGCTTTTAGCATTCTGTAAGATTGTTCACTTTTTTGTTAAATATGATACCAAAAAATTTTTTCGATTTCAAGGCATATTGAATCTTTCTCCATGCCTTGAGAAAGTAGCTTTTATGTAACTACATGTGAAAGTACCATGTAGCTATAGAGATGTCAAAACAAGGACAGAAGTGTTGAAATTACATCGGATGGTTTACTTGAATTTTTGAACGATTAGGTACGGTTATAGCATCATTTTTGGAGGTTCTTTCACATAGAGTAATATAGAAGAGGATTTTCAAACGGCCTTTTTTACATAAAGAAGCAAATGGAGATGATTCAATAAAAATACGGGCTGGGGTGAAATCAATAAAGTTCCTAGGGCATGGTGATAAGACACCTTTAGAGGAAGTTTGATATAATCTCTACTTTTTGCTCTTTGAATTGTTTGTAGCAAACTAGATTTTATCTAAATAAATATCAGATGGCTGTGTTACATAAACCAACCTTTTCTTCCAAAGCAGCCAAATCTCTTTCAAGGGCCTCGTGTTTTCTCTGTAAAGCTTGCACACTGGCCAAGTCACGCCCATAATCGGTTGATGACAAAGCAACATCCTTTTCGATAATCCAGGCTTGAGTATCATCAGCATCTCTGTGGGGACAACGAGTTTTAATCTTGTAGATATAACATATGGAGATTCAGAAAAAAATCTTTAAAAACAAGGAAGTATTGCGTTTAAACTGCTAGCATCAAATATATCTAAATATTTACAGAAAGATTGGAATAGAGTATACTTCAAAGTACTAAATAATAGTTCTTTTACAATGCATATAACGAAAATACATAGCCATAAAAAAGTAGCTCTATTTTTTTATAATGCTGGTGCGCCTGTCATCTGTAGAATTGGAAGGTCGGTTACAATTACCTGTTAAAACGTTGAATCTCTCCGGCACTTTCCAACGCCAGCCTTCTTTCTTCAGCAAATATCTGCATTTGTTCCCATCTCTCAGTGACTCTCTAAAACACAGAATTGAACTAAAATATTAAACTTTAGTACAATTCAAAGTATCATTGATAGCAAAACGGGTTTAAGCTTTAACATTGCATTATTTAAGTTCTCGTTTATATCAAATCTAAATATCTATTGTTTCCATTATAATAATTAAGAGTTCTCTGTTGGGTTAATTTCATAATTCTAATGTGTATAATTTATCTGATACGGCGACACCCCTGAACAGAATTCTGTAAAAGCTCTATCAAGCTCCGGGGGCCTATTTATTTTTCATTCCTAGACGGGGGAGGTTAATAGAGAGGGGGCTCATTCTAAATTTTGCTTGATAAGGAGGCTTAATAGAAAGGGAACTTAAAAGAGAGGGGAGATCTAATAGGGTTTTTATGGTAGGTGAATCGGGCAAACAGCTCACAGAAATGTGGAAAAAAAAGGAAGCTTTTATAGACAATCTATTCCAGTTTAATAATTTTAAAAAAGGCTGATGAAAGGAGTGAAATTATGCTAGAACACTTGCCTGCAGGATTTCCTGTACACGTTCATACTCAGATGACTTCTGCTCTTTGAGCTGCGCACACAAGATCTGAAGCTCCCTTATCCTTGTTTCTTGTGTTATCATGTCCTTGAAAAATGAAACAAAATCAATGTTAAAACATCATCATCATCATCATAACTCAGTGCATAACGATGGAAATATGGTCGCATCGATTTCCTATTATTTGAGGTTAGCCATGACATTATTTCAAAATAACAAAGAAAACCTTTGAAAAGACAACATACAAGTTTGATTTTAAGACTAAAGGTCAAGACACTTCTCAAAGTGGATCACTACAAGACTTCAAAAATCTAAGCAGAAAAATAATTTGACACCTTTTTGAATTCGTCATAATTTTTCTGCAGCCCTTCAACGTGGTCCATGTCTTTCCCAACCTCTTCACAGGTTACCACAGCTTCCTGAAGGATAAAAATGAACAAAGGGTAAAATCGGTCAAAGATAGGATAAAAAGAGAACACACAGAATTATCCTTTTCAAGAACCACGTAAAGCTATGTGAATGTGCTTTCGTCCCATGCAATTCTGAAAATGTAAATTGTTAGCCAATTATGATTTAGTATATTACCTTGTCCTGAATCCACGATTCAACTTCTTTGGCCTCTCGAAGCATTCCATGTTGTTTAATCGATTCTTCAAGTTTCAGATGCCTTTCTTGAGCTTTTGATATTAGTTCAGCATACCTGTTTGATGGAACAAAGTTGTCAATAGAATATGACTCATAGTTTTAAATGTCTACGATACTTTACTGTCAAACAAAATTGTTTCTGTTATGATTCGCAAAAAAATCGTAAAGATGCACAAAGCACGGAGACAAAGGTCACCGTTGACGTGATCAATGCTCGGCTACACATATCTTCTGCACTGGCACATTAATGGCATAGAAAAATGCAAGACAGCTACTTTTATACTAGAAAAGCAACAATACTCACAGTTTGTCGATAGCAGCTTGTCTATCTGTAATCGTGTCAGCAGTTGGGATTTTAGAAAGCAGGTCTTGCGATGCACTTTTGGCATCAATTTTTTTCAAGAATGATGCAGGAACAAATCCTTGGCGATCGTCAGCTTCAACTTTCCACCATTCCTATTGAAGAATAAGTTCGAGATATTTAAGTGAGGTATTGAAAAGATGTTTCAAGCTCTTTCGATAGATGTTTCTATGCTATTATCGTTTCTTTTATGTGTTTGCAGGGGGGCGGACAGTTGGTCAAATATTAGGGAGGGGGCAAGCACATTGTTTTGACAAGATGAAGTCACATTTTCCCATTGTTTTAGAACAAAAGATAATTACCTACAAGATTATTAGGGGGGCGACCGGCCCCAACTCGCCCTCTTCGCCCCACCTCGCCCGCTAGATGTCCACCACTTTGCGAGCCACTAGTTCTTAGTTTTTTTAAGTACGTTTCAAGCTTGTGAGCTCACAATTAAAAGCAAAGAAGGAGCAAGGAAGGCTCATTTTCGAGTGGTAATTGTTTATGGCTAATTATTCAATGATTGTCTGACTACCAATATCTTAAAAGATGCAATAAAAGACAGAACTGGAAAATGACAACACTTACTCTGTTATCGCTGTTAAGAAGAGTTAAAACTTGTCCTTCTTTGATGGAGATTTCTCGTGCCGTTTTCTCGTCATAATCGTACAGGGCAACAACGCATTCCTTGCCAGATAGATCGCCTTGCTGTATCAATGGCTTCGATAAAAAAACATGTCGAATATTAAGGACTAGGAGCAACAACTATTTAAGAAATCCGCTATTTAATGAAAAAATGATCCAGAAGCAAAGTACTAATTATAGGAGAAAGTAACAAGCAAATAATAAATCAATGAAACATAGCTGATTTTGAAAAACTTTCTTTAGGAGGTGATGAAATTGAAAGAAAATGGCTTAAAACTTTACAATTTACTGCTTATGGAAAGTTCCTCTATTTTTCCATTTTGTAATTCATGAACAGAATCAAGAGCCATCTTTGCATACTCGTCACTATTTCGTTATCAAACAGAAATATGACTCAATATCATACCTTGCACTGCAAACTCTGTTCCCTCAGTCCTTCAATTACGGTATTAAATGCTTCTAGATCAGAAATCAAAGCTTCGTGTTTTTTCAGCTTCGCCTAGAGAAAAGCAAGCACTCATCATCCATTAAATGGCATAGTATAATCAACTACGTGGACTGTAAGATAGAACAAGCTGGTGCATTCGGAGTACCGCATGAAAATATAGAGTTGGAGGCCTACATTTAGTATTGGGAGTGGGAGGCATATACCTCGCTTTTAATATTTTCATACTTACTTGGGATTGTTTTGAATAAATACAAAAATGAAGAAATTTTCATTGACTAAGCAAAATGTTGGTGTTTAGAGTTGGCACTGGGCGTGAATCAATACGGCGGGTAAAAAGAGAGCTTCAAAGATTGTTTTAACTGCAAGCTGAATAGTTTTAAATTCGAAACAATAACACACGAAAGCGATGTCATCAACTCTAAAATTTGCAAGGCAAAATTGTGCTAGTTAGAATATAAACTACAGCATGCTAGAACTTTCAAAAGAATAAATCAGATTCACAAATGCACGCACAAAAAACAGGGTTAGCATATATTCTGAAACATCACTTCCTCTGACTTTTTAATTCCAGGCAATTAAATCCTAATTCCAGGCAATTAAATCTATCTGCATCTTCAGGTCTACGGACACCACACAATGGTTGGTTATTAATGAACAGACAGTCACCTGGGCAGTGTCCTCGTCTTTGCCGTAATCAGTGCTGCAAACAATTGGCTCTTTCTCCAACAGCCACGATTCGGCTTCGCTTGCTTCAGAAAGATACTGCTGCGTCTGGACGGAGTCCTCGAGGTCCTTCTTCCGGCTTGTAGCTTTTTCCTAGAATACAACCAAATGCAACTGACTTAATGAATAATGAGTAAATCCAAATTTAACGTGGTTACGGGTTATGCAGTTTTATAGTTATATTAACGCGAGTCTTTTAAAATTAGCCTCAACTACAATCCTGGCCAAAAGTTATTGGACTGGGCTGGAAAATTGTAGTATTTTTGGAAAAATACGCTCCCCGCCCCCACTGTCAATGTTGATACGCTTATTTCTACTCTTTTCGATTGCTGTTACTTGGGTATTTAAGAAAAAACCAACATTGCTTCAGGGGTGGGGGGTTTTGATAATATTGTTGGGGTCAAGTTGCAATTTTAGTGGTTTTTTCACCAGTCCACTAACCTTTTGGCCAGGATTGTAGCTCCGTCTATCAAACCCAAATGTGAATGAAAGATCAATCCTCAGTAGAGAATTAATCAGTACTATTCAAATGCATGAAACAATTTGACAAGCATGCTGCAGACTAGCTATTACAACCAACCACTGAAAAATGCATTAACACATTAAATATATGCTTCAGGTCTTGCCTACATTACGGTTTTAATCTGCAAAGGCACATTGGTTTGACTAAACTGCTTCGTTAAAATATGCCAGGAATGTGAACTCACCAGAAGGTCTTGCCAGTGGTTGTTTAAATCGTCGCATTTGTCTCTAATTTCCTCACTTGCAAAATGCTCTAAATGATTTAAGAAAAATAAGTCGAGATGAAAAAATGAAGATGACAGAAGATGAAGTGGTCTTTCCGATTACAAGGAAATCATACAGAGATCAAAGAGAACTACTTAAAAATCAACATATTACGAGACAGTTCCATTGCGACAATTTCGTTTTTATCTGCATTTATTACTAGCTTACTATCTTCTTGATAATTCTTTAATTCTTCCATTTTGTTATGTTGTATGAGTTTGTTTAACAAGGTGTTTAGCCTGACATGTTACACTTGGTCTATCTCCAAAGGATGTAGGCAACAACTTAATTTCTAATATCAACCCTAAATTATCAAGTGATCTATTCATTTTGAATATAGAAGCATAAGATGGTAACCTTCAAAGGCTATTGAAAGCGTAAAATTCTGGAAAGACTGAAGCAATGGAGCTCAAAAACCTTTCGAGAACAGTGTAAAGGAAATTTTATTGGGATATCCTTTACCTTCATTGACCATTTCTTGGCCATTTTGACAGACAGCTTCAATTCTTGGTTCATGACCGTTGAGCTCATTCTGAAGTAAATTTAGAAGGAAAATAGTATCAATTTTGAATAGCATATCACATAAATGGCATTGCAGAATGACAGTGCTGTCATAAATAGCATAAAATATACTGCAATTTCATAAGAAGTCAGTAAAATCGCATATCTTATCCAGGAGTTGCTGCTAAAGTTCTACCGGATGGATCTTTTTGTAATGGAGTGCTGTACTGAGAAGGTAACGAAAAAAAATATTTTCACGTTTTTCAATGTCGAACTTTCTGACACAGCAAAACAGAGTTGGTGCCCTTTATAAGTTCTCTACTGTTATTGGCATTTTGTCGTATCTTAACGAAAACATTTAAACGTGAAAATTCGACACTTTGGGCCTACACAGTCAGAAGAAGTCTAAAATGTCGAATTAAATGAGATTTTTGGCACCAATAATAAACTCCCCTGTAGACTTACCACCAAAGCATTGTGCTTTTTCAGTAAATTCTGGGCACCAATCAAGTCACGACCTGCAATTTGAAGAAAAAATACTTTGAAAAATTGTGCCACTTTTATTAGATCACACGAGCAACAAAAGCTTGATAACAAGTCCTTTGCACGTTATCTCCAATATTTATAGATTTAAAAACCAAAACCATAAAAATACCACAAATATTGAATAATAATCGAAAAAGGTATATTATCCGACGCACAGTTCGAAAACTATTTTATAATAGCGGAGCATGAAACCTGTGTTAAGAGATGAGGCAACTGGCTCCTTCTCGTTAATCCACGTCTTCTCATCTTCAACGTCATGCAGGAACTTTTGAAATTTCTGCGAATCTTCGAGGATCTTAGCGCGCTTTTCCGCGGGTTCTGTGAGATTATTGTACCTTTCAGATAAGGCTTGTTCTCTAGCTTGGATTACAGGGTAATCAAAATGATCTGCGGCAACAAAGTTTTCGCATTGATTCTGGACTGCTTCGATTCGATCCTTCAAGAAGAACACAGCTAATTCAAACAACCGTAACTTCAATCACAAATCTAAGCTTAAAGTTCTTTATCATAACAGCAAAAGTATTTTTCCAATATCAACCATAAGGCAATGAAGATCTGACATAAAAGACTTCGCCTTGCATAAATTTGTCTCTAATTTAAAACATATAATAAGAACCATATATTTATATATCAAACAGGCTACATTTTACTGTCAAGCAAACATTCTAAAAATTAAGACATTCTAAAACTTAAAAGTTTAAAACTTAAAACGTCTCATTTTAAACTCAAAACAACAAGCAGGGATATAAACCTAGACGATTTGCCATTAATCTCATAAAATTTTAACTTTTATCTTTGTAATATTAATTTCTACTTTGAAAATACAGGTAGTTTAATACAGGTATAATAAATTATATTTACTGATAAATTAATCTGTAAAAATGCAAAATATTATTATCATCAATATTATAGAAATTGACATCTAAACTTTAAAAAAGCTGGGGGTACCTTGTGTGCTTCAACATCAGCTATTAACAAACTGTGCTTCTTTTGGAGGTTTTTCACGCTAGTAAGATCCTGTTTGAAAGCAAGCAAAAAAATAAGTTATCATCAGCAAAACTGACAATTCGAAAATTTGAAAAAAGGGGCACGTGATAAAGATAACGAAAAAATATATTAATAATTGAGATTGGCAATGGAACATGTATAAACTAAAGGGGCTGGAGCTGCAAATGAAATGATGATATAAACGCTACAAGGGGAGTGAGAAAAAACAATTAAAAATATTGGTGTGCAGCGGAGGAGTGAGCGTAGTTAAAGAGCCTTTATCGTTAAAGAGCCGCTACGCCCAGCCCTCTACTGCACATCTAGTTGATAGTGACGTCTGAACACAAACTCGATCTAAATTTCGATTTCGAGAAATTACAACTTACTTTGCCAAGGTCGTCAGAAGCAAGGTGGCCTTCTGTTTCTGACAGCCATAATTCTAAATCCTCGCACGTTCTGTGAAAAGAAAACAATTACTTGGTCATCTAAGGGTCCTAAAATTTACCTTCGAAAACCTTAGCTCATGCTGTAAAACCAGGAATTCAAAAAGACTTCAAAAACAAAACAATACATCTTAACTGGCATGCGGTGACAAAAAAAGAAACATCTTACGAACGGTTTTCACCTGTTGAACTGTTGTTCTTCCTTGGCTTCCTTCAACCGTTGGCCTTAAAGAGAAAGGCACATTCAATCTCACAAAAAGTCTCTCGCTCTACAGTTGCACATTGCTTCAAAGAAATTAAAAAATACAACAGTGGAAACAGCAAAAAACAGTTTTTCATACAGAATCTTACTAGCGTGAAAAGCTTGATTTAAATAGTGAAAACAGCAAAAACGAACCCTTTTCTTGAGTTTTTTCTTTAAGAAGTGCCCAACTTTCGTTGACATCATCAATCTTGGCTTGAATATCTTCGGATTTCTCGTGGCCAGCATCGATCATTTCTTGACCTTTTGTTGCAATGGCAACGATACGGCTTTCGTTGGCTTCAAGTTCAGCCTCAAATGCCTGATGCTTCTGGATTTTCCCTTGCAGATTTGTTGGGTCCTAAGAAAATAAGTTGTGTTTTTCCAATGCAAAATGGTGACTTAAATTAAACAAGAAAATGTCTAAGTTAATAATTATTCTTAACAACGCTACAGTCAAAGGCTATGTTAAGATTTTTTGGTTGACGCCAAAGTTGGAGAAAAAGGTAAAGTGCTAAATTTCAGCTAAATTTTTAGCTAAATTCAAGATGAAGATGGATATCTTTAATTGTTTGGTGCATACGTAATTGCTTATTTAGCGAACACCTGGTTGGATATAGAGCATCAAATTATTGCTGGAGAAATTTCAAAAGCCTGGTTTTGATAAGGTTAGGAGGTCTGCCTCCAGCACGCAGTGCCCCAAATATTCAAAGAGTTCTTGACCATATGCCAGTGATCAGGCAATTTCCTATATTCGCCTGTAAAAATACATATCCGGATACATGTATGCATGTAAAATGCATCATTGTTTCCAATATCCAAAAAACAAAATCCAGAGACTTAGCAAATGGAAAGAACTCATAGTAAAAGTTTCTTACCCTGTATGATTCATCAGTTGCTACTTTCAATTTCTCCGCTAACCACGTTTTCGTTTCATCGACCTCTCTTTCGAAATTCTGATACTGCGAAGATTTACCAATCTTTGTTTTCCTTTCTGTTGATTTCTCCACAATGGCCTGGCGCTTTTGCTTCAACTAGAAGATTTTGTTCGTGATTTAAACAAGATAAGCTGTGCAATTTTGAATAGTAATAAAACAAAATATTGCTTTTTAAAGCAGGTTTAAAGACTTTTCTCAATCAGGCTCTTTTGAATTAGTAAATTTTTAAGCTTGAGAAAAATTTGAACAATTTTTCGCCGGAAAAAAATTTGGAAATGGCTCTGTAAAAGTATATTTCTACCATCTTGCACTTACGGACGCTGATTCTAGCGTTTTATACTCGGAGGAGTGTCAGATGAAAAAGGCTTTTAGTACGTTGCAAAATGTTTGCTTTTTTCAAAAGCAATCTTGAGAAAAGAATTTTAAATAGTGTCTCAGAAGCTTTCAAACAAACGTTTACAGCAAATAAGCAAGCAGTTATCCTTGTTAAAATAGACTTTTTTCACTGTTAACCTTATATTCAGCTTTACGAATGTAAATTAGAAATGTGATTCTCACTCGTAGTTCCTTGCACGAGGAGACATGAACCCCATACACCGCTAGTTACTAAGAGCGCTTTCAAACCTCCTTGTGATGTGCAACCCTCTAAGCATATAATGGCCTACAACAGTTTGCTCATTTGAAATACATACAGTGTCAATTCGGCGTTGGAGCTCATCTGCAGCATAATGGTCACTGGAAAGCATTTTCGTCGCAAACTCATCGATGGCCTAAAATAATATGACGTGGATTCGAACAAAAAAGGCAATGAAAACAAAATAGCAACATTGCAGAACTGACGTTTAAAGTCTGAACAGAATCACTGTTTTGATAAACAGCATAGGAAGCATGACGTGGCCATAAACTAAAAAAACACAGACTACACGTAACGAATCCAAAGGAAACTAAAGTATAAACTTGAAGAGAGCACAAGAGTCAACTTTGTTTAAAATCCTCTCTCTTAACAAGAGTTCAAAATGCTCTCGATTTCGAACTGAGCCGATAAATTAAATGTGGAGAAGAAAAATGATTTTTTTCCCAAAACCAAACTTTTTGTGCTTAGGGCCTTCAAATAAAAGAGCTTGAGCATTGTTAAGATAAATTAATGTTGAACCTTGAGTTTTTCTTCTTGTGCAACAAAGACATTTTCAAAATCGTCATGTTTCTTTGAATGCGTTTCAACAGCCTCCACAGATTCAATCATCGGTTCTTGGCAAACGAATGTCTAAAAGACAGATGTAAAGGTGTTTCAGAAAAACAGAAATAAGCAGGTCAAAGACAATGGCTTAACTTAAAACTTCAAGGTAACTGGAAATTACAATCTAATTAAAAGGAATATTAAGAACATTGCCTAATTAGTAAGGCAAACAGTAAATACGCGATGCTTTTTTTATGTCACAAAATTGTGGATGCACTGAACCAGTGTAAAAGGGTTTCTTTAATACCTCCTAGTGACTGTTGGGTAATTTATGTATGAAGCTATGTATGAAATAATGCAGATATCCATTCTTTAATTTTAATTTTACATTTATTCTTAATGATATCTAAGTTAAAATAGATTTGGTTTAGAATGGATTCTTTAAACACAGAATCGGAATCTTAATGGTCGTAGGCTACTTATCGATAATTGCGAGGTGGTGGTTGTGGCATAATGGAGGCCCCTATTGAAATGGGGTCCTATTGACGGACAGAAAAAGAGTGCCGCCCTAAAATGCGTTACGCCACTCGGTGGTGGGTAAAAATCAAGCCACAGTACCTCTTGTTTGGCAATGACCACATCCATTTGGGAACAGTCTCTTTGGAATATCTGGAAATCCATACACTGTTCAAATTCCAGCTTTCGCTTTTCCATCAACTCCATGAGGGCCCTTTTCTCTGCATCAAGGGTTGCTAACTGTAAACAGGCAGTAGAGAAATTATTGTACATACAACTTAACAGTCACACAAAAGATGGGTAAAATGTAGATATATAATAGGTAATTCGGGCTTTGAGTTGCAATAGCAAATAAAATGTGTTCACCTTTTCATTTATATCCTCCTTAGCATAATGGTCTTCATCCACCAATTTTGTGCCAAGCTCTACAGTGCTGTTGAAACCCCCTTCAGAGGCATCAATGTAGCCCTGAATGCGAAGATAATGGTAAAATAAAATCAATTCGAACCATTTACAACATTTCAGATTAAAGTATTAATAAAAATCAACAACAAAGCTAGATGAACTAAAACCACTTGCACCCTTAGCACAAGCGAATCTAAAGACTTAACCCCTGACCATACTGATTATAAGAAATTTTTCTATTTTCAAATCAATCCACCCACCATTTAAGATGCCCCCAAACTATCCAGTAAAAGAGATAAGGCAAACAGACTTGTCCTTCCCGGTGCCAATTATCTTTGCCAAAATAAACTCCCACTCCTACTGCCTGAAAATAATAGTACTACTGACCTGGTGCTCCTGGTGTCGTTCTAACAAGGCTTTCGCTCCAGCAACGTCTTTTGCAAGCTCGTCAGATGTTACCAAAACTCGCATTTCACTTATAAACGTTACGTAATCCCTAAAAGACAAGAATGTGACAAAAACGAATGCAACAATCCAAACAAACAAAAAACACCTCTCTATGATGAAGCAAGATAATGTCTCAGTATGTTAATGGAGACATTACTACCTTTTTAGTTAGACTGTAAGACAAACTTTATTATGGGTTGAAAGTTACAGCTTCTAGCAGGAGCATCTGTTACATACAAAGGGTGACATTAAACATCAATGACAATAATTATCATTGTGGTGCTGAATAACGAGCTTCAAATGGCACAATCCTTAGTAATGACTTTAGTTAAAATTCTTTAGTTTTGTAACCACAAAATAAAACTGAATTATTCCATCATTTTTTAGTTTTTTTTAGAAATCATCAAATTATTTAGATTCTTTGAAAATTATCAATATAGCAGCATCAAAATAAATATACTTAAAAACACACATTAAGTATTCTAAAAATGAGAAGAAAAAAGATTTTGTTTTACAATTAGACATAAATCAGATTGCATGCACCAGCTACTAAATAGATCACACTGTACCTGTACTCTGCTATGAACTTTTGGTAAAGATATGAATCATTGAGACGGGATTTTCTTTCCCCTGCCTAGATTGAAGAAAAGCTCAATAAACATTCAGCAAGCCTGTCTAGAGGCCCACGCAAAAAACGGTGAATTGTGAGGAATAAGCTTTGTCAAAGGTTTAATCAATCAACACTTTTTTTTAGTCATCTTTTATGACCCAAGCAAATGACATAGACGATACAAAGCCAGTATATCAGAACACAGAAAACATAAGCAAGCTGAATTACCCACATCTCAACGGAAAAATGCAACTGAAATTTATATCCAACGCGAATATTTATAAATACTATAGGCACTTAGTCTTTGAACAACATTAGCCCTTTGAACAGCGTCTGGGCAGATAACGCATTTTTAGAAGATGTTTGGAACAACATTTTGCGATCAATCAGCAATAATGTCTATATAACCTTTGTGATGGACATAACATTTATAAGCAAAGCACATTTATATTGGTTATTCAATATTTCTTAGAGTGCAACAAATAAAGATCAATTTGAAGGTTTGTTTTCATTTGATATTACCTTACACAAAAGTACCTTATGATAGGATCATATGGTTTTCACAAACATTACAGACGCTTTTAAAATTGTTTATTATTATTATCGCTTTCAGAGCAATTGCTAGACCACTTGCATGGGCTATTTTTTACGAAAAGACCTGGTAAGTGTGGTTTTGTCTATTCTTGGTCATCTTTTGGATTTTGATTTTAAGATAATTATAACAGAACAAAGTAGATTGAAGGATAGAAATATTTGATCTAGAAGACAAAAGAGTTTCAGGCATAATCTAGCAGGCATATTTTTAATCTTCTCTTATTACTTACCCTGGAATTGAGCTTCACCCAGTGCTCATCAAGTTCAGTTTGCTTGGCTTCAATTGGTTCTTCAAATTCTGGATGTTTCTCTTTTAATTGATCTGCATCATCGCTCAAATTATGAACCTAAACATTGAAAAACTAAAAATGTAAAGCAGCAAAGCAAGGCACACATGCTGTTAGTCACTACTACATGTGAGGTGGGAATGTGAGAAGAAGGATTCAAGGGGGGGGGGTGTGAGGTGAGAGATGTGAGGGCGGTGTGAGATGGTAGTGTGTGAGGTAGAGTGTGAGCTGGGAGTGTGGATGGGGACAGGTAGTGAAAATCTAAAGAAAAAACAGCAAATTAGAAACAACCAGGTATACCATTATTTGTATTAATGTTGACAATGGCATAATCATCCAAGGTACATCTTAGCAGCCCCATAAAAGCTTCTTTATTTCCTAAAATTATTATACAAATAGTTGGTTTGGCATGCCTGTCGAAAATGGTAGCCACAATAAAACATAGACAAAACTGCTTCTTAAAATCAATCACTAAACAAAGTCTAGATATTGTACCATATTAGAAAGAGCTGCCAGATCCCTTTCCAAAACTTCATGTTTCCTTTGTAGAGTTGTGACACCAACAAGGTCCTTCCCAATATCATCTGTTGCCAGCTTTGCCTGCTTTTCTGTGATCCAGCCCATTGTTTCATCTGCTTCACGGTAAAAATGATGAATTTCATAAGCTGTGCTAAGGTCTGTCTTTCTTTTCTGTGATGAAGCTAAAAGACTTTCCCAAGCATTAATGAGCTCTTTCTGCTTTTCAAGTATTACATCTATTTCAGGATGGTTGTCTTGCTCTAGCTGAACAACAGTTTCATTAACCTCAGTAATCCGCGATTCATTGGCTGCAATTTCCTTCTGAAAATCATCAAATTTCTTCTGCAGGACCTCAACATGTTCAAGATCTCTTATATGTTCTTGCATGTTGCAAAGGTTTTCCTTTAAAGAGAGACATCAATTAGTCTGCTACCCTAGTTACTTATCATCAAATGAATTTTTATTAATTAATGCAAATTGCTTAACAAAGTCAAAAACTATTTGGTGTTAGCAAGTACAGAGAGTTTCTATTTAAAGGAGTTTTACCTAATAAAACTTTTGCAGTTTGATAAAGATAGTCTGAATCATGAAAAGACATTTTCAAAAATCTAACTCCATCTATCTTATTGTCCTCTAATGCTAACAAATTTTTATTTTTAACAAATGCTAATTAAGTTAGGCAGACCTTTTCAACAATCCAAGATATGATTTCATTGACTTCCAAGACAAAATTCACTCTCCTCTGTGTGAAAATGAGCATCCTTTGCTTTTCACCTGACTTTTGCAGTAGCAGGTTCCATAGCCTGTGAAGTTCTTCAAGTCTTGCCTTAGAAACAGAGCGAGAGTGATATTAAATTACACATAAATATACACACATGAATATGTCTCAAAAATTTTAGGCTAGTCAAAAATAATTTTAGCTTGTCAAAAAATATCAAGAATTATTTAATCCTTATAATCCAGGGAAAACGCCAAATTAAATAGGTTTTCTTCTGTCCATATCATATTTTCCTTCCGATATACACAAAATACATTCTTGATATAAATTGTATCTATCACGCTCTTCAAAATTACAGAAAGTTAATTAGTTTGCCAAACATGATTTTTTCTACATATTAGGACAAAATCTATCTAGTCAAATAAGATTGCTTTTACATGTCAATAAAAAGTATGGATAAATGCTATTATTCTGGAGTATGAAATAAATGTCCACTTTATTCATTTTTCAGAAAAAAATATTGATGTCATTCTTATTGGAGATCGTCCTTTATCATATCTTAACATCAAGTTTAAAAACCTGCAAGATGTATACAACGAAGCTTGTCAAAGGATGATGGAGTGCATCAAGAATAAAAAGTGAGAGTGAGAATAATCAAGAGAAAATTGATCGCAGACATTTCTCGTGGCATGTAAATTGGGACAGACTATAGTAGTTTATTTTAACTATGTGTCTATGGCCCCGGGGTAGTCATAGTCTTTTGCTCCTCGGGGTATCGTCCAAGTAGTATTGTAAAGTAAATTTGTAAGTAGCGTAGCTTGTATTTATGTATTGTAACTTTTTAATGGACATATATAAAAAAATAGAAAATATCAAAGTTGATTTACCACAACATATTCAGACTGGCCATGGCCATCTTCAACCATTTTATTTCCAATTGCATCAATCCCATCCAGCATATATTTGTTAGCTTGAATTTCAGCTTCAAATGCAGCATGTTTCTGTAGCTTTACCTGAATAACAAACACAAACATTGAAATAAATGGTATTAAAATGAGGCTGTAAAGTATTTTTTCTGCAAGAGGACAAATTTGCAGATAGGAAAGGTTTGGTGAAAAATTTTGTAGGGAATTGCTATCAAAGGCTTTGCAGATATCATATATCTTTGTCTTCTTCTTGTAACAAGAAGCCAGAAGTTTAAAAGATTGGATATACCCAGCAAAGATGATCAGAAAAACTTATATTTTGCAGAGATGCTATGGCAGACTCTTAACAATGCACAGGCGCAATGAAGGATGAAAATCAATGCAAACCCTTCAAAGATCAAACTTTACTGCCTGGACTAACTGTTGGGAAACACAAAAGCATTTACCAGCATTTAAGATATCTAAGTTTATTTGATTATAAGTTTAAATCTAAAGCATAAACTAAAAATTTCATTTTAATTCTCAATAGTTTTGCCGGTATAAGAGGAAGCATAAACATTTGAAAAAAAAATAGAGTGAGTACAATTTCTGTATTAAAAACCTGTATTGTAATATGATACACGGTTACAAGAAACTGCTTTACTGCTGGTCGATCACCTCCTCTTATGGCTTTTCACGTAAACTTATTTTGTACGACGGAAAATTACCTCTGTAACAAGCCAAAATATCTAATTGGCTAAAACAGCAGGCAATTCAGCTTCAATTTGTAATTACCATCTGCTCTCTGCTACATGCCCTAACTCAGTGTAGAGAGTACATTACAAATGGCCTAGTAAAGGCACTAAAAAAGGTAGCCGAAAGTTTGAGACGGCCTTGATGATAGAGTATATTTATTTAAACGTACTTGTAAGTTAGTTGGGTCTTTGTAAGACTCTTCTGTTGCAATCTGCAATCTTTCGTTAATCCAAGCTTCCACTTCATCGGCATCTCTTTTGAATTGATAGTAGCGTTTCGCGTCTTCCAATCGCTTACGCCTCGCGATTGTAGCTGCTTTAAACTCAGAATATCTTTTAAGAACCTCTTCGCGGCGATTCTGAATATCCTCCACGGTTTCTAACATCTTGATGTCTCTGTCAGAGACAGAAATTGTAACCTCAAAATCCTCCATGTTTGGAAAATTGTTGCTGTCTCCCCTCCAGCACAATTAAGGTGTCACCACGCCCAGCACGTTTGAATTCTTTTAGAGCCATACAGAAACGCGAATTCACACGCAGTACCCGCGTCGAAACAGCTGTTCTCAACTTTGGTCTACTGATTCCAACTACTTTAACCTTCTTCGCATTGACAGGAATTAAAAATTAATTGTTGGGCTTACAAAACTTTTGGTCTTTCTAATCTTCCAGAGTCTTTCTGGGCAACAGGGGTGCCTTGAATGAGTACTCTCTCTCTCACAAAATGCTCGGACGCTTAATTTCCGGACATTTAATTTTCGTGTAATAAATTTCAGACTCTTAAAAATTTCGAACAAAATTATAGGACATGATTAAGAAGCAATTACTGACAAAACTGTAGGCAAAACTGCTCTCTGCCTTTGTTCGTTTTACTTAATGAACATTTTAGTCCCTTTTTATGTAGTTTATTGACACCCCTACCCCACCAAAGAAATTCATCTTCATTCAATATTCTTTATGCACAAAGAACCCCTTCTGTAATAAATCATCTCTAAATAACAATTTACAGAAAGAAGTTTAATGATGATAATAAGCCTTTTAAAAATAAAGTTGCTGCTCTTCCAGGGAGATGTATTGTAGCTCTTAAAATCCGTTTAAGTTGTTTTTCGAACGATCATTTCATTTCATTTTCATTTCATTTCATTTCATTCATTATCAATCAATCCCAAATACAATTCATACACAAAACTTTACAACTAAGATACATTACAACACTAAAAAGCTAAAAACTAACAATTTTGAAAAGAAATGAAAAAAAATTACTTTACATGATTGAATTTAAGTTTGACTGATTGAGGAGGAGCTCTCTAAGTAGGTAAACTAATCGAGAGAGCCCCCCCCCCCCCAACGATCTAGCGTTGGTAGTTTCGCGAATTTCAGCAGGAGTGACAATTCATGCTTTAATGTTTTACAGTGAATGCTTTTCTTAGCAAATTCTGTCCTGTACCTAGGAATCTCTGGAGATCTTTAGGTCGAATGCAAAGACCCCGATTCGTATTTGTCCCACCGGCTTGCAGGACAAAAGCTTTTACGCAATCTGATAGGCTAGGACATTCCTATCAAAGCAAAAAATATTTTCTACATTCACCAAATCGCTGACCAGTTATACTTGATTGTTGCGTAGGCATTGGAGAGAAGCTTGTTTTGTTTTCGATACACTACTCAGGGGCGTCACTCGTGGGGGACATGGGGGGGGTGGTTCACAAAGTAGGACCTTTCGGTTGGCAAAACTGGTATTTGCAGAGCAAATGTTTTCTACCAACGGATCTGGATTGTTGTTTGCTTATGTCAGTGTAACAAGAAAGTAGGTTACGCTTTTAATTTGTCTACTCCAAAAGTAAAATTATATAGACTACCAGTGACACGAAGTAGAAATTGCCAGCGTGACCTTGGGTTGGATGGAAAAGATTTATAAGTTGATCCTGATTTCCTTTCACCTTAAGTGTTACACTCATTTCGATGGTTGCACCCTTGGTTGATATTTGTGTCTTATTTAAAAACTAAAACCAAAAAGACAAGCACCGCTTGCCAGAAAACTAAGACACTGTAAACGGGGCTATTTGGGTCAAAATTTGATGGAATAGTTTTGCATATTTAGGTCTAAAATTGTTTTGACTGTAACCAGAAGCGTGACTTTAAGAAGGGAGTCGATTATATGCTGTTTTTTAAATTTATTTTATGTGGATAATATAGGGTGTATTGTATAAATTCCTGTAGGTTTTCAAGCTTGTGTTTGCCAAATGAAGATTATGAAGAAGACCAAATTTTTTCCGAAATATTCGACTACGCCCCATCGGGGCATTGCTCAAGATATGTTGTTCTATTGTTGTCATGAATATGTTGGCATAATTTGGGGCAAAGGATTTCCCCATTGCGGTGCATTTAATAAAATAAAATTTACCATTTCACTCTTCTTTATAAGAGTCCGTAAATTGAAGTTCAGGCTGGTTGTTCTTAATTTTTTCGAAAATCTGAGGCTGAATTGTTCTTAATTTGTTCTTAAATTTATAGGGTATAAGCAGTGCGATTGATAGCTTTTCGCTCTAGGGAGGTGTCCAGGCATCATTTGCCAACAAAGTGCGTAAGAAAACCCTCTTTTGCCGTCATGTTCAAATTTTCACCGAAGCATCCCAAGTTGGCAAAAAACTCCTTGTTTTTGAGATGAAACATTGTTCAAAGTTACACTTAACGGTAGCTCAGCCTCAGCTTGTTCTTAATTTTGAAGCTCGTGTTCTTATAAAATTGTTCTTATAAAAAGAGAATGTAAAGGCGATATAAATATGGTTGAGAATAAAAATCACCATCTGCTGTATTTTATATGCAGCAGGATAGTTTCCCCATAATGATTTTTGATGGCATTGAGGGAAGCTTTGATACCCTCATCTTGTGAAATGCTATATCGTGTGTATATCGAAAGTGTGTTGTAAAAAATGAGCGCATGGTCTTTGAATCCAGGATGGAGGGTTGTCTTACTCATTAAAAACTTTCTCTTGCTCGTCTCCCCAAGGTTAGGCAAACACATCGGTGAACTTGTGGACACATTCAGCAAGGACCTAAGCGGGCACAACTTACCTTAAAAAGTATTTTAGTGTTACGGGAACTGAGGGCCAGTTCCCGAAATTTCCAACTTTTGCCAGGACAAAATTTTCTGCAGGGTAAATATGCGGCCAGCCCCACCCCCGACCAGAAATATGAAGTGACGCCCCTTACACTACTACATTTTGCATCGGCATACCGAAGTTGACATTCAATCAATGTATGATGCATCTGACACAACTGTGATTGTGAGAGAATATTCTTCAATTTTTTAGAGCTGTTAGACCTGGTCTCATTTTGCATTTGATATGTTGAAATTGTTTGTCACAACAGGGGCGTCATGGCGAATGAATCCTAGAGGGGCCACAGAGCCAGCGCTACGAATTTGAAAGTGGGGGCCAAAGCTAGAAAAGTAGGGGGCCAGGGCTAGAAAAAGTAGGGGGCCAAGGCTTTTTACCCCTTTACTGCAGCTTTAAAACTATTTGCTTCACAAAAAAGTGAGGGGGCATAGCAACCCCGGCCCCCCTGTGGCGCGGGTCCTGGGCAAGAAATAAAAATTTTCCGACAAATTTGTTTTGATTCAATTAAATCAAATAGAAGTGGGTCATGTAATGTAGGAGGTACTCTGGGTAAGGCGCAGTTCCTTTCCCCGTTCTTCATCCTTTGACTCTCTTAGGCTCTGACACCCAGCGTAGATAGGAGGAGGCCGGGGCAGCAGAAATACTCATAACTTTTGCCGTAGCTGGAAAGAAATCTAAAATGCACTTTTCATGTCTCTTTTCGTGATACCTCACAACCCTATAGAACAGTGGATAAAGACAAGAATACGCAGCTGAAAAGGTAGAAAGTTTTTAATTTTAATTTAATTTAACTCAAAAATTTAAATAATAAAATCACATTTTTTAAAAGACTATCCACTGGCAGAAAGCTACTTGACGGTATTGATCGATTTCCTTGTTCTCGTTTTCAAAGGACCATAAAAAGCATAACTGGATGGATTTTCTTGAGATTGGGACAAAATCTGGTGATAGGCACAAAATTGGGGCTGTGCCTGTTTTCAATATAAAAAAGATGCAGTTGATGTCTACACTGTCACGCAGGACTGTAGATACTTAAAGCTTATCATTGGGGACACACGAAGAAACAAAGAGTTCCAAATAAAGTTTGGTTTTGGTAACCCCATCCCCCCTCCCACGAATCAATGTTGGATTAGTAGTTCTATCCTTTGTGCTTCAAAAACCTGCAGACATTACATTTTGTTTCGAAGTCTCGACCACTTTTGTCCTGGGATTGTAGATGGATAGTTACTAGAAAGGCGTACTTTCTGATCTCTTAGCCAAAAGGAAGAAGGGGGTGGCTTAGTCTTTCTTCTTGAGCTGTCATCACTTGAATCGTCTTGAATCGTCTCTACTCAGAACATCTCTATTTACCCTCGTCAGTGCAGACTCTTGCTTTAGAGAGTTTAAGGCACATGTCTAAACCTTGAGGGAGTCCAAAAACTACTTTCCTAGAAATCGAATTCTGACCATTCATAGAGCAGATCTGTTGTCTTTATGATTCAAATCAACCGTCAGTTTTTATTGCTGTATTTCTTTACCAATATTTTGAGATGGACCGTGTCAAAAGCCTTTTTATTATCTTAGAATAAAGTGACATTGACGTAGCTGCAATCTGTTTCGTATCAGAAGTCTTTGCTGCATTTAGCAATAAAATGTTGTTTGATTTAAGAAATTTAAATACCCGATTATATACTTATATGTCTCTCAAGCATCCTTGAAAATACAGATATAACAGAGATGGGCCTATAATTATAAATATTCGTTTTTTTACCAGATAAATAAATAGGAGTGACTTTTGCCAATTTCCAAATGTTTGGGAAAACGCCATTCAAAAGTGATGGGCTATATTCGGCATAAGGGGCATAGCAATTAATTTACAGGTGTCCTTTACGAAAGTTTCTATAACTTTATCAATGCATTCCCGTTCTTGAACTGATTTATAGCCTTTGCTTTACCGTATTTCCTCTGATGAACGCCGCCCTCTATTGAACGCTGCACCTTCAGCCAACCATTTGGAAAAAACGCCGCCCTCTATGCAACGCCGCATCTTGAAAAGCGGCATTCATTAGAAAACACACCAAACACGAAGTAACAAATCATTTATACGCTTACTATTTGAAAGCTTTGAAAATTTTTAGGTCCTAGAGACGAGGACTCTGACGGAGACAGGGATATTGACATTCCTTGACATTTCCATAACGTGAACACATCTTTTGTGAATTTTAGAAAATTGTTCACACAGTTACATTATTACATGTTTTGGGGAAATGAAAACATTGTTTAAAATCTGTTTTTATCTTTTTCATTGCACTTTTCTTGTCATTTTTCATTTGACAAACTTTTTCATTTTGTATTGAACGCAGCATCCAAAATTTTAGTTAATAATAAACGCCGTGGCGTTCGTTAGAGAAAATACGGTATGTGCATTGTCTACTGTTTTGAGCAACAATTCATTATTTACTGGTGTGATGTTCTGTAAGGAATATTGCCTGGTATCTCTTTAATGTATTTTGCTAGTTTTGGCCTTGCTAGCAAAAGTGGGGATCCAAAGTTTCAGAGGTATCACTTTTTTATTTAACTGTAACAAGAAAGTAGGTTATGCTTGGACTTTGTCTGTTCCAAAAGTAAATTGATACAGACTACTTGTGACAAGAAGTAGAAATTGCCAGCGCAAGCTTGGGCTGGGTGAAATAGATTTTTAAATATATTCTTATTTCCCTTTACTGTGTACATCAGTATTACACATTTTCTTTGGTCTGGTCAATATTTGTGTTTTGATGACACTGCCACAAAAAGCTTGCTGGACAGTGATACCAGCCTCCTGCGTTTCTGATGTCGCGGTTATTTATTGGAACTGCAACATACCCTCGGCAAAATTAACTCTATGAAGTATATATAGAGCTTCAACTCTCTCCATTTCTCAATATGGACTGCTCTGACTTTTTATGTGCTTACAGAAAACATTTTTCATCCCAGCATGCTTTAATAAGATTAATAGAGGAGTGGAAAACTAGCCTAATAGCTAAGAAATACACTGCAGCCCAATCCAAAGCCTTTGACATAAATCTACTAATTGGAAAACTAGTTGCTTATGGAGTCGGTATAAATCCACTAAAACTTTTACAGAGTTATCCCACTGACAGAAAACAAATGGTGAAAATCAGTGGAGATTTTAGTTCATGGGGGCCACTTGATCATGGAGTGCCTCAGGGCTCAATACTTAGACCATTGCTCTTCAACCTCTTTATAAATGACATATTTCTCTTCATTCAGGAGGGCTCTCTATGTAACTTTGCAGATGATAATACGATTTCCAAATCCTGATGAACTCCATAGATTAGTACAGCATAACACCAATAAATGCAATAATGACAATCATATTACAGAATTTTCTATCAATGATGGCTTCAAAATAAATATAAGTAGCGAAGTAATTTTAATTGGAATTCAAATCGATGAACAAATTTTGACTCGCATAGTGATAAAGTCTGCAAAAAGCTGCCATCCATCAAAAGACTAGCTCGATTCATGGGTAGCAATGAAAGAGTGGTGATTGTTAATTCATTTATTGTCACTTAAATTACTGCTCCCTCATCTGGATATTCTGTAGTAATGCAAGCCAAAAGAAGCTCGAGAAAGTAAACCAGAGGGCCCTACTATTCAGGCACCACGCAGCCATTGGGCTAGCAGGGGCTAAAGCCCATTCACATTTTTGCAATAACAGGTTAGACAATTTTTAGAAGTTTACTCCAGCGCAACTTTCAAAAAGTTCACTTTAACGGATCCTAGGAAGTAGCAGTTCTTCTTGACTGTGGGAACCCTTTATTGTTCATTTGGCGTCTTATCTTGTTAATCTATTTCATAGTTATTATCATCCCCTCTAAATAAATGGGAAGAAGCAAGTATTTTCTAAAACAGGCGTTTTCAAGCGTTCGAAAGGGTGTGGCCTCACAAAATTTTCGGTCACACCCTTCTCAGCCCATCCACTTTTAGACTGGTGCGCGGTGCCTGCTACAATTAGCCTTCTCAGAATACACTTCATCGTACATTAACAACAAAAATTTTCGTCAGATAAATTTTCGGCGGATAAATTTCGTCGAAAAACATTTCGGACAACTTTTCAGAATTTCGTCGTGACAAGAAAGCGCCCTTTTTCAAATATATTTTGTGCCACGGGGGGGGGGGGGGGGGGCACCTATCCCTCTTGCCTCCCTCTCGCTACTCAACTAAGAACTATTTTTATTGAACAATGAAGTTAGTTCAAGAGCCAACAATGATGATGATGATGATGTCAACGGTAAATATCGAAAAGTTGTAAATGAGGAAAAGGACGTAGTTGACATTAAAATAAAAAGGATACATCAATTCCATTCCTAACCTCATGTAAGAGTTTTTCTATGCGAATTTTCAAAAATCTTAAATGCAAAAGTTTCATCGCGACCAAATTTCGTAAAAATATTTGTCCGAAATGTGTGTAGCTAATGCATTCCAAACTTCTAGTCAAGGCTAAATCTCCCAGGGGGCATTCAGCACATAGACATACAGGGGTCAGTCCGATATTTTGGGTCAAGTGCTCACCCAAAGTGATATTTTTGGGTTAAATATTTATCAGAAATGATATTTTTGGGTCCTACAAAAACAATAGATACAATTGTGATATTCCCAAGTATCAAGTTTAGAAACACTGGTATTTTTGCGGTTTGGTGAGATTTCCACATCTGAATCAATTTATTGTTAAGTGGCTGAGATTTTTTTACCCATTGGTCATACTCTTTGGAAGTTACAATGCTACAACCATGTGATACTAGCACTATCAGTTTCCGAAACTCCGCACAACTTGAATCCAGCCTTAATGAAAGACTACTTCCTCCAAAAAGCTATAAATTTCGAAAAATCGACACTCCACCTGTTCCAAAGGTCAAACTACGAGTCATGGTATAAAAAGCAATTCGGTTTTTCGATCTAAAGTCAATTCAAAGCTCTTGTAAAAGATTGGTATTTCGAAAATCAATGCGCCTGTAACGCTTACAGTCAATAACGTCTATCATCCTATCTCTTACATTGCTTCATGTTCTGTTGAAGCCAAACCAGAAACTTCCAAAAACAACTTTTTAAACGAGTCTGTGCGATGTCTGTTTAATGTAGGCCAGAAGTGTCCAAACAAAGGATGAGGTGCTTCATGGATGAAGTTGTCAAAAATCAAGAGAAAAACAATACCAGGTTTTTACTAAGATACCATTCACAATATTCATGGGTCCTAGAATAGACTTACCTTCTTAATCCAATATTGACATTTAAAAAACTTATATATGGTGTCACATGGTACATAGTGTCACCTGGATTGAAAGCAACAGATTTCAGATGTGCGTGGCCCAAACAGATGGTAGAGAAGCTAAAGATAAATCCCATTTAATTTTATGACAAGCTGACCTATATCTTTGTTTTCAAAAAAATCTTGTGCACTCTCTTAAATTTAAGTCATCTAGCAAAACAACAGCAAAAAAGCTAGTGTACAAGGTATTCTGCCTCTCATTCGTAAAGAAATTTTCTCTGCATGTCTCCACTTTTGGAAGTAAAGGCTCCAACAAGACAACAGACATTAGGGTTTAAATGTTCTGAAGCTTGGGTAAATTTTGAAACTTGTGAACAGATTAATGCAACAATAACTACAAAACTGTCAAAGTTCATTATAAGGTCGGAAATGTCAAAGACAATGCAAAGAAACAACACTGGCATTCAAAATCAATGTAATAAAAAATAGCAAATGAAGACACAAAGCAAGTTCCATCATGGTTCTTCTCAATATCAAAATAATCATTTTGATACAGCATCAGGGCTGAGCCATTCTGTCCATCTTCAATTCATATCCAGTACATAGCAGCTTACTGTGACCAAAATGTCAATAAAGAAAAGTGGACCCTCTCATTATCCTAGTCCTTGTGTTCAGTCACCACAGTTGCATTTTTGGAAAGGAAACTTTACAAAACAATTCAAACCCTTCTTAGCAATGCATGTTCATTCTACGTCAACGTCTAGATGATTCTTCCAATCAATACATTTGCAGACTTCTAATTGTCACATCTGCCAACTTAAATCATTAACAATAGCTTGTCTCTTCTCTCCATCTATGAACTTTTATCAAAACAATAAACCTAGCCTGACTTAAGTACAAACCACCAATAATGAAGTTTAAAGGCACTAGCGTTAAAGTAAATTGCCCTGTGACACTACCTTGAAATTGCAGGCTAGCAAATTTTGCAAGTCTATGAGAAACTCAGTATAGAGTATAAAGACCAAAAGAAAGAGTAATCATTTACAGAACCAAACACTTATACAAAGCACAAAGAAACTATAATACAAGTTCATATAATGAGGTAAAATCTAGAATGTTCTAAAGGTTAGATAGATGTGAACTTCCTTCCTGCTTATCCTATGCTTCTCTGTTGCAGAATGCTTCAAATACTTTCAACTGGACTTCTAGGATTGGCTATCCTATCAGCTAATGCAGAGAAGTTACTTCTAGGCAAGTATGTTGGTAAAATACATCTAGGCCTGCCTGACTTGCTGAAGTTTCTTGATTGATAATAATTCTGCTTTAGTAAGTCATTGTAGCCTGTTTTAACACCTAAGCCACTAAGTCTACCTGGTGAAGAATACAAATAAACAAATATCAGAGATTGGCCTAAAAAGTGCGAGCATAAAATAAGCTCTGCAAAAGCTTCTTGCTTCAACTGAAATTTCAGGATGCAAGTCACAAAATATGAAAATAGCAGCATTGGAAAGCTTCTGGAATAAACATTAAGAAAAAGAGGCAAGGAAACCTGAAATTGAACATTATCAAATTGATTAATGTGAATAGCATTTGAACAACACCTGAAAACATAACACCTAGAACTGAAAATTAAGAAATAGATTGATGTGAAAACTGCAAAGATAAAGTTCATTTACCAAAGCACATCTCTAACTGATGAATAAAGTGTTTAGGCGATAAAATTGACTTTTACAAGCAACTTGTCAAGAGCTTCAGCAATACCACTAGTCAAAGAAAAGTGCATCATGCTTTTTCTTGGCTAGTTGTTATGTTTACTTATGCTTTCATATATAACTCACAGCCAATGCACAAAAATCATACAAAAGTACCAGGTGCACCAGCACTATCAAAATTTCAAATATATTTAAAATTTAGTATACAGATCTAGTTTTAGGTGTGCCAAGCAATACCTTGTCTGCATTTTAAGGGCATTGTTGCCATGCTCTGCATACTGGGAAAATGCATACCATCAGAGAAAAATGCAAGTTTAACCATGCCGTTATGTTTAAGCAATTGCTGTTATGTTTAAGAATATAAAATGCATGCAAAAAGTGGCTGAACTATATACTCACTTGATTAGTAAGGGCGATATCTACCACCACCCCTACCACCACCACGTCCACCAGCACCCCCAAAACTCTGTTGTCCATAAGCAGATTGGTCATAGGCACCATATCCACCACCATAGCTACCATAGTTGTTGAATGCAGCATTGTAGTCTTGACCATACCCACTTGAGCCATACATTCCTCCTTGTCCATAGCCTCCATACATGTTACCTCCAGTATTGCTTCCAACTCCACCCCAGTAGCCTCCACCAGATTGGTTTCCACCCCTGTCACTACCATATCCCCCACGTCCACCTCTGCTTCCACCTCTTCCTCCTCTACCACGCATCCCACCTGCAGCACCACCGCGGCCACCTCCTGTAAGGATAAAAAATTGTTAGCATATTACCTAATAACAGAAAGTTTATACCAAAATAAAAAAGGAATTTTGCAACTATGAGGAACTTTTCAGAATAACTTTAGAAAAATACAAATATATACAGATTCAAACATTTTACCTGCTCCTCTCTCCTCGCACTTCTTTATCTCAATTTTCTTTCCAGCTACAATTGGTTTTGGTTCAGTGATAATAATAACATCTGCCATATCTTCATTGTCCAATTCCAAAAATCCAAATCCTTTAACCTCATTGGTTTCCTTGTTTCTGATCAAGTCACACTTTTCAACTCTGCCATGTACCGCATAATTTTCATGAATGTAGTTGGTGATATCATCTTCAGTAATATTAGCGGGTAAACCTCCAATAAACAACTTTTTCGTTCTCTGGTGTGCCGTCTGTGTGTTATCCTCTCTTGGTATTGCCCGCTTTACTTCCACAGTCCTCTCGTCAATGACGTGTGGTCTATTGTCTAGGGCTTCTTTCACGGCAAAAGAAGAGTCGAAGGTAACAAACCCAAATCCTTTTGATTCTTGTGTATTCTTATCTCTAATAATGACTAAGTCGACAATGTTTCCATATTTTTCGAAATGTTGCCGGAAGGTTTCATCGCTGGTATTTCTGTCTAGTCCACCAACAAACAGCTTTCTCAGGGCTTCCTTTTCCAACATATCACCATCTTCACCCATTTTGACTAAATGATGGATTACCACATATTAAAACTGACCAGACGATAACAATAGAATCAATGAAAAATGGACGGCATTCCAGCCAGCCTTGTTGCCTGCCCGAATTTTGATCACTTAATGTTAGAGTTAATTTTAGTTTCAACTAACATAGACATCATAACACTAAGTTACAAGTAGGGTTTGAGCTGCGGAATTTTTGTTGACACAAACTTAGCCAGAAATATTTTAACTATTAAGGGCTTCGAAGAATATAAGACCTTCGCTACTAGCAAGAACCGATAGGCCAACAGTGAATATACGTTTAATCTGTTCCAAATAGCAATTCATACACAATTGAAAACTACAAAGTGGAAAAGTAACAAAATATATCTATAGCGACGAAAACATGGAGTCTGTTAGAACAAATCAACCTACCTTCGTAGAATATTTACCAGCGCCTTCCTTCGTTGAGCAATAAAAGGTGAAGAGAACGAATCTTCGTCCCCACGCATTGTACAGAACATGCGATTTGCAACTACGAATTTAATTGGCTGATCGCAACAAAAGAATATGAATGTAACGATTTCATTGGTCTATTACAACCCAAAATGCCTTGCGAAACAAACACGTTTTGGAACACATGGGAATGACAGGTGTCTGTTATGCTCCATTGGGCAGTTTTGTTTATCACTATTCCGACAGTTTCATTCCTAACTTGAAATTCAGAAAATATTCCGTGTAGAATTCATTAAAGTTTACAAATATCAGTGATATTGATTAGGTTCAAACATGGGTCAAAAGAAGTTAGTTAGGAGAAAACGTGACCGTCAGGTTTTCCCGGCGGGTCGACTCTTATTGTCAAGTGTAAGCACCCGTCTTCAATATCTCTGAGAAAGGGGTTCAATTTTGTCAAATATCTAGGACACAGAAAATAGAAAATAGGGTGTATGATATAGTATCTTAATAAAGTTTCCAATTTTTCTTTGTTTGGCCTTATTTCAACAACTTGATTTCAGGAAAAAGGGTATAAATTTTCTTTGACTACAAAGAAAAGGGGAATCAAATTGGAATCAAATATCGGAGAAAAGGGTCAGTTTTCTAGACCCTCAGACACGGCTGTTTACATTTGACACAACGGGCCGGTTGGTCCTTGAAATTTACCAAGGGACGTAAAATGACAGAAGTTTCCGGGAGGATGAAGGGCATTAAATTTCCCACTTACAATAGACCAATTTAAATTTTGCACCAAAATTTTACTGAGCTTTTTGCACTCACAGTAGATGGTCAAAATTGATCTCAATGGGGGAGCAGGGCGAAACCCCCCTGGAATTATTCAGGGGTTAAAAGGAGTTTTTATTTTCAAACTCATCAGGATTTATTTTCATTTAACTTTAAATTTTTCAAGGAGTTGGCAAATAACGGATTACTTAGCCAGTTTGTCAGCAAGTTGGGCCTGAAAACCCCTTTGAGCACAAAGCTAGGACCCTACGCAGATCCAAATGGAAGATACGTATATGGCCTAGCTTAATTCCAGGGACACACTCTTGTCAACAATATTCATTCTTTCATGACGATTGGAAAAATAATCATGTTTAATCTTAAGCTGCTTTAAACAGCACATAAAAAATGTTTAACAAACCAGATCTAGTCTTAAGGGCATCAATAAAGTAGGTCACCCCAAAAAGCAGCAGGAAGACTTGCATTTAGACTACAACCTATTGGGTCAGTTAGTGGGCAAGATTACTTTGTGACCAATTTCATTCCATCAATACCTTTTCCCTTTTGATATGCCAAGGAATAAGGGGAACTATTTAAATTTATGAAACTAACATGTATGTCCAATCCATCCCTTTCAATCCACAAATGACAAAGATGTCATATTAATAAATTTTTCATTTCAAAACAGGGCCTATGCCACAAATTTGGAAGGGGGGGGGGGTCAAGGCTAGGAAAACTAGTGGACCAAGGCTTCTTTCCCTTTTTACTGCAGCTTCAAAACTACTTGTTTTGCAAAAAAGTGGGGACATGGCCACCCTGGCCCCTCGGCTGGCAGTTTGAGCAGAGTATGCTCTCCGGATACAGTGCTAGTGAAAAAGATAAACTGAATGATAAAAATTCTTAATAGTTCAAGATTGTATTCTTGGGGTTTTTCCAAACAGAAGTTCATGGAAATTGAACCTCATGATTTCTGGAAAATTTCTTTGTAAATCTAGTACTAGATATGAATAAATCATTACACCTTAAAATACCAGAAGTTGAATCATCTATAAAAAATACCACAGCATAGAAAGGTACCTAGTTAAATAAAATCTTTGGTTAGAGAAAGCCAAAAAATGCCACAATTGGGGACTATTAACTTAATTACCTAAACTTACTTAATCACTGCTACCATACATATTAACTATGTTGTGTAATTACACAAACGAAAGGAAGGTATATCAGATGTATATGTTTCTTTCTAAGAAACCTGTCTTGCTTGAAAATCTTGTATACATTCTCTTGTCCTCTTAGCTCCTAGCTAGCCTTGCCAGAAATATCTTATGTGTTGATAAGTCAGTCTGTAGACCTCCTTATGGCTGCCTAATTCCTGCTCTACCGCTTCCTCCTACACACCTAAACCACTTAATTAAGTACCTGTCAAAAGAATATGAAACAAAATAAATTTGGTTAACTAACCTTAGAAAACTTCTAGGGCACAGAGAAAACTTTCTTATAGGATACAATATAGTGCAACCATAGTTAAATGAAGATACCTGACAGCATATTATATTCATTGTTCAATCAATATAAACTTTAGCCAAAACTCTTATTATCAAATAACTTAAAAAATGAAAAATAAGGATAAACCACAAACCCTTCTACTGCAGAGATGACAAAGCAAATATTATTGGTCTATGAAGTACAGAAAAATTTAAAATGCAAATACCTTGAAATCAATAGGGTCTTCCTCCACGTTGATTTCCACCACTCCATCTCATTCCTCCACCTCTCATAGGCCCATATTCAGACTGTGTATGGGTATAGCTACCACCAAATTCACTGTAAGCATTTCCATACCCCTCACCATTGTCATATCCTTGCATTTGGCCATAACCTCCACCATATCCAACATTTGGATAAAACACATTTCCATATCCTCCTTGGTTTTGGTAGCCTCCTTGTCCACCAGAGTAAGTATCACCTCCATAGTCTTGGTAGTCATTATGAAAATTCTGATTTCCTCCATCATACCTTGAAGAGTCATGGCCTCGACCAGCATAACCACCGCGACCACCACTGCGTGGCTGTCCACCTCCACCATCTCCACCTTTAAGGAAATGAAAATTAATCCATAATTTGCAATACCACTTTGAAAGAAGGCTGCACATTCTAACACTAGACTGACATGCAGATTGGTAACATAACAGGAGTCAGGACTAATGGGAGCAAAATAAGTGTCAAAATAGTGGCGAAAGATGGTGAATACTTTAAAAGAGATATTTCTCCAAGTAAGTGGACTCAGAAAAATCATTATTTGAAAATAAACCTTACCTCTACGGTCTTCAGCCTTCTTTACTTCAACTACCTTGCCACATATTTCAGGTCTGCAGTTATCAATTATGACCAGATCAGAAAAATCTTCAGAACTCATTTCTAGGAAGGCAAATCCCCTAGATGCCCCAGTTTCCTTGTTTTTAATAACCTCGCATTTAACAACAGTGCCTTTTCCAGGATATGTCTCATGAAAATGGGCAATTATATCATCTTCCGTTGCAATGGCTGGCAATCCACCAACAAACAGCTTTTTAGTTCGCTGGTGAGCTGTATCTGTATTCTGCTCTCTGGGAATAGCTCTCTTGATGTCTACTTCTTTGTTATCAATTGTGTGTGGCCTATCTTCTAATGCCCTGTCTGCACTTTCAACTGAGTCAAAGGTAACAAAACCAAAACCTTTTGACTTTTTAGTGGTTGAATCTTTAATTATGATCAAATCAAGAATATCCCCGTACTGCTCGAAATGATCTCTAAATGTCTCATCAGTGGTGTTTCTGTTCAGACCACCAACAAAAATTTTTCTCAACCCTTCTTTGGCAGCGTTGTCACTCATCTTTCTAGTAAAAAAGAGGCAAAGTCATGCTTTACTATTTGCCACCCTTAGAACCAATCCCCTTTGTGCAGAATGCAATGAATTTTGATACTAGCATTGTGTTGAACACTTTCATAAAAGCCTTAGGATTGGTTGAAATTTTAATTTTTGAATGTTGTTAAAAAGCATAATTTTTCTAAATCAAGCATAATTTAAATCAGGGGTGGGCAACCTTTTTGGAGACTGGTCCAGATCCTTCAAACCTTTCTTTTAAGCGGGCTAAAGGTAACAAGAAAAACCAATACAATTGTGGTAATAAAATGATAATAATGATATAATAATGAAAAACTTTCATTTAAATTTAAATACACTACAATTACCAACCTCTTGTTTACATAGACAGTTTGCAACTTAAGATAAGACTGTTACAATAACAATTGTAGGTGCAAAAGGAAAAACTGAAAAAAAACAAACAAAATTAAAAAGGATGTCATTCAGGGTTTGGAGAAAACAGCCTAGAAGGGAAGTTCAGAATTAACCACCAGTCGAGGTTTAACGTCTTTGGTATTTGGGGAAGGGATGGCTGAGAAAAAAGCAGTACCTCTGACACTTATTCAATCTTGTTGTAAAAAAATGTATGATATTAGAAATACATATATATTCTAACTAAATAAACATAATTATATTCTGTTTTCAGCAACATTATAAAAGAATAGTGAACCAATTAACAGAAATGACAGAGAAAAGCAGACACATGTTCAGTGCAGGCGTGGATCTAGCCAAAATTTTGACCGGTTTCTGGGTGCTTTACCCCATTACAGTTCTGTGTTGTTGGTCCATAAATATTGCTAAAAGTTGCTAATAAGGTTAGCAACTTTTAAATATGAATAATTTGCCCACATTTCATCTAATATGTCAGAATTTTACTCCGTTTCATCCTCTGATCCTCTTCTTGCAACTTCGATTCTTTTCATGATTTTTTCTGAGAAAGAAAGTCTATTCCCTCAACACGAAACCTCAGATTCATATTTGCCTCCGTATTTCATTTTGTATGATTTTGTTTTGAAGCATCCATACTTTCAAGCTATGGATATCGATATCGAATATGCTTTTTAGCCACCCGTTTCTCTTGCATAAGGGAAACATATGGGCACCGGTTTCCACAGGTTTTCAGAAAACAATAGCCACCGGTTTCAATATTGGCACATAGATAACATACTCCACATTGTCACATTGAGTTTCCTCGATTTTGAACTCCTTGGATACTTTGAGATAAAAGATGCTTGTGGGGGTTCAATTCAGTATATAAACAGAAGAACTGTAGTCAGTCAGGGAGAAGTGCAGCAATTGTTGCAATTGAAATTTAGATCAAAAATTCAAGATTTACAGAAAAAAATAGCTCTCAGAATTTGACCGATTTTTTTAAACCTGTGCAACCGGCCTAGATCCACACCTGCAGTGTCAACAATTAAGTCTTTGGAGTCACAGGGCACCCCTCCCCAAAAAAAACCTAACAAGGGTTCATTGTCCAGCCATGGTTTGCAATGGTTGAGCCAGGATCCTGAAAGAGTTCTGGCTAAGGGTAAGCACGGCTGAGCAATGAAATTAGACTTTGCCTGCAATGATCTTGAGTGATTTGATCTATTAAACATGATTTCCACTGTGTAACAAGTTATCCCAAATAAAGGCATAGCAAAACTCTACTCTATGTATTTCCTTCATTTTAGATGTAAACATTCTGACCACGGCAATACCATGGTCCATGTCTAAAGATACAATGCAGCTAATTAGGGGTATCAAATCAAAACACTGGGTACATTAGTCTAAAATCAAATAGCTTTGTTGACTTTTTATAATTTCTCGAGAGAAACAAGAAGATCCCTTGCAGCAACTATTGCTTCTTAACAGGCACCGCGGAGCAAGGGCCTGGGGGCCTATAGCTCCCCCACTTTCTTTCTTAAAAATGCAAAAATCAATTCAAGAGATGTACCACAAGTCAAGCCTCTTGTTATTCCGTCTCGTTTCCCTCTCTCAACTAAACTAAAACTAAAATTTTCGTGTAAACAAGTTGATTGATGACATGCTTTAAATTAGAAATGTCTAAATCAATAAAGTTACCAAAATACCTTGGGTTTCCACTTGTTCCAAGTTCCCACGTTTTCTTCGTGGCAGCAATGTTTGGAAGGTTTACTTTCCTCTTGCGCATGCACAATAGCGCCTTGTCGTCAATTACTTGTACTCCTGCGCAGAGGTCAGTCAACCAATCTTGTACCCCAAGCCAGTAAAAAATTTTAGAGAAAAAACTTGCCACATTTTACTCTTTTTATCGCAGGACACTGGAGAGAAAGAAAAGAATCCGCTGAAAACTTTTCATAGAGCATTAAGAAAATTATTTTTAAGGAAACCCAATCAAAAACAATCAGGCTAATATTTCCAGAAAAGTTAAACTCATTTCTTAAATATAATTTTCCCAGGGACTCTTCAAGTTTTTAGACCAGTTCAGATTTTTTCTAAATTCCACTGTATATACTTTTACAAGTAGACATATATACACTTACCAGTAAATTCACTAGAGTATATACCATGTAAAAGATAGTTTTTTAAATTAGACATCATAGGAAATGATAACAATTCAACAAACAAACATGCGCAAACAGGGCACTATTCAAAAGCGGAAATTCTCTCAATAATCATATATTAGTCGAAGAGAGTACTTATCTGTAATGCCAAAAGTATAGAAATTTCATGTTAGTTTTTTTAGTCAACCGCAGAAAAAATATATAGGTTAATTTGAAGAAATCATCTTGGCTATTCAAATTGTTTGTAATAGAAATTTAATATTATTTAAACGAATATTTTGAAGGATAATTTCGGATTGCCACTGATAAATCCACTGACACACTATATCACGTCATACTGAAAAAGCTTTCTATGAGTCAAGAACAAATCATTACAATAAGTTGATTAGTAGAATGTTGGTGAAAATTTGCATTGAAAGAAAAGTATTCGAGTAATGATCCTGAAGGTACACCTTAAGGTAAAACAAATTGGGTTCTATCATATAGATAGGGTTGAAACCATCTGAGAAAATTGCCTGTGATACCATTGCGTTCTAATTTAGAGAGCAAAATGTTGTGATTGACAGCACCAAAGGCTTTTTGTAAATCAAGAAAAATACAACGGCCATATCTTTTTTTTAAGAGTTGACTTCATTACCCCAGTCGTTCTAATAAGGGAAGAACAACTGAATGATTTTTCTGGAATCAAAATTGCAAGGGATACCTTATTTTCTACCGTGGTGGGTGAGAAAGAAGTATAGACTTTTGTACATGAATTACTCGTTCAATTTACTGAAAAAAGGGCAATAGAGAGATAGGTCTGTAATTAGAGGCTATTCCAGAGTCATCAAGAATAAATTGATTGATAGGTTGAGCAAGGGCTAGGGAGACGTGAGGCCGTAGATTTTTACAAATTCTTTAAGGATACTGTGAAGTCCAAAAGATTTAGCCTCCACGTAGGTGACAAGAGAAAAAAATAATCATTTTTGATTTCTGTCCGTAATTTTGTTTAGAGGGGACTTTGGTGTTCTTGGCATACTTTTGGTCATGCTATTTGCAACTTTTACAAAATAGTTAATTAGAATATTAGACATTATAATAGAGAAAGAGGCTATGTTTCCATTTTGATTTTATTCATACTAAAGGCAGTAGAGGCATTGTGGGAAACAATTGATACATGTGATTTTGATAAAGGACAACAAAGCTTGTAAACAAGACAACCTTCTTGCAAAAAAACTTCTTTTATGAATCTTAGTAGAGGTAAATCACAAAAATTGCCTGCTTGTTGCAACATATTCGTATTATTCTATTGTCTTTTTAATGTTAGTTTTGAATTGAGCCACAAACGGACATGATTTTACAATTCATTGTTGACTATATGCGTATTTTTTAACACCTTCATCATATAGATTCTGATGGTTCGTTAGACCAGTTGCATTTACAAGGCTCAAAATATTTTTTCGATGTCTTCAAGATATATTTTTTGCAAAGGCAACAACAGCAAAAAGGGTAGGAGAAGTTTAAAGAGACATCTTTTCATCTTCATCATGAAGAGACATTTTCATTTCCATTTTCATGGGTATTTTCATGGATTGTAGACTTTTTTTGAAAATCAGAATAGAAACAAAAAAGCCAAATTTTCTCATACTGTAAAGGCTTAAAAAATTCATTCTAAAATTTAAATCTATTTATATAATTCAGAAAACTGTAAGTTTTCTATGTTGTTGTTTGGAATGTAGCTTATTCTCAATTGTTTTTCCGGAATGTTCGAGTTCCCTCAGTTCATTCTCTAATGCGTTTATGCTCGCCTTCAACCGAGATACCATTTCATTGTCCCTAAAAGAGAAAATGATCGTATAAAAAGTGGTAGAAGGCTTAGAATCATTTAATCCCACTTAGTAAAAGGCAGATAGCAGCCTGTTCCCAGAAAAATAAAAAAACAAGAAAGAAAGTCGGTTCTGCGCAAGAGAAGCAATGCTCTAACCGTGCATGCTGACATCATCATAATTTACACATGTCTAAATGATTGGTAAAGTACCCAGCCTCTTGCAGGTACATAAATTGCGATTAGGGTTTTCAAAACATATGGGAAAAGCGGCTAGACATTTGACACTGTATGTGTCCTGTACAAATAACAATCATCATATTGATGCTACAGAATAAAATAACCATTGATCTTCTAAAATATGAATTACCTAAAAACGTCAATGCCTAAACAAATTGCAAAGTTAGATCGTACGTACCTGCCGAGGTTTCTTTTTAACGATTCTTTTTGCTTTGTGAGTCTTTTGCGGAGAGCCATTGCCTTCTCGTTGTTCTTGAACAACTGCAAGTTCCAGTTAGGCCCTGCATGGGCTTGCTTTGTTGACATGCCTTTTGACTTGTTCTTTCTTATATTTTTCAACTGCTGGTAAGATTCTTCAATATTGTGTTTAACCTTGTGCTTATTGCCATCGACTTGGTTAAAATGCAGTGTTGAGTGCGATGCTGAAAAATAAAAATGGAACCTTTAAAAAAAAATTCAAACAATTGATATATCTTTTATAAGCAGTACATAGGTGATGATAGATTTCCGTGGAAAAAGAATTTCGAATAAGAATCTCTTCTGGATAAGAATCGAATAAGAATGGGCATCTCTTAAGAAAAGCGCAAAGCAACAAGGCGATGAATAGCAACTCGGGAGTTCATCGTTCCTTTTCCTTTTTAGCATTCTCTCTTTGTATTCGACTGTTATTTATCATGTTGTCTATTTTCAAAATGTTTGGATAATATGTTTCCCCATAGTTCTACCGTTTGAGATGCTGCCTTATACTCAAAAGGAATCCCAAGAGAAGTCCTACGATAATCAATGAAAGTTGGAAAACACAAAAATCTCAAAACACTTAATTTCATAACTATATCAGCTAGCTAAATCCAAGCTCAATGTGAAGACAAGAAATTTCGTAGATTTGAGCGGCTATTAAATCTCTTACGAAATACCGTGCCACCAAAGGGCTGATAGCTTCATTAATAAATGAATACATATACAGACTACATCTACCTGGAAAAATATCGCAAAAGCAAGCAAAACATACCGCCATGTGTTAATTTTCTATTTATGAACTCAAACACATCAGTTTCCTATAGAAAAAAGTATCAAAGACTATAAATTAAAATAATGATGCTCAACGCGTAAAATAACTATTGCATCTGGAATAGCTGAACACAAATGAATTCCTGACTTGCTGATAAATATCTTAGATCTGGCTTGAAATTAGCTTGAATTTAGGCCTTACATTCCTCATTATTGTGGCTTCATTCCGGCTTAAGGTAGTTCTGTCTAGTCTTTTTTAAATTTCCTAGGTACAATTATACTGCAAAATTACAAAGAGAGAACTGGGAGGACAGCAATATCAAAAAAGCACAGTTTGAAAGTTTCGAGTTGGTAATACCATTAAGAATGGGAATAACAGTATTGCTCTTTTCAAAATTTACCCTTCTCCCATAGCTCCCCATCCGATACCATCCTGCGGCTCTCCTATAGCCCCATTTGACACTCAACTATCAGCATATCTTCGTTCGTAGATTTCGCCTATCTACAAGCATTAGATCATACAATCTAATGTCACTTACTAATTAAAAGAATGAGAAAAAAATAACGATGACGTCTTTTCAAGCCAGTTCGATAGGCCTACGTTCTTACAAGGGAAACAGAAATATTGTATGTGAACTAACTTCATAAATTTCTCATTTTTAGATACAAATGTACATCTGGAGCACATCTGACTAAAGCATAAAAAAGCATTCTCTAAGTTAATTACCCTTCTTTAGTAGGTTTGAACAGCTGACGAACACGCTAGAGGCCGGAAAGAACCAGGAGAACTTGCAATCTATACCTCCCCCCTTCCCCCCCTCCTCTCGTTCTATGCTTAAATAACCTCAGGAAATAAAATCGTTCCTTCGAAGGCTTCGAAAAAATTGCATTAAATAAGTACCTACTTTGAAAACAACTTTAAAATATACCTGGATAGAGCTGGCTGATGAATTTCCTCCGGAACTCCCAGCCCCTTCTGCTAACTTGCTTTTTGATTTTCGTTTTCTGAGGGGCTTATGAAGTTGTCCTTTTTCTCGTAGTTCAGCTACTTTATCTAAACTCTTCCCTACAGAGAACAAAGTAAACATGATCGTATGCGAACGTATGCGAACTTCAATGAATGTATGAATGTATTTAGTTTTAGCAATAAAACCAGACGGAAAGAGTACAGACAGCTTGGCATCAGTCGAGTTATTTAGAGATTTAACAGATCCCTAGCTCTAATGATAATTGTGTTGTATATAAGTCGAATTTTTCCAGCATACACAATTATACATTTAGGATTTTAGTTGTTATAATAAATGTATGTATAATTATGATAATAATTATAATTATTAATGATTTTTATCTGCCCTTTTCTGATGCTCACGTTACATCATTTCAAAACTATCAAAAGTGAGGCATTTATCCTTTATCGATGTGATGTAAATTTGCTATATTCGAACAATTTGTAAGGTTCAACACAAACCACAAATGAAATCACATGAGACAACTTTAGAAAATCAATTATTGAAAACGTGTTCCTAGGGCACCCAAACATGGATGGGAAAATTAGCAGCAGATTGCATTCTATTAGCAGCAGACAATATAAGAGTTTCTTGAAAAGAGTTCTCCAGTTCAAGACTTCAAGGGTAAATCAAGGATATTTTGCAAACTATTCCTTCGCACAGTATGTTGCGACCTACTGGTCTGAGATGGTTAACTTTAATTGTAGCCATTCATAAAGACACTTTCTCATCATTTACAAAGTGATGTGTTATTTAGATCAGCACTTGTGTTAACAGTATGGAACTGTCATTCTGGAAAAGAGGACACTTTCAAAATGAACAATTTACTTATCAAAAAATGATTGATCTAGTTTACGGAGGAAGAGTGACCGGGTGTGTTTTGAAGAGAAAATTTCCTTCATTCCTCTAGCTAATTATTCGAGAATATTCGAGAATTTCCTATGCTGGTCCTTTAAGGTTGGGGCTTTATTAGTTATTCAGTTAGTTTAACTCAATTTATCGTGAAATATTGATATCTCTTGATAATAGGAAACGTAGAGAAAGAAGACCATACCAGCGGGAAGGATAACGATTTCGATCGGTTCCACGCGGCCTTCGCCATCTTTACCAAGACCCTTTCTAGAAAATTCAAAAGCAATGCTTACAAAGAAAATCTGTGGAATGAAATTTGACTGTACTCTGCTTTCATATGGTTTCCTTGAAAACACCTGGCATTGAGAAAGCTATGATAATATTGTTGTATCTAATTGACTGATATATCTTGTTATTGTAAAATGTAGAACATACACAATCAAAATTTTTTAAGAACAGTATGTGGTTGAGAAATCCAAAATAAGATTTTGAATACAGAACTCATCTAAACTGAATTATAAAAAAATAAACCAAGATTTCTGGTCGGTCAATGAAAAAACTATTGTTATTAATGCCAATTGGCGATGTTCTTGCTTTTCGTCATTATTACAGCTTAAATCCGTACACAATTTCAAATTAAGATATGCACTTCAAACATCAACCAGAAAGAAGATGACTTTAAACTTAATTGTTTGGAAATAGAAAATGAGAGATGTATCATTCAGGAAACAGGATCCAACATTTGCAAAATTGGAGGCTTCGGTGTACGAAATATCATATGGTAGGCCAGGAGAGATGAAGGAACTAAAAGAAATCAACTTACCCGAACTGGTATCCCATCTTTGCCATCAATTTGGATCCGATTCCCTAACAAAAAGAGATTTATTCTGAAGGCCAGTTTTCTAGTTTGTAGGCCAAACGACCTTCAATTAGGATTAAATAGGTTCTTCCGTGTTTAAAATTATGATTTTTGATAATCAGAAAACAATACTTGGCTGAGAATTTTGTCAGAAGATATAAAAAAGCTTTTGGAAGCTGACAAGGCTTTAGTTGCTGAAAGATCGAGAAAGACATTCTAGGCTTATAAGAAGAACATGTGTCAACATTATTATAGCCAAAATTACATTAAGCATCTGGAGCATCCTTACCTTCGTATGTCTCTCCCATTCGCCGAGTGGTCCAGTGCTTAGGATCGAGTTCATAGATATTTGGGCAACATAGTTCTCCTCGTGAATATCCTTGCTATTTTCCTCATCAATGATTGATTCGTCACTGCTCTCGTAGTCATTGTTTCTCACCTCTGACAATAGCGAGTAGAGAAAATATGGTCATTGCTATTTTGTCATGGAGATGCTACAAATTCAAATTGTTTTTAATCTTTCAATCTTAGGAATCTTTAGATCAAGGGCCCTTAATCTTAGAAACCTAACGGAAGTGCATCAATTTTTGTACTTAGTAATAAATCCCAAATTATGTCAAAACAATGCTCAAATGGACCTTTCTTTAAAACGAATTCAAATGACATACCAATAGGTAGCACATCATGGATATCCAAAACCGCATCTGTATTGTAAGTGTCATAATGTATCTCTATGGTGTCATCATTTATTTTTCTGAAAATTTAGAAAATTGTCTATTTCATCTCATTCAATCATAAGGTACTACCAATAAAAAATAAAACAATCTCAGTAGTAAAAAGCAGATAACTTCTTCAATAATATCAAAATGTACTTCAAACTTTATGAAAAATCATCTTGCTCTTTTTTAACAAGTTTAGCCCTCCAAATTTGTTTTGTCCTTTTATTCACATTTTACTCCTCAGTTCTTGAACTCTAGTAGCCAATTTATTTTGTGTAACCAAACAGTATGTTGCATTGAAACAATATGTCAAGTGTGTAGGCTAGACCATCTTAGCAAAAGAACTTTGCAGTAGAAAATGTCATAATTACCTTATTGTTGATTTATACCATACTCCATCTTCATATTTTGCAAGACAATGTTCCCCTTCTTTTAAAAGGCTGTCATTCAAAATGAACTTTACATTATTCAAAATGAACTTCACATTAACATGGTTAATTAACAAAAAGACAAAATTACAGCTTTTTTAAGTAATTTAAATGATTATAATTTAATGATGTCTACTGACCATGAAAGTTTCAATACCCTACCTGAAATCAGGCTCACTGTATTCTTCTAATTCAGAGATATCTGTCAGGTATCCATGAGAAAACCTTAAGAAAAGAAAACAGGCAATATAATGCAATGAAGAATTGTTAATGGAACTGGTTTGAATCCCAGAGGATAACCTAGTACAGAACAGAATTGTACTCTGATGGTACGATCCCCATAAAATACCAAATGGGGAAGCTGAAAAAGCTTATGCCCTTAAACCTAAAAATAACCAAAAATCTAAAATTTTCTGAGAAGCAAACCCATAAATCTGGAAATTCTGAGGAAACAGTACCCTGAAAATGCCACAACCCCATACACATTAATACTGGAGTTAGGATGTTTTACTACATTTTCCAATAAATTTATTTTGATGCAAGCGCAAAAAATTTTGGATAAGATATTGTCAAAAAATAAACTTCAATAAAAAAGCAAACAAAAAATATTAGATGCAAAAAATTTGCAAAGGTAGATGAATCAAAATTCAAGAAAAGGACCAATATCATAAGTCAAAGCACAATCATTTGGAGGCTGCCATCATGAGATATAATTTATTAATAAAATTATTATCTTGATTACGGGGGCATTGGGGCAGTGGTGTCTAAAAAATGAACCCTCTAAGTGTTTTCTGATTGATCTAGAACTAATATCTAGCCTAAATAAAACACACACACACACAGGTAACCAACTGGAGGTGCCATTTATCCCCAATGTGTTACTATCAATCAAATAATACTTTGTGGACTGTCTGACTAAAGCACATTGTCAGACAGACTTAAAGCAATTTTAATATATTAATTGCAACATACCTGCACTTTTCTTCTGTAAATTTGCATTTTCCATCCAGGAAATAAGAGCAAGGAACCATTGATTTATGTGTTGGGTTCATAAACAGGACTTTCACCTAGAAATGACCACAAATCTTAATGTACACTATAGGGGGCCTCTCTCCTCAACTAGCTTTGCTACTGAGAGAGTTCCTCCTTTAAATAATTCCCCATACATACATATCCCATAGATAATCTGTGTTCCATATCTTATTGTTATAGTTATTGTTTGATATTTGATGTTGCTGTATTCTTATTAGTATTTTGTGGAAATGTATGTTGTGGAATTTAAAATATAATGAACCTGAACCTGAACCTGAACAAAAGTGTCTGATCAGTTAAGACAAGGCTTGATGCTTTCAACAGAACAATAGTACAAGAAGGGTTGTTCTAAAATACAGTGCTAGGATTAAAATTAGAAGATTCGTACTGAATATAAGGCTTAACTTTCTTTGACATTGTATAAGCATAAACAATTATAAACACTGATCCAAAAGATGTGCATTTTGCATTTTTGTGTAATCATTTCATGGGATAACTGAACAGGATTATAGAAAATATAAATCAGTTCTCTTATCAGTTCATCTCTCGGCCCTATCCAATAATGATGAGCTTTTCTACCCCCCCCCCTGGTGAGGAAAGTCCTCCCTCATAGCAGGGCAGGTGTTAATTGTGATGGATGGTGTAATGGTTTCCCTGTTTACTTGGAAAAGGGGGTGGCATGGGTGAATTGAATAGCTAGGTGGCTCAGTCAGTAGAGCAACAATAAGAAGATTTGCTGATTGTAGGTTTGGCACCTACCCTGGTTGTGACACTCATACTTCCACTCAATAATTTCATGTGTGTAGCCTTATGCAAGGTTTTAGTATTTTTTATACTTATAAACACTTTCAATAATATATAGTATATAGTATATAATAGTTCTATATAGACTGCAAAGGATGATAGACCGTCTTAAAAAGTATGCATATTACTTTGTGATCTCCATCTTCAGTTTCCTCTGTATCTAGCACCATAGCATTGTGATAATCTGTTTGCCCCCAATCCTGAAATTCGAAAAGCAATTGAAATACAATCTTGTATAGCAGTTGTAAGCAAAATAGTAAAAAATTTGCATACAAGCACAGAAGAGAAAAAATAAAACAATATATTGCACTTGATTAGATCAAATTTTGCTACAAATATGAAAAATAAACATCATATGATTTATACTGTGCAAAAATTAGATCATTTAACACGCACACATATAATTGTTGATAAAAATAATCAAAAACTGGATTACTTGAAAAGGAATTTTAATTGCTTACATGAGAATGCCGTACTCTGCATTTAATCCCAAGGAAATCATGCTCCTTGATATCATCTTCATTTTCATTATATGAAAAGGAGCTAGAGCTATCCTACAAGAAATAAAACAGGAAATTTGAGAAGTTATGTGATTCAATGGTCACGGAATCAGCATAGAAATGAAACCTAAGTGTGAAATGACCTACAAAGTGAATGTTTACCTCCTTCTCTTCATAAACCTCATTATCTTGCTCCGAAATTTGCTGTAGTAGGCGGCTCTTCTTCAGCGATAGTAAACTTTCTAGAAGGCAAAAATTATTGAGATTTCTTTAAGTTTTCAAATACATACCTAGGCAAAATCCATCAATAGCATAAAATTTGTGTTTGGAACATTTGACACAATACCAAGGACTGCATAACCAGCATATTGACAACACCCCCATACACCCTTGATAACATGAAGCATGCAAACACTCTGGACAAATACAATACCTTCTGTGATTTTTATAAGATCTGTGATGTCTTTTCTGAGATTTATCAGCTCGTGTTTGTTTTCATCTTCACAACACTGGAGTAATGTGTCAATCTGAATCAACTATAAGGAAAACAAAGTTCTGTTATATCAACGAAGTACAATTACTTAGTTGTGTTACAATTCAATCTCTGGTGTTTTAGAAATGTTGCAGGCTACTATAGTCCATGTCTCTATTTATGATGCTTGACTTCCACGCAAGAAGTATGAGGAATGATGTTTTCATTTCCTGATATTTATGACAAAGAAAGACAGTAGCAAAAGACAGATCTTACCTTTCTTTTGAAGAATCTTTTAGGAAACATTTGACGCTCAGAGTCACAGATTTACAAAAACATTGAGCCTCAGCCAAAGTCATCCAAAAAAACAAACAGTTTTTGGATAATAAAACTATTTCAAACCTGTTGCTTGTAGGAGGTGATGGATTCTTCCAGGGTGCTTTCCTCCATAGCTTTATAAAAAAATTAGGAACCTCAATTTAAGCACAAACTAGCAAGACTTTGGTCAGAAAACTCAAAGTTACAACCACAAAGTTATACCCAATAACAAATCAAAGTAGCCTCTTTTTCGATCGTCAATTTCGAGTCTCAACCTCTCAACAGAGGTTGCGCGCTGTCCCGGGGAGGCGGGGGGGGGGGTACTCTCATTATGGACTGATAGGGGGGTCCGGTCAGGATCAAAGAGGGCCAATGCTAAAATTTCAGAAAATTAGCCTCAAATGATAGTACATTTCGACAAAACCCCTCAGGAAGTAGCATAAAAACCGAAACTATTTCCTTGGTAGCATTAATTTCTTTGTGCTCTCCTGGTCCTTTTTCGACAAACTTCTTCATAATTGATTATTGGTGTTTCAGGAAAGATAAATCTTATTCATTTTTTATAGCAAATCACAAGCTCAACTGAGCAGTTCAGTTATTTTCAAAAATGGGCTGTTTGGTAGCCCTTTGGTAAGACCCTCAAACGGACTGAGCCCCCTATCAGGCCTTGGAGTATCCCCCCCCCCGGCAGCTGAACTTTAACCTGGGCCACTGGTCTGAAACTTTTTTAGATTAGTGACAGGGGCTTCAAGAGAGGTGGAGGGAATGGATGGACTCTACCAGGGAGGGAATGGATGGACTCGCCCATAAAAGAGCAAAAGTATTTTGGTGAAGCGTTTTTAGACGTAGTGGCAAAGGCAAAAAAAGGAGAAATTGGATTCTTGTCCTGTTTTTTGAAGTTTTGAAAAAGAATGGGCAAAACAAACAAAAACAAAAGTTACTATAACAAGAAACAGGCACAAAGCCAGTACTGAAAAGCTGGGTGAGCAACAGGGGCGAAGCAAAAAAAATTATTCCCTTTTGCCGATAAAAAGGGCGCGTCTCACTCTTTTTTGGGTGCGGTCATAAAATTTGTAACTTTACATATGCTGCTTCTATGTTTTCTAACTCTTCTCTCTAAAATTTCAATTTGTATTTTTAATGCATACTTTGAAAGTTTAGCTGCTACAGAAATTATAGCACGTTATAACTATTTCAAAAAGTTTATAATTATGCTACAGGGTGAGAAAAAAGTTATGTGGTGCAGACAAAGTATGGGGAGCAAGCGCCCTCTTTTAGCGACGCCCCTGGCGGGCAATGCCGAATTAAGATTGGCTTATCAATTGAACGAAGTTAAGAAGCTTGTTGCTTGTTATTTGAAGGCAAGAACTTAAGTCAAGGTATTGAAGAGTCTTTAAAAATTTGATATCTCGCAATTGATAAAGATTTTGATACAGATTTATCATATTTCCCTTGATAAAGAATTTTTGGAATTTAGTGAACTTTTTGTAGAGTCTTTGTAATCTTCTTTCACTTGGGATAAGAAACGCAAACATCTAAAGAGCAGTCTTGTTTTGTATTACTTTTTTACAGAAAAAATAAAGAATTTAAGTGTGAAAGGGAACTAAGCCATAATGATAGGTGCAATGGAGCCTTATCATTTTGTCTACTTGAAAGAAAGTTATCAGGGTTTTGGCTCCCAACATAGAAAGTCATCAAATCGCAGTGACATCAATAATCATCGTTCAAAATGAACATAACCTTTTGCAAGGGAAATTAGCCGCGGGAGCCAACTTTTGTTTGTATAAAAAAGGTTTTTTCTTCCTACTGGGAGAGAAACACTGAATTTTCCAATCAACTAAATTTCCAATCAACTAGATTAATCTCTGGGAAAACCAGTTGAGTCTGCGCGAGGGCTAACCTTTTGGGTGTCAAACTTCGGATATCATTGAAACTACAGCTGGAATGGAGGTTGTAGCTGTGGAGGAGGAGCAAAGCTGAAGTTGGTTCTTTGAAATGAAATTAGAGTGAAATGTTGGATACTGACATTTATGATTAAGCTAGAAGTTTGCAAAGTGTACTCTTAGTTGAAGGTAAGTGCATTTTATATATTTTGTTCAAGGTTACTGAGAAATCTCTTCATTAAAGATAAACAGCCACTGTTATATCTGAAAATGGAAATTTAGTAGTCATGTTGAACTTCCACTTCCATAAGCCAGAGCAGAGCAGTTAGCTTTTTGACATCTAAAGAATCACTCTGTGGTAATTTACTTTGTCACTTAATCAGTTATCAAATAAGGCAGATTCTTATTAATTCTATGCAGCTAATCGATAAATACAGGCGTCTATTTATGCTAGGCTAGGGTGCTTGAATATATTTTTGTAATGTGTTGGACACTAATTCAGCAATGTCGACATACAGTGCAGTGTAACATTTCACAACATCCAAATAGTGTGTCATCAAAAACTAACCTAAGCATAAATGATACAAGTTTAGGGTATAGATTGACGAATAGCATTGTATGTAGGATTACGCTGGCGTAGTTTTGAAGAAGACTGTTCCCTAACTCTAACAAGTTCCTGTTTCATAAATTTAAGCTTTTCAGAATATCATTCTACCAAAATACCCATCCTTTGCCTCGCATAATGATATATTGAAGTAAAAAAGCTAATTAAAATCCAAAGTAATCATTTGCCAAACCCATTCTTAAAATATAAAATATGTTTAGGGAGAATTTAACAAGAAGTGATTATACAATATAGGTGAAAATGCTGCCAGGCTCATGAGTAGGACTTCATTGGGTCAAATCAGGTTAGAATCATTTCCCACTACCCTCCATCCTACTCAGCTATTCATCCTTCTAATGTAAGTAAATGGGTATGCATGGCATTAAATCTAGATACCAAACTTACAGCACAAGTTGTGCCCAACTGGCAGAATGGCTGCCAAATATCTTACCCTTGTAAACAAATACATTCTTTCAATAGTTTAGATTAAGACAACAACATTATCTTTTTGAGAAAATACAATGAGTATGAAGTGGCTTTTCCCAGGACAGACTATTTTTCTGATATCCAAATCAGTTGAGTGTTACACTTGTTATTATTTATTATTTAGAGTTTGGCATGACATGAGTGGTCAGTTAGTATAATGGTCTGTCCAGGGTGAAGTCACTCCAAAGATCAGAGACAGGCTCTTAGCCTTAAGTTATAGTTATAGTTAGTTATAGTTAAATACAATTCCAACTGTACTGACTGTGTGATTGCCTTTCCCTTCTTCACGCCCATGCAAATGGTTTAGAACAAGCAAGTAAATGTCATTTTCACTCTTTCAATCACCCATGACAATTTTAAGTTTTTTTAGCTATTTCAAATTTTCATAGACATTCCTTTATATTTTTTATTGCTCAGTTTGAGTGGTTTTCCTTAGCAGTTACTTTTTTCAAAACTGGAAAGTGCAAAATTAGATGGTTTCTTTAATTTTGGTTTTTCCTTTTCACCTTTTCAATTCCTGGTTTTTATAATGGGTGCACTTTTTTTATTGCATCCAACAATAAAAGTCATTGCTAGGTCTTTGCCAAAGTAGTGAAGATACTACTGTAAAACCTTAAGCAAAATTTTGTTATGTGATATGATCTCTACAAGAACAGCAGCCAAATTAAAGTCTGTTACAAATGTTTCAGCCAGGGTTTGTGAATAATCTTGAGAATGGTTTAAAGGTGACACAATGCAGAACATTTCTTGCGATTTAACAAATCAATGATAGTGTGTCTCAGATACCTTTCTGCATAAACCTTCTGCCTCAGTTAAATCATATGTAATTGACTTTCTTCAACTGAAAACCAGATAAAAAATAATTATTAGAGAGATGTGTGAGGAATTTTAGAATCAATAAAAGGTAACACCTTTAGCCTTTTACATTTATATGGCAAATCCTTATAAATTTTTTAATTTTGCTTGTAGATATGGCAGCTTTAGGTACAAATATATTGTCAGCATTTATTGTCTTGAAAAAGTTTGCCCTGGGGCCAAGACTGTTAAGAATTTATCCAGTTCCGAGAGGGCCATCTGTGAGTATGATCCAATTTTATATTATTCTTTAGAAGTGATTATAATTCCTAACCTATTATCTTTATGCCCTGGTGACTTTTATCTTGTTTATCTCTTTTGCAATCAATAGCATTTAAAGTTATATAATATTTGAAATATCTACTTCTAATATATGAACTCATTTTAGGGGCGAGACTATGAACCAAACAATTTGGAATTCTTTTGTGATTTCCTCATCAAATCTGTAAGTGTTGCATAAATTTTAACCATTCAATCAAAAGTGCTTTTGCATATGCAAAGCATGGTCTTGCACCTTGTCTGTCTGCTATAAGCCAGTTAAACCAATTGTACTTTGTAGACTTTTTTTGTAAAAATGATACATCAGCAAAAAGTAAATTATTGAAAATAATTCTGTCCTTCTTATTCATTTCTTAGTTATTAGTTATTAAGGTGTCTCTTGTAGCCATTGAAAATAGGTGAAAAGCTAGCACAAACTATTTCAATGCATTTTGTCTTATCATTTTCATTATTATGCTTGCAATTTATGACCATGTTTTGCAAGCTTTTCACTAGGCAACCAGATTGTTAGAGTCTTTAATATTCAAAGTTGGCAATGCCCAGTTGATTTAGCTGATGCTTTTTTTATCAGAATGTTGGACATTTTGAATATGTCTGAAAATCATGTTGTTAGGCCTGCATTTGTCTATTTTATCAAAGTGAGATTATATTTGGAAACTGCAATTTCTTTTCCAGATTTCAAATGCTGTATCATTGTCGATTTACATGTCACCTGTTGTTCTTTTCTACATGTTTAGAAAAGGTATGCCAAAAAAAATAAAATGCATCAAATTAAATTTTTGCGGGAGTTTGCCAGATTTTTTCTTCTAGGATTGATGATTATTCTGTGTCATAAATTTTGTTTATCTTATGTTTTGGTAAAGGACTTTTTTTTACAATAAGTTTTGATTTTCCACAGGCTCATACTGTAGAATTGTTAATATAACCCCTCAAATATCTTTGAATATACTCCCCCAGAGTATAATCAACCCCTTCCCATTTATGGTAACTTGCTTCTAAATGTAAGCCTTCACAAATATTAGCCCTAATGAATTTTAGCCCAAGGCTATTTTCTCCCTTTAACAAGAATACATGCCTACCCCCTCCTCATACCAATACAAAGTACAAGAACAACAAATTCTATTCATCAGTGCATTAGTCCATTTTTTACATCTAGCTTGCAGTGCTTATTACCTTAAACATTTGATATCAGGGTACCTCAGTGCTTTCTCCCTGAGTCAATGTGCCTTCTTGGGCATATCCAGCTTCACCCACTATATTTTCTGTGTTTTTTTAATATACCCTTCTTTTCACAATGGTACCAGCATTTTGAATGTCTCTGAAACATGACTGATCTTTTCATTTAGGCTTGAAAAAAAACGATTTTGCATTTTGTGTTTGAAAGTATGTGAATTCCTATCATAGATCCAGCCACCCAGAATAGAGCCCCCTCCCCAGAAAAAATAAGCCCCTTGACCTTTTAAAGGCCTTGGACTTATTTTTGGAATTTGGCAGTTAACTTTTTGCTCAAATGTTTATTGGAAGCTATCTATAACTGCAAAAGTTAAGGTTTTAACGGTGCCTGGGGTATTACTGGTTGATGTTGAAATTTTGTAACTCTGAGAATAGGCTATAAACACACCAATTCAAATTACAGACTCATTACTTCTTCAAATTCTTTTGTACAAAATTTTTTAACCTCAGCTTTGGGTTGAGAGCAAAGATAAAAATTTGTAAGGCATTTGACCATGATTGGCAACTATAGGGGTTGGTAAATTTTCACCCAGAATTATTTTTGTGGTCAAAACCCTTACAAGTCTTCAAACTTCATTTTTCTATAAAATATCAAATATAAGCACAAACAATATAAAAAATTGTACCCAATCTAAAATTATGGTGATAACCAAATCTGAGCTCAAAAAAGTTGTACAATGAAGGTTGGAGATATCTCCAAAGGATGGCTGTAAGTGGAATTAGTGTATTGGTCTTTGGAAAATTGTCCAAAAAATCATTGACTTGCTTACATGAGGCTTAAACCGCTGTTTAAAACTTTTACAGGGTTGATGACTGCAAGCCAAATTATGTATCTATCAAAAGTGTTTGCAACTCTTGGAGTAGGCGTCAGTATTCTTTTGATTGGTAGAGGTATGTACTATATGTTACTATAGGAAACACAAATGCCTTTAATCATGGTAATTGCTGTTAGAATCCTTAGCTTTATTCATACAAGTCTCATAAATTACAACATTTAGCAGCCACAAGTGATTTAACTCATGTCCTTTTGTGCAATGACCAGAAAGTCTGTATCCCAGTTAAATATCATTTTTTGGTATCTTATCTTGAAACTTTATAGAATCAAGAAAAACAGTGTACAAATATTTTGTAGGAAATTTTTAAATTTGAACTTTACAATGCTAATTGCTAAATAAGTTGGCTGTAATTTTGTAACATTCTCTTCAAAACTAATTTGCTACATCATAGATTTCCTTTTTTGTGTTACAGGTGACAAATTGCATAATTTACTGTTAGGTTTAAGACACACAATCACAAAACTCAATTCATGTGGGAAGCCTAATTATTTATACCTTAAACAGCAATTAGAAAGACCTGCATGTTTAAGTTTGTAAGAATAGCTTTTATTTGTCTTGTTACTGGTAACAAGTAATGACTTTTGAAATAATCTGCTGAAAAATTTTATATGATGATTAACATTCATGATTCTGTTTATCTTTGTGAAAGGAATCGACAGATATAGGAATCCTCATTATCAGCGGTTCATGAAAATTTTAGATGAAGCAAGACAAGATCCTGAATTCAAGGTATATCTTTTTCACATATTTATGTATATTCTGCATGGTCAAAAAATTACTTTATATGCAAATGTATTGAATTCAATAATGTAAACCGTTTTTAGATAATTACCAGATACTAGTGTAGATAACTTTTTGGCTTTCATAATCTGTTTGTGTCACAAAATATAAATAGCGAAACAAGCCATTGATTAATGTTTATTTCTGCATTGATTGTGTAGAGCTATGAATGTGATGGAGCTATTATTATAAGAACATGAAGAACAATCTTTCTGATAACATTTATCAGTCTTTTCTATTATCAGTAAATATGACATTGTAAGATTTATTCTATGAGAAAATTTCAGTTGTTTGTCAGATTGCAATAGTTTTCAGTAGTCTAGGCATTATAACCAATCCTTCACAGTCATTTTTAGCTGAATGCTTTACCATCCATAATTATAAAAGGGAGAAGGATTATCAAGAAATATAAGTTAGTTTTTGGTTTGAATGTTTAAATAAAAGCCCATCTGACAATGTACCTTGCCAAACAGTTAGATACTACTTGTTACAGATAAACCATTTATTTCCTTGCTGTTGCTTACACAGGAACAGCTGCAAGCATATGATTTTGAATTCTTTGCCTGGTTGGTTGATTTCAAATGGAACGAAAGTTCCTTGGCCCCTATGAAGTACCGACAGTCTGCTGAAAAGAATGATGATGTGCCATTTACCTGGAAGTTTGTCCAACTACCCCTGAAAGCTTTCGAGTAAGTGCCAACTATAATGCATTGATAGATTATCCTTTAATAGAGCAGTTTGATTTAAATCGGAATAAGATTAAGCTATACATCATTCGATGCACAAGAATGTGGCGATTCCAACCATATCAAAATAATTGACAAAGATTGTAAAATGATACTTTCCAAGCAAGTTTATTGCTTAAATAAGTGTACCACCTTCAAAACTATTTTGTACCCTTGCGTTTGAGGTAACAAAATCTGACTTATATCAGCAGAAAGCCTTAGCTACCAAACTGTGTCTCACTCTCATAGCTGTATTTGGCTATAAAAGACGGACCAGAGCAAATACCAAAATTTTAAGACATACTTTGCTTACCCGACGTCTGTCCTTGCCGTATGCAAAGTTTTGAGCCATTCGATTGGTTCTTTGGATACAAAATAGCTTTTTCACACCTGTATGTGAAGGAATTGTAAGTCCGGAGAAAACGGGGTTTTACGATCGAACTTGCAAGGTACGATAGTATAATCGGGGTCAAGTCACTTGAAGCTTAAGATCAATTAGCCTGTTTAAATAAACACGGCGGGCCGTACATTGGATACATGAATGTGCAATGTGATATTGTAAATAAGACATGCGACCACAATATATGCAAAGCACAATGCAAAGCAAGGATAATCGGCATAACAGGTCAAGAAATTTTCAGGCCTCAACTAAAAGTTCTGAAAAAGAAATTGTTGAAACCTCCGTTACATATGATTTTTTCCATTTTCAAAATTTCTGTTTGTTTCAAAATTGGTATTATTGTGTGCCTTGAAAGTTCGCCTGCGTGAATGTGAGAAAATCGAAAAATTGATGTTTTCATCCAGAAAATGTTTTCCGTAACTTTAATATCCCTTTGTCATATCTTGTCCTATTTTATCCTAAATTTTTGTTCATAACATTCCTTTCTCTGGTTTCCTTAGTTTAAAAATGTATCTTACAAATGGGCTTCTTATCTATGTTGTTTTTATTTCTTATATTTCTCTGAATCACTGCATCCTTGTTTGTGAGAAAAAGCTCACCACTAAACACCTTGCCACACAATAATGTGCTACGTTTAATGCTTAATTAAAAAAGATTCTTTTCTAGCCTTGTCCGGTGTTGTCTAGCAAATGTGGTTTTTAGTGACAATTATGTTCTTTTAACGTTGATTGTAGTAGCTTCTGTAATATTCTAGCTACTTTGTCGCCCATGGTTTTGCGAGACCCATGATATATCCAGGATCAGTGAAGTTGTTGCAAAATGCTTTTGGTTAGTATTTTTTGTATGTCTAAACTTCTGTAATTCTTTAGATAGTAATAATGGTTTTGTTAAATACGAATGCTCAGTTAGTTCTTCAGAGTTTCTCTTTGGCTATTCCTTGAAAGAACCAGATCAAGCTTGCTACCTTTATGTTTCCTAGTTTCCAATTTTTATTTGATTTATGAAGAACTTGAAGAGAAGCATTTGTTTGAAGTCCAACGCACTCGCTAAGACTCCTATTTACCTCTTAGGTATTGATTCAAATTATTTATTACTGGTGTTTTGTATACTTGATTTTGTGTAAACTCTTAAGTGTCTAAAGTGTTGTTTCTTAGATATGATAATTTTTATACCTTACTAACTGATTTAGATGTTAATAGAAGCATCCTGTTCTTCTTACAAGATTGGCATTTTTTCACCTATTCCGTTCTTCTTAACGAAATTGTAACCTTAACTTTATTTTATTTACAATCTACATTGAGGTCCCATTGGGCATTTTTCACATTACTTTTTTTTTCACAGCCGATACCATCCTTAAGGGGCGTGCATATTTGATTGAAAAGGTATGAAGACTACATATTACATTAACTATTTTTTCATTGTATGTTTAAACTATATTTCTGTTCCGGCACTTGCACTTTGACGGTCTCTTATTTTTCAATAACTAATTTTTGCTAGAACGGCAGACGAGCTAAAGTGCTGACTGAAGATGGCAATGAGATTGACACGATGTTTTTAGACAAAAGAAGTATTGAATACAATGGTGAAACACTGGTGAGTAACAATTTATCTTCAAGCTTAAAATATACACTTACTATGATTTTATCATTTTCGTTTTAAATATATATTCTACGTTTTTTATCTTTTGTCAGTATTCAGGTGTAAGGCAACCCCTTTGTGTTTTTATCGTAGAATTTTTAACGGGTTGATATGTCTTTTTTCCTGAAAAATTCTTTGTTTATAATAAGAAATTTTCACACGAACTAAATTTTTTGTGTAACTTCTTATCTCTTAAGTAGATAAATCAATCAGCATCAAATCAAAAGTTCGTTGCATATGCTAAAAGTTTTTGCACAAACTGATTGATGTTTGCACAACACTATCGGTGCTGTTATATCTCTTTTTACTTATTTTTACTAGCTGAGTATTTTTAATTATATCTGAATCTTTCTTACCATTATACCTCAATTTTACTAGGCTTAGCTTACTTTAACACTTTTAAATTAAGTAAAGAGGCAAGGGCGGATCCAGAGCAAATTTGGGGCAGTTGGTAGTGGGGGCGCTAAAAAATTTGCAAAAATTAATGACGAGAGTTCGCTGTATACAACAATTTCAGATCCATTTTCGGAATAAACAAGATAGCTTTGAGGTAATCCTTGAAGCAAATTAACTTATCGGTCTCAAAAACTTTTTCACTTGATTCTCATTCTTCAAAGGGGGCGCATAGTTTCCAAAAAAGGGGCGCCACACTTGCTTCAACTCGTTGAGGGAGGGGCAGCTGCCCCTAGTTGCCACCCTTGAATCCGCCACTGTAAAGAGGTGTATATTAACTTAAAATGAAATTTTTTATTAGGTTATTACATGTGAGGGAAATGCAGCTTTCTATGAACTTGGATGCATGGTTGTTCCGCGAATTGGTAAGAGTCCGAAGCATTGAAGTTAGCAAACAATATTTTAGTAATGTCACACTTTGACAGTCACAAATATGTTATCATAGAAATTTTCAACTTTTCTTACTCACTTACTCAAGAGAAATATTATCATAGAAATTTTTGCGCCATTCATAAAATTGTTTACATATAGGCATCTCTGTTTTCCAGTTGTTATTGCTGTTTGTTTTGCCATTATTAACCCTTCGTTTTTATTTTAGCCGGATACTCAATTCTTGGCTGGAACCATCCTGGCTTTGCTGGCAGTTCGGTATCATAAATAATTAATTTTCAAGCGATAAAGCCCAGCTCTTCCTAACGAAATTTCATAACGTGATGTGCTTTGTTGCACAAAAAAGTTTTTTTCTAAATGATCATAATTGTCATAAATTATCATCTGAAAGCCATTTGAGATTTTTATCATAATACTATTAATTATCATTAATTATTAATTATACTAATTATCATAAATTATCATAAATCCAAAGGGAATTGAGAAAATATAACCGATCTAAAGTTCTGATTCCGGTTTTGTTCTGGCTTCGTACCTTATGTTCATATATAAATGGGGACAATGCTAAGAGAAAAGAAAGAATGAGACATTTGATGAGGAGAGCGATCTTCATGCAGAGAAGTAGAATTAGATTGTTTCACTTCTCAGGACGGTGGCTTTGCTGTTGACTCAAATAGTTTCAAATAATAGTCATTTTTATGAGAGGTTAAAGACGAACTATCTATGCTTTTTCACTAGGGGCTCCCCTACCCAGATCCGGAGAAAAAGGCCGTTGACGCTGTTGTCAAGTATGCTGTTACCAAACTTGGATTCCCTCTGGAAAATATAATATTTTTTGCATGGTCAATAGGTTAGTGTAACCTATATTCTCCTTTATTGCTATTGCAATTATCTGGTTTGCCTTTGGCAGGCTGGGTTAACACAAGAAAATCGAACAAAGCTTTTGTGCTAACACATGTGCCTTTGCTTTCATGAATCGTTTACAAGAGTTCCTACTTACAGTTGGGCCATGAATTTATTGTACTTATTTTGTAACTTCATCAAAACCAGCAGTTTTTTTAAATTTGATTTTCCGTAAAGGAAGCCAAAGAGTTTTTTAAAAATTGGTTCATACCACCGTGTATGTTTATCTTCACTTGCTGATTTGATTGATATGCCTCACTAACGCTTGGCTAATCGTGAAGATGAACTATTTATCAACTCATCGTAAACTGTGAATATTTATAAAAATGTAGAGACGCCAGTCCTGATGAGCTTCAAATCCTCTCCATTTTCACGAGTGAACGAGTCTTTGAGAATAATGGTTTTCTTCTAAATACATTCATGTTTTGGGAAATCTCCATATAATGGTTACACCAAGGACCACATTTATTATCCGCTTAGGAAGGTGTCCGATGTTTTAAGATATCCTTAGTTTGGGGGTGTCCGTTGATTGCAGTTGTCCGTTGATTGCAGTTGTCCGTTGTTTGTGGATATCCGTTGTTTGAAAGTGTCCGGTGATGAGATTTCTCTGTATCACAATTTCATCGTAAGACGATACCTACTCAAATATTCTTTCATTCATTCATTCAAAATGTTTTTTGTTTATTATAGGTGGGTATTCGGCATCCTATGCTGCAATGGCCTACCCTCAGATCAAAGGAATCGTAAGTCTTTGTGTTTCAAGTAAATTCTCAGTTCTTGAAAATGGCTTTTGAAAAAGCAAATATTTGAGAAAATTAAAGCTTTTAGTCTGACCCTCTTCAGAGTTTAAAACGCCAGAACATAGATCGAAAACTCTACGCTAGGAAATACTTATACCCAGTTGTGGATCGATATAGGCCAATCAGAAACGCGGGCACACGACTGTTGAGGTTGCCCAATCAGTGCCGCTTGCCTATAGAGAATGTTACCAATGGAGTCCTAAGGTGGAAACAAACTCCTTTTGCCTACAAAAGTACAACTAAAACATGCGATTCTGCTATCGGGCAGCATTTACTGGAAAACCCAGATTGTGCAAAAAACTAAAATGGCGACATGTTTCGTATTATTGGTAAAGCCCGATCGTCATTCCATCTAGCAGTTTTGGAATCTATCTACATTAGCACGAAAAAACCGCTATTGTGTAGACAAAAGGAGTTCGTTGATCAATGCTTATTGACTAAAAACCATATGTTTGAGAGTGTAAATATGGCCTCTGAATTCAGGAGATATTCTTTGTCTCTTCTATTTGGCATGTTTTGGTCTCACCTTTCTGTCATTTATGTCTCATCTAGATTTTGGATGCCACGTTTGACAATGTTCTTCCTTTGGCTACAGCAAGGATGCCCTCAGTACTCCGTATGTCCGTTTAATCCTTTTTGAAATTCATTTGTTTTTCATAATACTTTTAGATGCTGGTAGTTGTCTCTATATTCTATCCAGTACTGTTGCATTCAAAATTAGGCCGGCATTATCGAGTTCAATAGATATTACCATATAAGGTTGTCATTCCAATATTTGAATGAGACACTCATTCAGCAGTATGGGAGGTTAGTCAGCCATTTAGGATCCGGTCGAAGTTCTTTCTAAACTCGTTTTTGTCATGCTTTAAGTTTGTTTGTATCCAAAAGTTTTTTGCCATTTAGTTAACATCTAGAAGACTGATTTTCTAAAAGATATTAAGACAATGATAGGCCTACCCTAGTTCCATGTTATCTCCAATTTATCTTGTGGCCGATGTTGTTATTAGACCATTCATAATGAAAAATGAGACCTTTTATTGTCAATTTCTTTCTTCCGTCAATGGGCAAGTGCTTCTTCATATCAACTACCATTAAACAGCAGCAACATAAAGCTTGTGAAACTCATCGCTTTTCGTCCTTAGTGAGCACTGTTAAAAGAGTGGTAAGGGATTACTTCCCGTTGAATGTGGAGCAGCAGCTTCTCAGGTGAACCAAAGTTATAATTACTGTAAACATCGACCTCCAAATCATTTACCAGGTAACATCAGAGTCTCTTTGAAGGCCACATTTTAAATCGTGAGGGGTACCTTCTTTTGAAAACTCAAGACTACCAGGTACAGAAGCATGTAAATATCAAGCTGCTGTAGCTTATTCATTCGTAAACGATTTACTAATGAAGACTAGATTCATATTTTAATCGTATTGCTAGTTCTCGTGTAAAAGTTATTAGAGCGCCAGTCCAAGTGAGTTTCCTCATCTTCTCGATCATATTTCGCTAATAACTCTTTACCTGTTTGTTACCAAATTATTGAAAAAAGTAATTTAGGGTTCTAGCAACTATAAACGATTTAAAGAAAAACATCTGTTTGAAGGCCCAGAGCTTCCTGTGTTTCTTCTTTTTACCTCAAAACTAAATTCTACACCGTGCAAAGATTTTGATAAAAATCGAACCGGCACTTCCTGATATATAGCCTGGCCATCGTATTGCTTCCGTACCCTTAAGAGCCTCATAACTGCATATTCGTCATTCACAATCTCATTTGTCCTAATGCCTAATAGTGATGCATCTCAGTGTGTAGATAATGTGCTAAAGGTAGGACAAACATTAGGCCCGTTCAACATCTAAAGCCTATTTTTCTACACACTTATCATCCCGAAAACCAAGCTCGTAGGTTTATTTAAACACTGTTCAGTCCCTTCGTCTTTGTTTTTCCTGGAAAATCAGATATGATGATTATGGCCAAGGCTAGTTATAGATCTTATGTCCATTAATATTGCCACAATATTAGTTACAACCAAAGACTAACAGGCCATTTCATGAGCATCTGCCCAGAAAAATGTGTTTATTTTTTAAATTTGTGATGTAACACAGAGAGTAATATGCACATTAGATTTTCTTCCTGTTTGATGTAAGGACAGAAAATTTGTAACACTGCTTTTTAATGAAGGTACCCTGGTCCAGTTCGATTGATACGAAGATTTCAAGAGGAAATCATCACAACAAAGTGAGTTGAATTTTCAAAGACCCTGCCACTTTATTTTGTTTTGTTGTAGTCTGTTTTCAAACTTTTGCTTGTATTTCTTTAGCGCTGGCTGTGTGATTCAAGGGTCCTTTATAATTGGACCTAAACTTCCCTCTCCAGGGTTTTGTGTGCCGTGTTTCAACAGAATACACAATTAAATATATAAAATTTTGTATTACGTGCAACGTACCATTTAGTGTCGATTTATATGCCTGTGGAATCAAACACCTCTGACCCAGCGAATTCACATCCGCAATGGCCAGCTGCGCAGGCACTCCCTCCTCGTAGAATTGTGTAGCGATGTAGCTGATGAAAAAGAATGCTGACTTTAATGCTGTGTATCTGGTGTAGGAATATGTAGAACTTTATCGAATAATTATGAATTTCCAGTAAAACAAGTAACAAACTTATGCAAAAAAGATGCCCCTGGTGGTATGAAGTTACACCTTTTAAATATGTATTCAATTTTTGATTACATAATCTGAAACCTGTCGCTCAATTTTTGGAGCCATGTATACAATTGGCTTGAACCAAAATTGTCAATTTTTACTCACAGGTAATCATCTAATCGCGATTAATGATTTTTGACTATTCTTTCGACTGTTTTTTCTTTGGAAACATAATTTCTCTGTTTTTTTTGGAATCCTAACCATTGTAGCCTATTTTTTACAGGTCCTTTGAACCAGCAACCAACCGAGGAAATTTCTTGTTAGTCAACCTTTTGAGATACAGGTAACATTTCTATTTTTCACTACATCCCGGGTCATAAGTTTTAAAATGTTATGGTCTATCCGAAATTTGTTTTGTTGCCCAGTTTGCAATCCTTAATTCTTTTCGTTCCTATAAGTTTAGTTGGAATTCTTCATTCTTTACAACCTTATTCTCAGAGTATGAATCACGTGTGGATTTTCCTGCTCTTTGGCATGTCAACAATTTCTAAAAAAACTGATCTTTTGCTTTAATTTAACCCTACTTTCCTTGTTGTAATTATTACTTGTTTAAGATATGCAAAATATGTTGCAGAAATTGGAAAAAAATTATTGAATTACTTTACAAATTTTCCTTAATGAGAAAACATTACCTACCTAAATGTTTTTGTAGATATCCCGGCATCATGACAGAGGAAAGCGTTAACGCAGCCTGGGAATTCTTAGCCGCTCCAAACTTTCAAGTTCAAGGTCGGTGATACGCCACGTCAAATTCTCTACGTTGGAATTCGATTTTTTATCATCTTTGATAATTTTCTAACAATGTGTTCCTTGGTGTTAGATCTCAGGAAAATCATTTTTATGGAATCCATCCAAGATGTTTTTTTTCTCAACCAAAACTATTTTTACCGAGATTTATGGTATTATTGAAATATTCCAATCACCCTGCAAACCTAATGTCTTTATTGTTCGAATTTGATGCAGCTATCCTATATAGCCTACATTTTTTTCTTTGTTGTTTCCATTACTTGAACGTTTTAGGACATTATTATCGTCATGATGATTAATAAGAATGATTCCTTCTTGTGCACGACATTAAAGTTGATATCTTCCTATTCAGCTGCTGTCAAAGAGCGGTACAGATACAATGAAGAGGCATGCGAAAATGCCATAAAACTGGCGACAAACGGCCAATGGCCAACGTTTCCTTGTCACGCAGGTACGTTCAAATGCGTTTTTCTCAATCTAAGTTCTGGAGTTTTTTTAAGAATTCATAAAGGTCCTTTTGCACAAACGTTATTATTTGACAACGCATCGTTTCCTTGTAGATTTAAAAACTTAAGATTTTTCGTCAAGAAGACGTATCCGTGTTAACATTACCAGTTAAGGTTAAAACACAACACAACAGTATCACGATAACGACATCAAAGAACATACAAGAAGGAAGTTGGATTTATGTGTTGATGGCGTGTAGATGGTTTTGTATTGAGGATTGTGTTGATTTATCTTGATGCAGTATACTACTATTCTTGCAGTAAAGAGTAGATAAAATACTTTTTTTGTAGTCAATAAAGTGGAATACATGTTATGCATGCTTCATGTTCAGTTACAGACAAATATGTGGTAGTAACTATTTGTATATTAACCTTACATCATTAAGGAAGGTTACTGACTTCTAATGTGACTAAGAAAAGTTCAAAAATCGTACGCCATTTCACATATTTTAGAGAAGTAACTCTACGATGGTTTGATGCCATAAATTTGATGTGCTTCAACCGTCCCTACCAAATATATCCACATTTACTTTTGAAATTTACTTGTATTCTGGTATAGACGTTTCTTAGCCACTATATGCATATGCTCGTTCTTTGAATTAACCTTATTTTTCTCAGGCGAAGAATGGGAACCTGAGTTTCGATGTAATGTTGCATTGTTTCTTGTAAGTACTTCAACAAAATATTTCATTTGATATTATATATTTTATGGAAACCTAAAGGCATGCTTTTATATTTCAGACCTGCATTGTAAGTCAGGCCTGTATAAAAACTTTATGCTTACCTCCGTATTTTCTGTATACATGAATTTTGTATGCAAGAGTTTGTTTTATTTTTTAGTTTTTATGCTCAACTTTTCCTACCTTTAGATAACGCTCTATTGATGTGATATATTTTTATTTTGCTAATACTGTTACATGTTGTCCCATCTCGGCAGTAATGACTGTGATCTTTTAAGGAAACGGAATAGTATTGGGTCATTTTGATGCAACCTTTATGACAAAATCACATAGTTATATGTACAAAAAGATTTTAAAGATAAAATTTCTGTGTTCATCTAAAAAGTCCTGCCTTGATGTAAACTGTCAGAATAGCTTTGAAATGTTTTATGCGCATAGCTAAATCTTTCCTCGTTTAATCTGGCTCAGTGGACGATAAGCAAAGTTCTACAAACTTCATTCTCAGCTCAGAACTTAAATGGCCAAGACACTTAGACTCAGAACGTAGACTGGCCAAGGCTCTTTATGTGCTGGACGTAAACAATTTTCACAAAAAATCGCTGATTCATAAGCTGCCCTATATTTTACCTTATCACTATAGGATGAGAAACTTTTTTGAGCACCGCTATAAGATGAGAAACTGTTATATGTGATGAGAAATTTTAAAATATCACTCATCATTGGAAACACAGACATAATTTGTCGTGAGAAAGAAATGCATTGTTAACGACTTTGCAAAGCATTCACTAACTGCTGAGCATGCCTTTATGTCTCCTTATTAGATGATACCAAAAATAAATGCCATGTGGCGTTGCGTACAACTTAGTAGGAGATGCTATGAAACAGTGGTGGCGCCAGAAATCTCCCGACAGAGGGCTTGGAGCTTCCGACAGGGGGGCTAAAATGACTAAAATAAGCAGTTTTCGTACGTTATTTTGTCAAATTTGCTCCGACAATAACCTAAAATTTCCTCCGTTGGGGGGCTAGATGCTTCCGACGGAGGTGCTGTAGCCCCCCTAGCCCTCCCCTGGCGCCACCACTGCTATGAAATGATCCTCCGAGCCGGATAATACATAAAAAGCAAACAGCGCAAGGGAAGGCTTTCCAGCAAGCCTCATCTCATACCCTCGTAGATACCATAGTTACTGCTGAGATGTGACTAATATCCAACCATCCACAAGATCACATTTATCGTATGGTATTTTGCTTACAGGTATCAAAACACATGGATCACTTTGACGCCACTCATAACACTCCTCTCCCGTCTTCGTACTTCCGCTTCCCGTGGCATTATTAGATGGCTAGGAGACAAAGGAGCTGTGACAGGACGATCTGCCAATGAAATCCATGGTTTTCAGTGAAGAAAAGAACATTTAGTCTTTGCACGATTTAGGTTTTCTATAGAGGTAGATTTTCACTAGATTTTGAGTATGTTTTCAAAAGTTACGAACATCGCTCCAGCTCAACTGAGTTTTTGTCCCTTTGTCCTTCACGGAAACTTCTTCATTGTTGTCATATTTCTCAGTTACAATCATTTTTTTACTTAGTATTTCTTACAAACCGTCCATGACTATTTGATTTTCAATGATTGGTTTCTTGCAAAAAGTCGACAAAAGTGTAGTAATAGAAAGGTACATCGTTTTCTCTTTTTCCAAGTTGTTTGAACCAACAACATCTAATACGAACCATATGAAGTTTCATTAGAGAACATGTATGACAATTCACGAAAGAGTTCCTCCATGTTTTTTTCTGACTGGGGACTTCACCTCTCTTTGCTCTCCTTTTTTGTGATAGGATCCTTGTTCTCTTGGTTGATATTTTGCTTACTATGTGGAAATTAGTTTTCTTTGGCTGTGGGATCTCAAAAATTTAGTGATGTGCTTCTTTGGAAACGTGTATTTGTATTCATTTAGGCCTTCTTGAGCTATGTTTTTGCATTAAATTAATTGAGGCTGGCCTTCTGTTTCTTTTATAACCAGCACCGCCACCAGATTTTAGGTGTTCTGCCTTGCTTCTTTAGGTGTCCGTGCATTATTTAATCGTCTTTATGTCTTTTTGCATCTCCTTTGATGGGGTTGGGTGCCCAGAGGTGGGTGAGTGTATCTGTCTTGATGGGAAAAAATTTCAGGAGCCATTCCCTGGACAGACTTGGTTTTTTGTTGACCGACCCCAACGCCTTAAGAACAAATTTTTGGTTAAATCAACGAAGCTGCTTGTTGTTGAGTAAAGTTGACTTTTCTTTTTCTTTGTGTTTTACTAGTATTGCTATGAAAAAAGAAACATTTGAAGCATGTTCCTTTCGAGTTTTCAATTTATGTTCTGAAGTTTCAAACTCTGAAAAGCTTTAGAAACATGTTTCAAAATATTTGCTTTTTTCAAAGCAATTTTTAAATTCTGTACCACGAAAAGCTTGTTTTGCTAGTAATGGTTTCTAAAATTCGCCTGCTGATGCGTTGTCGTATTTGCGTTCTGCCCCAGTTGGATTTTGCTGCTCCACCAAAGCAAATCAAAAAGATATGCTGGAAAGGCCAATGTTAGGTTTTGTGTCTTGCTTTAGGTCTTCATGCGCATTTGAATATTTGCAGCTGCTAATGGGATAGCACAGCTAATGAACGATAGCAAAATTATTATCTTTTCAGACGAAAATAAAGCACAATGAATGTGCGAATGCTAGATAAATCTCTGTTAACCTGCCATTTTTTGTAAATATTGCAGAGCTCATAGCGGTTATTCAATCCCCTTTCAAACTTTTCTTTGTTCCGTTTCCCTACTACAATCAGAAATGTTCCATCTTCCCTCTGTTGATAATTCTATGCTTCACACACTGTTTCGTTATCTCTAGCAGCTTTTAACGTTTTGTGAAGTTTCTTTCGATAAAAACACCTGCTTTTAATAATTTTTTGAACATGCTGATGCCAGAAGATAAAATAGAATTCAAAAGATCTTCCAATGCTTTTAGCATTGCATGGTGTGTCTTCGGTTCGTTCAAAATCGTCTTTGAGATTGCTGATTTTACTATCATGGATTTTAAGTTTGGCTTAATCTTGTGGCAAAACCATTGATTAAATGAGGCTTGCACTAGTGCTTAACACTTCCGTTCATTCCTTTCAGATGACCCTGCCAGACGTTTCTTGTAACGATCCTCTCAACCAAGATCTGCTGTCCGTAAAATGAACTTGAATGGACGGAGGGGGGGCTAAGAATTCTAAAATTTCAGAAATTTTCATAAGAGCATAAGTGCAAAAAATATTCAGTAAATTTTGAGTTTTGGTTGGTATTGGTTGTGAAGCTCCCGAGACCGCCCTGCATCGGTAGTCTCAGCATTAATAGGTAAAGCATATTATCATATCAAAATTACATTTATCGTGCAGGTTAGGAAAAAATGTATGAAATGAAAGAAATGAAATGTAATGAAAGAATGAGAGAGAATACTATAATGTTTTTCTCTCAGGTATCCAGTAGCAGTAGCCCCAAGTAGCCCAATCTTTTCTTTCGAAACTAGACGTGTGCTCTTTTCAAAATCTTAAAGGCTCTTGCGCAACCGGCATGCTTAGCGACAGTTGTCTTGAGAAATTGACTGTGTTTTTTATTTTCATGCAGTACGATATTAGGTCGGTCTTTTAAATTATAGCGTGCCGGTTGCGCAAGAGCCTTTAAGGTTGAGGCAGCCTTTCCACTAGCCTGGGTTAAAACATATCCGGGTTAAAAGTTATCCGTTTCTGCGTCTCGTTCCCACTAACCCACCTGAAAAACGGATAAGTTTGAAAACGGGTGTCAAAGTGGGTCAGTTTTTACCCGGGTATCTTTTGACCCACCTGCGAGTTAATGGAAACGCCGAAACCCGGATAACTTCTGACCCACTTGCAACAACAGCAACGTATAAAAATTGAGACGGCGCCAAAAATCAAAAAACAAAATCCTGGATGTCAATGTTGCTTCCATTGGCTTACAACGATAGAAACTGAAAGATTATTAATGCAAATACTGATTTCTCTTACAACTTTTCACCCTGGATACATTTAAACCCGGCTTAGTGGGAACGATCAAAAACGGATTAAAAACGGGTCGAAGAAAAATGCCGTTTCCATTGACTCATTTAAAAACGGATAAATTTTAGCCCGGGTTTGTTTTAACCCAGGCAAGTGGAAAGTTGAAAGGCTGCCTGAGTGATATACACGGATGTACAGTAGAGGTTCAAGGCCTTGCCAACTTGTCCAGTTCTTTGTTCACAACACAGGATGAGGAGGGTCAATCGGTGTTAAGTTTTCAATGGCTTTTCATATCAACATGACAACCAACTGTCTTTTTGCATAAACAGGCTCCGGCTTAGGGATTTTAAAATGATCTTATCGTTATCCCTTTTTGTTTCTGTGGCTCAAGATTGATTAGATGTCATTATCATTTCAAACAATATCTAATGTCCTATTTAGTTTTTCGGACTATAATCCAATCCTCACCCCCTTGTAATAGGCGTGTGTCTGCTCAGTTTCTCTGCAAATAGATCGCCTTAAAAACAGCTAGAGGTTCGCTTCTTTGGCGACAAAATTAGCCCAAAGGTCATTTCCAGCATGGTTGCAGCATCAAAAATACATTTGAATTCTATAAAAGCATGGTCTTGTTTGGGCGTGAATTCATTGTTGATTTTATCTTTTCCAGCCATTGAATATTCAAATTATTAATGTATTTCCAATTCACATTTGACAATGCATTTCGCAAAAAACCTTTTATCCATTATATCTTGAGCCAGCCTGCCGCGGTCATCCAGCATATCAAGTCTCCCCGTTCAAATCTTTTCATCAAGAAATGTAGTTTTTTCGATTTGCGCTTTTCAAAAGGGCCAACGGCCACTCATCAGGGCCACGGCCTTAAGCCTCCATCCCAGCTGGAAGAAGCTAATGAAAGTTCACCCTTGCTGCTTTGATGGCACTGTAACAGCATGTGATGGTATGCTGCGAAATGGCTGGTGATGTCGTAGCTGCATTTAGAACAGTTGTTCTTTTTATATCCTTCAGTTGGCTTAGTGTGATGTATTTACTGGTTTACCGGGTGCCAAGACTGGAGAGAGAGGGTTGTAATCATTATCAAGTTATCGAGGGTGGCCTCAAAGAAAAAACATTGCTCAGACGCTATGAAGATTCATTTTTAAACGACGGTGAGATAAAGATATTTGGTGAGGATTTACCTGAAATGGGTCTCAATCTTGCAAATCCCACAAAGATAGCTGAATCTGGTTCGCTAAACTTACCTTCTAAGAACTTGAAAATTCCTAAATCAATAAAAAGGGATTCAAAAGAACAGCCAGTAATTCCAGTGGATAAGAATATTGACTTTGTCTCGAACGTTTTTAACTGTACGTTACTCGAGTCTATGCGTACATTTGAGGTACTAGGCTCCGGATACACAAAGGTGGTAAGGAGGGGCATTCTTGGCGGGACATCCTATGCCTTAAAATACACCACGTCGAAAAATCAGGATATTATTAAATGTAAAAGCGAACGGCCGAGTCAGAGTCACTTTGAATGCTACAACTTGGCGAAATTTAAGTTACTAAAGGAAGCACTTCTCATGAACCAGCTGCAGCACAGAAACATTATCAAAGTAAGTTCTTTTCTTTTTTAATTTAGCTATTGAATGCAAGATCTAACTTTTTTGCTAGTGGTGTTGACATCGTTGTAGGGGGCCAGTCTGCATTCGAGACAGGTTTTGCGCCAGATCTGCGGCGATCACGATGCTTTTATTAAAACGCGCCAGCAGTTGGGCCTGTTTGATGTGTAGTTAAATATGAAAATTTGTCCAGCCGTCGTATTGGCGAGCAATCAGTTTCTTGATAAGTTTTGGCTAGTTTCCGTGGCAAATAAAAAAATTTCCAGAATTTATGCTCGACTCGGGGGCTGTAGCCCTTCTGTGCCCTTATGTCCCTACGCCTATCCTTATTTGAATTATGTCCCTACGCTCATTTTTTATAAGGACCAAGGGCTTAACGCTGCAGCAGTTTCTGACTTCAGTGTCGCTAATTTTCACCTATTTTTAATTTGTCATGCTGGATGCTTAATTTCATACCTCAGTATTTTCATTACAGAAGGTAAGAGACTTTATAAGTTATTTGTGACGAACTGCGAAGAAAGTTTTGTTATTTGCATCTATAGTCATATTTCATATTTCACTTATGCAAATAGCGTACGAGATTTTGTCTAAAACAAAAGGATTTCTGGGGATTTTCAGATAAAACAAAAGGATTTCTGGGGATTTTCAGATAAAACAATAGGATTTTCAGAAAAGGTGTAGGAGATTTTCTTAGAGTGATTTGCCCCTCGATTTCACCCAGTCAATCTCATTGCTGGAAAACAACGAAAGTTTGGATTTTCTTTCTCTTTCCAATTTTAAATTGTTTCTCCAATATTTGCTTGAGTAATTACGTTCCTACTCATTACTTAAAAGCAGTAAGACTTTTATTTGGGTGTTGTTATTAAAGAGGAACGTTAGAAATTTCCTCTATACTTCAAATATATTCAACATGATCTGTCTTATCTCTAGTTCTCAGCCTATCATCGACCTTTCCATTGATTCGATTCTTCTGTGGGTTCATGGTTTTTTTAATTAAATCGGTGGTTTTCAGGTATAATTAGTGGGTTCCATAAATTAGTTTCCCCTTTCCAAAATGCAAATCAACAATGCTGTCGATTCAGCCATCAAAATACTCCACAAAATTAGTAACCAAGATCAGCGAATCCACCCAGAGAGGAAAATTGTGTCCAGTAGTGTAGCTTGACCTTCCGGACCGTGGGTGGAGGGTCGTCAAGAGTATGATTTGCCGACGAAGACAAAGTTGAAGAAAAATATAGGTGCCATTTTGCCAATTGAAAAATATTTACTAAACAACTAACGGTTATGTGAACCAACTGAAGATTTACCAACCAACTCATGAAAATCGGGTCTCACACCCTTACGACCCCAGCTAGCTGCACCCATGATTTTGTTTTTAGTGTATCCAATCAGTCTAACCCTCCACCCCCACCCAAATTCTAGACTTCTGCTTGCAAATTCAGCTGTTTAATAATATTTGCTCCTCCCATTTAAACACAAAGCCACAGAAGATTTGAGAAGATGAGTCGCTTTCATTGGACGATTCATCCTACAAATAGTTTTCTGTTTGGTTCCCAGAATTCCTTTCTGGTTGGTTCTCTTTCTATCTCTGTATTGCTTAAAACTTAACAGTTCTGTCGACCTTTGGTAACATCCTCACATTGCCATCTAACCATTCGTTATTGGATCCATCTGCTGGAACAATAAAGTCTTGAATTTAATAATGCTGAATTTACTTAAATTATGTTAATAATAATCACACAGCTACTTATGCTAATTATGTGGTTTTGGGCTGTGCTTATTGTATTACGTTTTGAAACTCTGTATCGTTGTTTAAGCCTCAATAAATGAACATAACACTGCTGGAATTCAGGTAACCGAAGTTCTGCGACAGCTTGAATTTGCGCTTTTGATGTAACTTCAATTTAATGTATCGATGACACTTCTTAATTACTTGTCGATAAGCCGTTTTGTGGCATTTGTTTTTCGTGACGCAAATTAATACTTTGTAGACATGAAAATAGGATTAAGTTTAACTTATTCATTTGCGGTTCCCAACTCCAGCCTCCAGACTCTTTGGCCATTAGACTTACATGGTTTATTCAAAATGGACGCTATAGAAGATATTATAACCTTCTCTAAAGGCCCGTAGACACTGGGGGCAGGGAACAGGGGGCAATGATGATAGCCCCCCTCAATTATTTGGTAAAATTGCGTTTGAAGACCTTATAAGCGCAGCTTGATCTGACTGTATTGCGTAAGGCAGGTATAGAAAAAGCTATATTTCTATCCATGCTCCCCCTTTCCAATTTAGCTGTCTACAGGCCTGTTCTACCACCGCTTGTTGTCAGGTGTTGTACCACTCATTATCACTGCCCTCTGCAATCAAATAAATCATCGACACTAAATGGGGCGAAAAAGCAGAATATGAAATGTTTCAGATCACATCCTTCGCCACGCCCTTTATAACACCTGACAATTCCAAGTTGATGTCGACTTTCTACCTTACCCCTTTCATGATGGCTCCCCTACCCCATTGGCTGAAGAGTATTTAGACTGAAACATTCAAATAACACTGTTGTTTAAATATGTTACCCTGGGTGCCAGAGTGTCCATTTTTTAGTCTAAGAAATATAGTTAGAAGTTAGTCACAGAAATATTTATCTTCTACAATACTATATCCCCTGATTCACGAGGCTCTGGTACCCAGGATATAAATACATAAGAGAGTCGATGAAATTTCAGGGGGACTATTCCCCCCCCCCCACTTTTTCAGAAAGTCGGTCCTTGAGATTCTTGCAAACCTGATGAGAAAACTTCGGGGGGGGGGGGTATGTACGTTATCTAGATCGTCACATTTTGATGAAATTTCTTGGGAGACAAGAGTTGTATCCTCCGGAAGAAAATGTTTCAATCAGGGAAAAAGGGCGTGATCCAGAAGGGTGTGGTCCCTTACACCCCTTTTGTCCCCCCCCATTTTTCCTAGGCTGTAGCCGCCACTGATTAAAACGCAAGAACTGACATTTTAGGGCAAGGAATTGTTTAAGGGTGGAGGATTGTTGAAAAAACTTACTTCCAGAGTTGGGGCTTGTTCGAGCCGTCTTTTCGAGGGGGCCAATTCGAGGATTTACAAAATGTCAAATCTTTGAAAAAGGTTGTGGTCGCGCTAGAGGTTCTCGAATGGTTTTCCTTCTATCACATCAATGTCAAAAAAGAATGCTTATTTTTTAGGTGTTTGGCGCCTGCCCCTGGACTTCAAATGATATAGAGGGTTCTGAAAGTGTTCTAACAGTGGTAACGGAGCTTGGAAAGCCTTTGGATGTGATCAAGATGATCCAGATACCATGGGATGTTAGGCTTCAGGTAAAACACTTGTAACCTTTTAAATTTGATGCATTCCCCTCTCTTTTCCAAAACCCGATATACTTGCTATTTTGTAAAAATAAAATATTCCCCAAAAGTCTTAAAAATGCGAAATCTGCTGCCTAGAACATCTTTGTTATAATTGTATGCACCATGTTTTGGCCAAAGGGATATGAGATAACTTTCCAGCCAAAGTATTTTGTAATTGATAGATTCTTGTATGTTTTGGAAAAACTTGGTACCAGAGATACAGATTTAACGAGGGATTCTCGCAATTGTTTATCTTGTGGACATCCAAATCATGATTTTTTGCTCTGAAGATTTTTTACATAGAATGAATAGTTTTGTGGATTTGGCATTACCTTCTTGAGAGACCACAGAAACTGCAAAAACTTGTTTAAGTACGAGGGTGGTCAAATAGATGTGATTGTCACTTTCCCGTTTGCGTTATCGATAATTGATTTTTTTATCTTGCTTAATTAGTTTAATTGAATTAATTTTCAAGGAACTGTGTAAGAACAATTACAGTGAACAAGATAAATCATTAGGGAAGGTTCTGGTGGTCAAAGATTTTGATCCCAAAGCAATCGTTCTTGTTCTGGGCTTTAATCCTTGCTTTATCAGTAGTAGCCTCGTCTGAGTGATTCTAGTTACGACCTCGTTTTGGACATTTCTCCAAACTTAATCATACGACTTTTTCAAGCCATGGTTTTATCGCCATAATTTTAGGCCGAATACAATTTTTCATATTGTTTGAGCTTATATTTAAGATTTTACGGAGAAATGAAGTTTGAAAGTTTGTAAGGGATTTGACCGCAAAAATCGTTTCGGGGGGAAACTTTACCCCCCTAGTTGCCAATCACGGTCAAATCCCTTATAAAATTTCCATCTTTATGTCGTAGCAATACCATAATGAAAACTTCGAAGTAGATTAGAATCATTGCTCTCAATCCGAATCTGAGGTCAAAAATTTTGTACAAAAGAATTTGAAGAATTTTTCAAAATGAGGCCGTAAGTCGAATTGGTGTATAGCGATCACTCTTGATTAATGGTTGTATTATAGAAACTTGTGAATTTGACCTAAGGATCTAGAATTAATAAAAACTGTAAAGGCATTTTCGTCATTTTTAGATGGCAATTCATCTGGTTGAGCTGCTGATTTACCTCGACCAGTCTCCACTGGGTCCGCTTGTAATCAAAGATTTTCGAATAGAGCAGTTGGTTATCAAAGATGACGTCATAAAACTATCTGATCTAGATGACATTGATGGTAGACATCAATCTTGCCAATCGAGAAATGATTGTTTTGTTGGTGGAGCCATTACAAACTCTACTCTTCCATGCACCAATAATCGATGCACAAACTTTGCATCCACAATAAATCTTTACAATCTTTATAAAATATTTCTGGACTATTCTTTTAATTATGAAAATCCAAGGCTGATTGGCACAGAGTTAAAGTTGATTGCTGACGAGATTGTTTCCTTTCGAATTGACCTTAAGACATTACTGGACAAATTGCAGCGAGTTACGTGGAGAATCCAAAAAGGTGTATTTGCACGAGAACTAATCAAGCAAGGTAAGACCGAGGGAATTTAATTTTTCTTATAATGATGACATAGTCTCAAGAATTGTAACATATTACTAAAGGATGTAAATGTGATTACTTACAGCGAGAAAAAAGAGTCTGGTTAGACGAGTATTCATTTTAAAAAATTTTGGGGCAATGGCTACTTGGCCCACTGTACTTTGTTCTATATCCCAATTCCTTGATTGCACTTTTATTTTGGCAAATTTATGCCTTTTTTTGCTTTTCTCTGTATCAATTCCCCTCTTACTAAATTTGCTCCTTGTATTATTTTGATGTCCTAATATTTCACAAGTGAATAACCTTTCCCTTTTTTCTTTGCACTTGATACAGAGATATTTATGAAAAGTTTGTTCTGTTTGTGCGTGGGGCCCCTTTTCAGGACTTGACCCAGACATCACTTACATGGGATCTGACTATGGTAAAATTTTCTGTAAATTATACACAATTACAGTATTCTCTCCAATTAGCGGACACCGTCGGGGCACGAGCAAGGTGTACGCTAATTGGAGATGTCCGCCTGTTGGAAAGTTTTGCAATGTAAGTCCCAAGTTTGAAACTAGACCCGAGTTTTGTATTTAAAAGGTGTAATCAGTGGTGGCGCCAGGGGAGGGCTACAGCCCCTCCGTCGGAAGCATCTAGCCCCCCATCGGATGAAGTTATTTGAAAGAGGTTGAATCGTGGAGGTGGCTATGGTCTGGAGATTCCAGTAATTTACCACTTTCATGGACAAAAAAACTTAGTAAACTGGACTGTAAAGAAGCTCAAAGCTGTAGAAAACCAACTAGCTTGTCAAAAGTCAAAGTGTTTGAATAGATATTTGAACAAATATTCATTCGTCTCAGTTTTTTGTTCTCTTGCTCCTAACATTTTTGTAATGTCCGCTAATTGGAAAGAAAAAAAGCCAAATTGACTATTTTGTGCAAAAAATATTGTCCGTTAATTAGAGTGTCCGCTTATTAAGTGTCCGCTTTTTAGAATGTTTTTTATAAGACTTTGACCAGAAAACGATCGGGGAAAAAATTGTCCGCTAATCAGAGGTGTCCGCTTTTTAGTGTGTCCGTTAATTGGAGAGAATACTGTATAACTTTAACAATTTCCAACTTGAATTGATTAAAAAATTACTGTTTACCGATCCTTCATAAAGTGCACGATATGCCATAGTGTTAGAGGGTGGTTCTAAGTAGCTACTCTGAATTTGAAGCGTAATCTGACCAATACATCAATACAATTGCCATATTGTTTCATTACGGGTGAAACGTGGAGTAGAAACTTAGAACCTTCTTGCTCTTTACACCACAAGCGTACAACTTGAATTATACATATTTTAACAGTTATGCTTATATAAGAAAACGATTAAATAGTAAGTTAATTACTTGTGTTATTTGTTTACCTAAATGATATTTTCCCATTTCCGCCTATGTTTGAAAGGACGTAATCTTAGCGCCTTTTCTCTCTAAGACTGCTGACTTCGACTGCTTCATTATTTGACAGGCAGGCTGTATTGAAGCTTTGTTTCCGTTACTGTTCCTAGTGCCACTTTATATAGTCAGTGTCTCATTAAGACTAGAGTCTGCCCAGAATAAAATCTTGGCTCTCACACCGATTCCTTCTCTAAAAATTTAGCAATTTTGAGGTCAAATTTTTTAAAAGGAACTTAAGTTTGAATGTGTTTTTTAATGATAATCAGGCAATAAAACTGTGATAGCGATCAGTGGCTTTGCCAGGGGAGGGTATGTCGGGTGATAACCAAAACATGGTCTAACATAATCTTCCAAAAATCGATAAAAATCCTATCGACTGAGGGTAGGACATGTTTTTTAAGCCTGGCTTTTGAAGACTAAAATGAGACAGGGCGTAGTCTAATAGACCACGCCTATTACTCTCGTTGAAGTAGCTGACCCCGCCCTAGATAGGTTCAGAGCTGCCTTCCGTTTTTCCCAGAGTTAGCCATTTCTCGTCGAAATAGAAAGAATATAAGATTTCTATGAAGGTTTTATGAAGAATAAAGGTTCGGCTCCACTTCAATTTTTATATCATAGCATTTTCTTTAATTTTCGCAGCAAACAGTGAAGCAAAGAAGGTAAAATTTGATGTTTTCGCTGATGCAACGATCTTGGGGCCAAACTATGATTATTACTGCCTTGAATCAAGATCTTTGTCGACATGTGAGTTTGCTGTCTGGAGTATCAAGGAGGCAAAAGCTTTATGCGCTATGAGCAGAGAATGCAAAGCCTTTGTCATCATACCACAGAGAAATTGGCTGGGTAGGTGTAGTGACATTTAGTTCGTCAGCAGGGCCGTTGCTATGGGGAAGCGAGGTTGTGACACCCTCTTGAAAAACGTCCATTGCAAAAGCGAAGGTTTTTAGCATCTAGTTTGGGTATGTTTTCAAGGAAATTCAACGACAGGTTGTGATTTTTAAGTGTATTTATTTCTTAATTAAACCTAGCTGCATACGTTAGCATTGTTGTAGTGTTTTATCACTAAACAACGATCAGCAGGATCGACAAAGTATTTAAGGCGGAGTTCAGAGTAGAGTGGATGAGGGAAATATAAGATTGTTAAAGAGGGGTTTAAGGGTTCAGCATTTTGAAAAAATGACATTCTAGGGGTAATATGCATCTAATATAGAAATATTTCAACATTGATTTTGAACTAAAAGAGATCCTAGGCAATATTCATAGCCTTCTTATTATAGGAAACATTCATTACCTTTTTCTTTTTATTGCGCGTTGTAGTTTTATCTTGTTTGTTACTGACATTTTATCTGGTCAATTTTTAACGACGGCTTCCTCGAATGGGGAGGTTATAATACACGCCATACCTCGACCAGGGGCGGATCCAGAGCAAATTTGAAGTAGGGGCAGTTGGTAGTGCGGGCGCTGAAAAATGTTGACGAGTGTACGCTGTATACAACAATTTTAGGCCCTAACTACTGACAGAAGGCTCTTTATTCACTTTTGCAAGGAAATTTTCACAGTAATTGTTGTATACTTTGAGGTAATCCTTGAAGCAAATTAACTTATAAGTCTTAAAAAGGGGCGCACAATTTACAAAAAAGGGGCGCCAGACTTACTTCAACTCGGTGAGGGAGGGGCAACTGCCCCTAGTTGCCCCCCTTAAATCCGCCACTGACCTCGACCCGCCCCTGCACTCGATTAGAATCTTTGTTTTATATGTGGTAAATTTCTACCTTTTTTGCCAGCCATTCCTCTATTTTGACAAAAAGCCTTGAAACTTTTGTTTTATTCATCATTTTGTGGATGATGTCAATAGACGAGGATGAAAAGTTACTATTTACTTTTTCTAGGTCAGATGATAGTAACACTAAAGAACAGTGGAAGAAATCTGACGCCAGTTACGAAGCACACAACATACGTCAGACTCGAGTGAACTGGTTTAACAACATCAGTGATTTTGAATATCGTGCTTCATACAACAGCATGCGTGCTTTTGCTTTAGTTATTCAATAAAAAACACCTAGCAAGAGTATGTTTCAACTAAACCTTGAAATTATTAAAACTTAAAAACATTTCATTCCCATTCAAAAAATAAAATTATGATTATTGATAAAGAGGTTTTGTACGTATTTGCCATTTGGAAATAAACATTTTTAGATTTGATGCTAAAGCATTTCAAAAATGGCAAGAAATGGCTTTTTGATGTAATTATAGTTCATGGAAGAGCGAAATGTTAATATTTCTGTAGATAAGTATATGATAAAAGAATGTATATTTAGTTTCATTTCTCCCTTTACTTTTAGTTGTTGTCTACACAGAGATATTCGAGTCATTTTTCATGCATGCAACAAAGAGGATTTATGCAATGTTGATAGAAATGAAAACTAAACAAAGTTACTAATTCAAAATGCCTCAAAATTTCTAGGCTAGATCCACGATACCTGTAAATGGGGTGGGGTTGTTTTTTACTTATTCTCAAGAACTCGTTTTTTTAACGTTTCTACTGCATAACATAAGCCCAATTTTAACTTCATAAATTAATTATAGCCCTCTTTGAATATTTAACTGGTGCGAGGATGGTTCAGCGGTTAGAGTCGCGGACTATAGATCAAAGGGTTTGGGGTTCGAATCCCTGACATCAACAAAATTTCAGCCAGAATGATGGGAGTCTCCAGCTCACTGGAATTCCTGTCGTAGGAATCACGAGGCAGAGTACCCTTGGTACCAGAGCCTCCGTGACAGTGTTGATCGAAAATAGTGGAAGGACCAGGACACTGCTCAATAAACATAGCTTGTCGGTGTCTTTATAGTTTCTTAGTGTCCTAAAAGCTACCTTCGGATGCTAGGTGAAAACCACAGGTGGATCAACTGCACCATAACTGCAACCATACCTGTTCACTGTAAATTTAAAAGCTCGCAACCCTGTGTATCAGAGGAGTGATAAGAAAAATGAGAAGGAAAATGGAGATGGAATATGTAAGAGAGAAGTCTTTTTCTAGTTTATATTCATAATGTCCGCTCTTCTAAAACTTTGGAAGGACATATTCAGACCTTTCCTTAATAGGATCTCGGTTCTTTTCCTAACATTACAAACTGTTGCGTCTGATTCACCTGCGAAAATGTTCGATTGCTTTTTTAGAGTGGGCCACAATTCAACGATAAAGCACACAAAGTTGTCAGTAGTTTTACATTTATTTTATCTTTGGTCCCTCTTGTAGTGTTCACGATTAGTCAGCTTTTGTTTCCTACATATGTTGATATGTTTTGGTCAGTGGCGTTGATGGGAAAATTCAAAAAAGGGGCGATAAATTTAGATTTTTCGACAAACATTTAATAAGAGTTTTTATTTTTTCACATGTCATGAATCATACTACTCGAAGATTGTTCTTCTCTTCTTCTCTGAAAAAAAGCATTTTTAATTACTATAACTTATTGAAATTATTTGGGGACAGGGGGTGACAAGATTCACCGAAGGCCCCAACCCTAAATTGCAAAATCTCCTCGTGTTTTAAATGAAACATTGTTCAAATTACATTTTACAGTAGCTCAGCTTCAGCTTATTCTTAATTTGTTCTTAACTTTTGACCAATTTTGATACTCGTGTTCTTATAAAATTGTTCTTTAAAAATTGTATTTTTTGCTCTGTTTCCCAAAACTAGATTCTTGGAACGTCGTTAATTCAATTCAACCATCAACGGACACAGATCAACGGATTGTATGATGTAATGTTAGGCCCGTTGGGCATGCGTCCTATTTTTAAATGAAAACAAAACGTTTTCGCAAAGTATTGAATGATGTCACAAAATGGACAATATATTTCTACAGTCCCAAGAAACTTTACTTGATGCATCGAACGGTTCGTCGGATGTTTTCCCATTCGTTGTTAATTGCATAATCGGGACACTTTCATCCCTTTATGGTTTTGTTTTTACTGTCTTGAATTTTGGATTTTATGGATTTTGTTCCCTCATATTCAGATGTTTTAAAGCAGTATATCTTATGTTTCATATATTCGACACCTCTTTGGAATTCTTAAAGAGCTTGCTTCAGTTGAACTATAGTTTAGTCACACGTGGCCTTGACAGTGGAGTGCAAATCGTGACAACCTCATACAGTCGTCTTCAGTCATTTATAGCAGCAATTTTCCAGCTCATTTTGGATATTCCGTTTGCCTGCTTGAGTTTTCTCCGGCATAATTGCTTGCTTCTTGCTGAGCTTCTATTTGGTATTGCAGAGGCTGTTTGGAGAAAAGGCTCAGAGTCATATGAGAGCTTGATGCAGTTATTTCTCAAGGCCCTTGAGACAGTGGGATTTACATTATGCCAGTTATATTCTCGCCTCTTTATTGCAGCAAAATCAGGCATTAACTCACTCAGTTACTTGCAAGGCTTGTTTAGTTCAAAGCTACTAAAGTACTCTGCAGAACTGTATGATACTTTCAGCTGTGCAACTGAATTTCTATGGCAGAACATTACGATCATTTGTTCCAAGATGATGTCATTGCCAGAATTTCTGTATCATTCCATTTACTCTACCGTTGCTACAGTATGGTATTTCATTACTGAAACAACACAGCAAATAGGCACAGTCCTTGAAAGCCTAGCTGAATTCATCATATTGCCATTCAGCTTAAAAAACATAGAGGCATTGGTTACTTCAGTATTTGATCTTTCTAAAAGTATTGTGCAAATACCATTTAGTACAGCTTCTTTTGTTGCAAATGGTGCATATGAGATAGCAAAGGATATCAAAGATGAGGTCTCAAACTATATTCAATTCATTGCTAGATCCTATGAATATATATCTGCCATTACAGTATGGCTGGTTATTGTAATTGCAATATTTATGACATTAATGTCAGTTTGTTTGTTTGTATCATACTTGTTAAGAGAAACATATCTTTTGAGAGCATTATTGAATTCTGGACGGAATATTCAGAGATATTTGTACCATGTGGAAGAGGACAACAGAATTGAACTGAACACTGAAAGGCCAAGGGACCAAAGAGATACAATTCATCAGGAAGCCCCTCAAAGTCAAACTCCCATGGAAGAACTAAACTCAGAACCAACTGCACAGTCAACCTCTTTCATTGAGGATGAAAAAACGTTATGTATAATATGCCAAGATGCTGAAAAAACGATTGTTTTGCTTCCATGCAAGCATCTATGTGTATGTAATGACTGTGGTGAGAGACTATTTCAGTCTGTGGGAAGAAAAAGAGATTGCCCATTATGTCGAAAAAGAATTGAACATATAATGAAGGTTTATGTGTAGTATGATGGACTATGAACTTTAAAGTCAAGAGTAACCAGAGAATTTGAAAAAGGTGTTGTCCTATCAGTGCGATGAACATAGACCAGAACTGATTTGGAGGGCTATGCATAAAGAACAGCAAATTGCTCACTTTTATAATTGAAACTCCTCACTTCATGTTTTCTTTTGTTTTTGGAATTAAGCTGAAATCAAACGGAAAAACAGAATGGGATAGCAGCCTGTGTCTAGCTCAACAACAACCAAAAGTGCAAAAAAGTATATATTGCAGTTTAACAAAACTTTTAAGCTGCTACTGAATATATATACCCATGTTCATTCTCATTGCATGATAAAACAGACAAATAGGCTGACTATAGTCGATGGACATGAAACATATGGTGTATCATAACAAGATTTTTGGAGGGGTAATTGTATCCCCATTTCCCCCAGCAGCTACAGTCCTATCTACTGCTATGAAGATCCCATTTTAGGCAAGAAAGTTCAGTATAGAATTGTAAATGTATGTTGTCTAAGTATTCTGGTTCTGCATAAATGCCATGAGCTTTTGTAGCTATTATATTTTATTTCCTTTTAAGACTAAGGTCTAAAAGAGAGAGACAAAGGTTTTAGATCAAGGAGAATTTCCCTATTTATTATCATTCAGTTGTTGTTGCTCTTTACTGTTGTTGATAAACTGCGTGCAATGTAGTTAACTGACAACCCAGAATCTGCATCCCAGAACATGCCCTACGACTGTAGGCCTGTATTAGTTTGCAAAATTACTTTCCCGGAAATATTTATTTAAGGGTATCGGCTTTTATGTAATGGAAAAATTTATCCATCATATTGAGAATCTCATTTACGAAAATCCAGCATTTATTAGAGTTTAAGCATGATATGATTTAAGGGTCATTTATGGTTGATTTTCAAAGATTCATTTTAAAAAACCCATCTCTTTGGATATACAATCTAATCCCGATAAGTCAGACCTTTAAGGGTTGTAAGGAAATTGTATGGCTCGGCAAGTGTCAGGCTTATCCACTGTACCACTTTTGACTTGAATAAGGTAGAAAGTCAATGGGTTTTGAAAATCAGTCTTTATGAAAATCCGAGTTATCCAGAACTGTTTTTTTAAAGATTCAAACTGCAGTGTGTAATATGTTTTCTTCTTGTTATACCAGAGTAAATTTTAACAAGTAGCCTAGAAGCTTTCCCTACAAATTTTAAAAATTTATCTTTAGATGGATTCCCCACTCCAAGCACAAATGACTCTTTTTTTGCTATTGCTTTAGAATATGATGCTGTGTTTAGTTAGGCTGTGTCGAGGATTGTCTTCATTTGATTGTAACAAACTAGTACGTAACATAACCTGGTTGTGGTAATATTACACATTCCATGTTATTTAACTGTAGTACTCCTTTAATTTGAAAACGAACAGAACAGATGAAGCAAAAAGTTTTTTTGTGATATCTATAAAGTATAAGAGATGATTGTGAAATATTCTTTGAGACAACATTTGATAAAATGCAGAAAGACGTTTTGTTTGATTGCGATCGGCTTAAGCAGTAAGTTCAATTTCTCCTTGATATTAATTTTCACTTGCGAAATCAACCGATCTTTAAAAGACAAGAGAAACGAAAATTCCTATATCAAAATTTATGAAAATTATTATCGATGTTTTAAATGATGACTGGAGAGAGTTAATCTTGACTGTGTGAGAAGGAAGAACCGCTGTCCGCTGGATTATGTGAATCTTGCAACGAGTATAGTATAAATACGAAGATAAAATTCAGGAAGAAAGCAAAACGGCGACGAAAATCCAATGTAATAAGATAAATTTTCAAAATAAATTATGTCAAACGAATACTAATATTTCGCCCCGGCATACAGGGCTTCATTAATCTTGACTGCCGTTTGAAGAGAAGAGAAGAGAAGAGAAGAGAAGAGAAGAGAAGAGAAGGGGGGAGGGCATGGGGGCATGGCCCTGGAAAACTTTCATAGAGGTAGCATAATACATTCACAATTTTTGCGGATAAAATTCTTCGAAAAAAATTCGAAAAACTTTTCAGGATTTCGTCGTGACAAAACTTCGTTTTACCAAAGCAGAGATAACAAAATACTACCAATATTCTAAGAGGCAAAACCATCAGCCCCGTGCGGACATGGGGGCTTGAGCACCCTCTTGGAATTAGGCTTAACCTTCTTTGCAGCTTTTTCATACAGAACAGCATTTCATCAAAATTTAAGGGGTATATTTTATCTGTTAATTTATAGAAAAATCAAAGAGATGCTTCTAGCACTCAAAGAGTACGAATCTTTATAGACAGAGCATAATTAAAAGTATAGGTATTTATATCTTACAAGAATCGGAAAGTTTGAGACCACCTTTTGCTGTCTTTAGAGTTCACAAAAGCTCAAATACCTTGAGTGAATGAAGGAAATAGTGCAGTTGAACTATAGAAAGACAGAGGTGGAATCTTTTTAAATCAGCGACAAAAGACAGTTGGAACAATTTTTATCAAACGATGGTGAAAACGAAGTTAGTTCAGCAAACGACAAATCTTATCAGATGTTGATGATGCCAACGATAAAGATGGCATAGACTAGATTAAAAGGATACATAAATTTGCTTTTTGACCTCAAATGATAGTTTATCTATGCGACTTCTCACAATTTCTTGAAAGCAAAAAATTTCCTCGCGACAAATTTTCGTCTCATTAAAAATTTAGTCGAAGAAAATTTCCTCAAAATATTTGTCCGAAATTTCGTCACGACGAAATCCCCCCCCCCCCCTGGAATGAAATTTGTTGTTTTACCTTTCACCAAGATTTCAGGAGAAAGCCTCAAACAGGCACCGCGGAGCAGTGGGGGCTGGAGGGCTTTAGCCTCCCACTTTTTGCGAAAAATGCAAAATATCGAGAGGTGAACCTCAAGTAAAGCCTCTTTTTATTCGGTTTTAGCCCCAACACTTTTTTTAGATCCCCACTTTTCTCAACGCTCCGCGGTGCCTGTCATAGCTGATCAAATTATATGAAATATGGCTATATAGTACATTTTTGGAAGGAGCTGATTTTATAGATGGGGTCTCGTGGGGGAAGGGGTAGGATGCTGTAAGAGGAGGGGCTTCCAATAATATTTCATTGTCAGATTTTCCCGCGTGACTTGCGTACTGGTTGTGCCCCAATGCATCATGGGAAGTTGCAAGCCGCCATGTCTAATTTCGAAAGGGCTTTCCGTTGCGGAATGCGTGCGTGGTACCGAACTGGCCTACGTTTATAGGGAACTTTTGCTCGTGTCTAATTCGTAAACAACGAAAATTGGTAAAGCTCCTTCTTACTCATATATGAGAACATTTTTACTGAAGTTTGGGTTTCTAGATGGATCCAGAGGATCGCCTTCAAAAGCCCCAGGCTACTGGAAAAATTCGTGTTAGCCATGGCGGGCGAATTCGTGCTAAACCCTACTCGAGGAAAAAAGTTAAGCAACCTGAGGAGGGTGAAAATAAAGCAGTTGCAGAAAAGGTATACTTTAATTGAACTTTTTTCCATCTAGTGATTCACGAAATTGTCTTACCATCGTGGACATTACATGTAGCATGCCTTCAAAGTCTGGTCTAAAATTATTTCCTCACTATGCTTAGGCCTAATTTCTACTAAGATTTAAAGCCAATGCTCCTATTGGTCAGGAAGTCCAGGTAGTTTTTTGACGAAGCAGTTGTAAGAAACTGTTTTGCAAAAGACATAGCGTGACTGTTGTGCAAAAGACATAGCATGGCGTGGCTGTTGTGCAATATTTTTAAAAAAATTCTAAGGCTCTTTACAAGATGGTACACTCTCTTTTTAATAAATACTATAGTTTTTTGGCGGTACAGAACATGAAAGTGGCTTGAAAAAAGCAAACATTTTACAGCATATTGGCAAATTTTACAACACTTTACAACATATCAGAATAAGGGTCGGAAAGAACATGATGATAAATGTATACCCAGTTGTAGATCAGAATAGGCCAATCAGAAAATCGCAAGCACAAGTCCAGTGTAGTTGACCAATCAGTGCTGCGTGCCTAAAGAAAAATTACCACTGGAGTCCAAGAGAGTTATGGTGCGAGGATGGCTCAGTTGTTAGATGTGCTTACTACAGACCCAAGGGTCTGTGGTTCGAGTCCCTGGCATGACCAAACTTTCACCCAGAGTGAGGAGAGTCACCAGCTCTCTGTAATTCCAGGCGTAGGAATCATGAGCTGTGGTCACATCGAGAGGAAGGACCAGGACACTGCTCGATAAGCATAGCTTCTCAGTGTCCTAAAAACTACCTTTGGATGCTAGGTAGCAACAAATACAAATACAAATTTATATGAGAAAACAAACTCCTTACTGTCTACACAAAGGCGGCTTTTTCATTTGTATGTAGATTGATTCCAAAACTGTACACCACCTTTTAATGTTCCTGAATTGTAGAGGGATAATTTGTGTAGTGAAAATTTGAAGCAGGCCTCAGGTTGTCTCAAATGCACAATTCTTAACAGGGTTGTAGGGCTTTCATGTTCAGAAATTGATGTGCATGTCAAAAAAATTTGCATGATCAGTGAGGGGCGAATGATTGAAATTTATTTCACAAAACAAATAATGAAGTTTTTTTTAATTGAAAAATTTTTTAGAATGAACAAAGTATTAATTTGCTAAAAATGTTCAAGTTCCGTCTCAGAGAGGCCAAATGTCTTGAATTACTCATCACTTTCTGACTCTGACAAATGGACTGTTGATCGAGCTTCAATTTAATTCTGAGTTTGGATACTTTCTTGAATGTCTATTTTTATATATTTTTATATTATTTTTATAAATATTTTGCATTAGGGAACTTAGAAAAATGTAGCTTTGCACCAAGTCTTAAAAACTCTTCCAATCTCGCAAGAACATTTCACCATCGTATGCTGCAATAAGCTAGTGGCTCTTGAAAGTGTAGGGCTAATGTGACAATATTGTCATTTCCATATTAACTCTTGTCTGACCAAAACTGGGGATCCATCAATCTCATTTTGGAGAACACTGTTGTAATCTTCAAACCTTTGCTTGAGCGTCTCTTCGCAAGCTGGGATTATGCTCTTCAAGCACTTCTTTCCCCAAAAGGGTTGCAAGGTAGCTTTTACAGTAAGGTACTGGCAATTTGCCTGGTGCTTTCTTTTGTACCCAGCTTGGAAAAGCATTCCTGCAAATTCTCAACCACAGGCACTGTGGAGCAGGTGGCTGGGGGGGGGGGGGCTTTGGCCCCCCAATTTTTACAATAAAAGTAAAATATTAAGAAGTGAACCACCAGTAAAGCCTCTTTTTATTCAGTATTAGCCCTGCACTTTTTTAGACTTTTTTAGATCAGGCGGGCTATCTCATTCACTTAATGTCATTGTGCCTAAAGGAAGTTGGTGCCAAATCAATTCTCATCTATGAATCAACAGTGGCTGACCTAAGTAAAACTTATCTTGCAACAAACGTAGCAAAAGCTTACAAAACATAGATAATGTCATTTAAAAGCCATTCAAGTGGACAACTGAGCTGGTTGCTGATCATATACCATGACGTATGTTATGAAACCAAGCATACCAGGGATTTTTACAATAAGAAAAGAAATCAAATTGATATTCACCATTGTTGTGAAAATTTTTGTTCATCATTATGGCACCAAAAGCTAGAAAATCTCGTTTACGTGCATAGAATATGCCAGTCCACCTGAGTGGGATAGATCGCGTTCTCGTGTAAACACTTGCAAAAACCATCACACCTGTGGAAACCAACCCACTTAAATGGGCTAGCCCACTACATGTAAAAAGGCCCTTAGTTGACCTTGCACATGCAAGAGATACTTTGATTGGCAACATAATATCAGCATCAAAAAGGTCACAAAAAATTATCAGCATCCTGCACTCCCTCTCTACAAGGAAAATATTTATAACTGGATGTGTGATTTATGGCTCTCAAATGAAACACTGGGCGCATGCCTGCAGCTTGCGGGCTTTTGCTTGCCCCCCACTGAAAGCTCTTTTCTCCTTAGAGACCCAATTCTGTTTATTGGGGTGCCTCCTTAATCATTTGTTATTGCCCCTAGTTAAAAAACCAGGGGTCCTAAAAATGTCAACTTATTCACAGAAATTGAAAAGCCTAGTCTGCAAGATTGGCAGTTGTCAGCAAGTTCTTGTATTTTACATGGTAAGAAATGTATGTTGGGCCTTCTTGCACATTTGGCAGAAACTCAATCGTTAGTATGGCATGTCTGACAAATTGAAGTTTCATTCCCTCAATTAATGTTTGACAAATTTATGAAACAGGAGTTTTTTCTATTAGCTTCTCACACATTGTGAACTTCTCTGTTGCAACAATGCACTATATTATGTGCTGACTTAAGGCTGAAATACTTTAGGCATTTAATTTCTACTTGCATCAGTGATTGTTCCAGGTTTAGAAAGCCAATGAATTAGTATCCATACCAATATCCAGAGGTGAATGAATACCAATCATAAAGTGCTTCTTTAATAAAAATGTCAGACCACCCACAACTTCTGGAAATTGTCTGTTTAATTTTATCTCCATTGACAGTCATTGTCTCAATAATGAGAATGTTACCTTGTATAATGAGTTTGTGCTGATCATTGCAAAATGTTATACCAAACCTTCCTTTTCAAAAACGTTTTTAAACTGTCCTGGCAATGTTAACATATATAAGGGGCGGTGGTAGACCTCTAAGGGGGGAAGGGATTTTGGAAGACAATGGTCTTTTTCCAAGGCAATGATCAAATGTTTTGTCATCTTATCAGCAATATGCTTTCCCCCAAATATTTGTCCATGTTTCGGCCACTGGATAGGGACTGATGAAGTTCAAATACCATGTCTTTTTTTAGAAAATTGGTGGTTGATACTCAGTTGTCATATTTCTGTAGAGCTCGCTGCTGCTCCCTGTGTTGTGATATACATGGCTTTCGTGTTCAGAAATTGACGCGTGCGACAAAAGAAATTGCGTGAGCAGTGTGGGGCGCGCGATTCAAGTATATTTCATAAAACAAAATAATGAAGTATTCTTAAACTGAAACGCTTTATTTAAAATGAACAAAATACTTCATGTCCACGTTCCGCCTCAGTGAGGCCAAGTGTCTCGAATTCCTCATCATTATCTGAATCTGACGAATCGTCTGTTGATCAAGCTTCGATTTCTTTCTGAGTTTGGAATACTTTTGTGAATGTTTATTTTTATTCTCTGTTTCATGTTCAAATATAAACCCACAGCTCTCTCAATTAGTTTATACCTTTTATCTTTATTCCAAAGAGGATTATTGCCATAAACGATCAAATTATTGCTAAGAGTACTCTGCGAGATAGAGATGCGTTTCGTAGTTTGCTCTTTCAACCTTCGAAATTTGAGGAAGAAATCGATTTAACGACGCTTGCCTTTTTGCACAGGTTTGGAAATTAATCGTGAAGATACGTTAGAACGGACTTCCATAAATATTTTGCATTAGGGAATGAGGAAGTAGCTTTGCACCAAGATCTTAAAACTCTTCCACTCACGAAACATCTCTTTATCATATCTAGTGGCTGCAAAAGCTGGTGGTGCTTGAAAGTGTAGGGCTAATGTGACGATATCGTTATTTGTATATTAACTCTCGTCTGACCAAAACTGAGCTGGGATTACACTCTCCAAAAATTTCTTTGCCGAAAAGGGTTGCAAGGTGGCTTTTACAGTAAGGTACTGGCGATTTGCCTCATGCTTCCTTTTGTCCCCTGCTTTGAAAGACATCCCTGCAAATTCTCCACCACTGGTATAGCGGAGCAAGGGGGCTGGGGGGGAATCAGTAAAGTTTTTAGAAACCTATTGTGGTAGAGAATCAGTTTTTTTGCTTATGTTTAAAAGACTTCTTGAGTTCTAAGCAATTCCGTGTATTTGGTTTTTTTTTAGAATGGCTATATTATAGTAGAAAATTACACACTACCATTTCTGATTACCATTTTTGGAAGATTTTCTTTGTAGTGATAGAACTTAAGCTATTTTGCTATTTGATAAGGACAGTAAATGTTTTAAGATTATCAACAGCATTTTTTTATGTTTGTGTGCTTATACTGTATGGCTTTGCAAATTCAAATAAAGACCATGTTTATTGAAATCTAGGATTTGTAAAATGTTAGCTTATGTACAGAATTTATGCTGCAAATGTAAAGTTTGTCAACGATTGGCTTGAACATCAATATTTCAGAATGACTTCATAAAGTCTTACGTGAATTGAACTGCTACTTATAGTATTGTTTCAATTAAGATTAGAAATTGTAGTTAAACCAGGTAAACAATTTATTAGAATGCTTTTTAGGCATGCATGATTAATAAAAGTCTTTGTTACTTTGTTATTGTCAGCTGTCTTTGTTATTATTATTATATATTCATGAAATACATGAAGCAACATGTTTTTGAAAGCACCTGTAAGTTGTGATTGTAATCATTTCTGTCCTTAGTGCATTACCAATGTTGACAAATGATGCTGATTAAAACTGTTTATCTCTTAGGGATTCCTTGGAAAGGTTGCTAGCTACGTTGTGCCACAATGGATATCAAGCTGGTTCTCAAATAGCAAACAGGTATGTATGCTAAAAAGGCATGGCATCACGTTAGTTGCATTAACACATCAAGCATCAAAAAAGTCTCACAGTATTTCATATACACCATCATTATACCAAATTCTTATGTTGTTTAATTATCTCTTCCAGTGAGATAAAGTGTTTTTCATGTGATAATTTTCATTTCCTCAAAATTGGTTTTTTTTCTTTTGTGAATATGATTGCCTTTTTCATTTTTTAAAACTTACAGTGAGAAAAGATTTTGTGTGACCAAGTGTAATAAAGTCACAAGAAAAATATGATTATGATTATAACCAATTCTTGAATAAAAATATGGTTATGATCAAGTCTTGCCATATGTGAAAAGACTGATTTCATATGTCATATAGAATTTATAATTTTTTGCCATTGTTTCTGTTTATTGTGGTTTTTCTCCTAATATTTTTTTGAAATCATTTGAAGATTTCTGAATTGAAAAACTTTGTATTGTTTATAAAAGCTACTGCCCGTCAGAATATTCCTATGCAACTTCATCGTCTTCTATGTCATGGCTAAAGTGGCAGATAATATTATTGCAGATATTCATCAAAGAATGACTTCATGCTGGTTAAGAATCATTTGAAACATTACTTTAAACCTTTAGGCTTTTGAATATCTAAAAAATTTTCTTCACAAATTTTTTGTTTTGCTCGTTCAATATTTGGGCTCCTTTGACAAATTGGGTGTATGAAGACCAAAATGCAATAGCATGCCTCTTATGAAGACTGGTCCCATTGACAAACTGCATTTAACCCAACTGTACAGGCTTTTTGTGTCTAATTTCGTAAAACCATCTCAAATATTTCAGATTATTGAAAACATTGTGTAATTATTCTGTTATTTTGTTGTTATTTTTCTAGTTGAACAGAATTTTATTCTTTCTTGAAAAGTATCTGCTGAGAAAGGTTTCCAGACATAAATTTCTAGTTTCTCATTTCCTAACTCTATTTTTTTTCCAATCGTGGTCAGTCCCGAAAGATTAGCTGTATATGTATACTGTTTCTCCATCTCTTGTCCCAACTGTATTTTTTATTTTTATCAAACATCCTTCTAATGTATGATGTGGGAGATCATTGTTTATTTCAGATTATTTCAGAAAACAAAGAAAGAAACACTTTGGAACTTGATTCTTTCATACCTATCAACTTCTTGTGCTTTTGTTGGAGAGGTATTCTCTTTTAACGATTGTCTTCCCTGTCTTGCCTAGACTATTGAAGAAGAGGATCAAGGAAGTGAATGCAGTGAAAACAGTGATGATGTCAGCAATGATGATGAAGTTGATGACAATGATGAGAGCAGTAGTTACAGTCATCCAGACAAATCAAATCAAATTCTAATCAAGGAAGACCAGAACTTAATGATCTCAAATCATGTTAGTCAATCTCGTCCAAAAAAGAATATAACTTCAACACCAATGGTTAGAAATATGCCTTCTTTTACCATCTTGAGCTCAGAGGCTAGAGATCCTAAAGAGGGTTCATCAAAGCAAATGACAGATGAAGTTGAAAGAAACAATACCACAAAAAGATCATCCTTTCAATTGCTTAGTGTTGATACAGATGATGGTGAAGATACCCTACCACCAACTAAGCAAGAGAGAACAGAGCATGGTCCATCTCTGTTAAATTCTTTTCAGTTCTCTATGGGTGCAAAACCAAGCGGACCTCCTCAACGGTTTCTTACAGCAAAAAACAGACCATCATTTAAAGTTTCAAGTTTTGTTTCATCAAGCCCACTTATACCTGAAAGTTCTGCATCATCAACTTTCTACCCTGGGAGGACCTCTTTTGGGGGTGCCTCGTCATTGCAAAGTAGGACCATAAAGCGACAACGGGTCTCCCCAGTTGCACTGAGTACCCATTCAAGGAAGACCAGTATCAAGCCTAAATCCTTGTCCAATTTAAGAATGGGTGCTGTCACTAGTGATACTGCAAGAAAGATATTGGGAGCATTAGAGAAAATGTCATCTCCAGTACGAGATGCATCAAAGCTACCAGGTTCTCCCTCATCCGTTCTATTTAATCCACCAAAAAAGAGAAAAGAAAGTTTGCTTAGCTCTCCTGTAAACCGTTCTAGCAGGCTTGCTAACAAGCCACCTGCTGGAGTGTTGATGACTCCTCAGTCATTACATATACAACAACTGGAAAGACGAAAAACTGAGCCGCAAATCTTGAAATTTGGAGAAATAAGGCAAAGTGTCCCAGTTGGTACTTTCAAGTCTCGTGGGCTCCCTACATCATTTTCACCTGAAGAGAATTACAAGGCAGGAGGGAAAATGAAACATCCACGTCAGTCTTCGCACCAAGCAGCTGTGAAGGACATACAGGAAGAACCCGTCAACACCTTGCCAGAAATCCGAAATGCACCACCTTTAGTTTTATCAAGTTTGCCAAAAATCAGTTTTGAAAATATAACAGTCAGCTCTGCAAACACCCTTTCAGGGCAACCATCAGTCATCAAAACAAAATTACAAACTGAAAATGATAAACAGGTTGTTGGAAGTTATCAGTTTTCTGAACCTGAGAAAATATCTGATGAAAGTTTAAAGCCAGTAGGAAAGGGCATAAAAAATACCTTCCAGTTCAGCACACCAGTTGCAAAAGATGCTGCTGAGCTAAGGAAGGAAGCAAACAAAGAAGGTAGCAAAAAAGCGTTGGAGGGTAATGCTAAAGACTTATCAGAACCAAACAATACATGTGATCAGTTAAAGTCTGATGAAGTCAAAAAAGTACAATCTAAGTCAATGTTATCAAGTAAATTTATGTCAACGAAAAGTGGTTGGGAATGTGGTACCTGCATGGTGTTCAACTCAGATAACCATGTGGAATGCATTGCTTGTAAAAGTAAGAAACCTAGCCACAAAGTCGCAGTTGAGAAGTCTGAGAAAGACATTGGTGCAAAACTAAATCATAAAGAGCAAGTTACATCGAATAACAAAGACACTCTTCAACTGAAGAGTAAATTTAAACCACCTGAAGGCTCCTGGGATTGCCCACAATGCATGGTAAATAATGCTGCTGCAAGCGAGACCTGCATTGCCTGCTCTACTTCTAGAAATACTGTCAAGAAAGAGTCTCAGAAGTCTACAGTTAGCAGTTTGGCATCAAAATTTAAGGCAGATGCGGGCTCGTGGGAATGCCCAACTTGTATGTTGCAAAACAAGTCAATGAGCCAGGAATGTATTGCTTGCAGTGCAAAGAAACCTACAAGTGTAAAGGCAACTGGTAGTGCACCGGCATTCGGTAGCACTTTAAAGGCAAAGTTTGCAGCAAGTGCAGGATCATGGGAATGTGATTCTTGTTTGGTTAAAAATGACAGTGACAAAAATGTCTGCATTGCATGCAACAGCAAAAAGCCAGAAAATAAACGCACAACTTCAAGTTCTGGTTCTTTGCTGAAAGGAAAGTTTGCTGCAAAAGAACAAACTTGGGAATGTGAGACTTGTATGGTGCCAAACAAGGCTGATGCATTGACGTGTATTGCTTGTACCACGCCCAAAAAGGGATCTTCTGCTCCTGCAAAACCAACTGTTCCATCCTTTTCCTTTGGGACTGGCTCTTCAATCGGTACAGGCAGTACAATTAATTTTGGTGTCGACAAAGACTCAAGTAAAGGGCTTGCATTCGGCAAAACTGCTGCCTTTAAGTTCGGAGAGAGTAGTGGGAGTGGAGGTGTAAATTTTGGGGCTGATGGTAATAAAGGATTTGTATTTGGATCTGCAAGTACTGGTTTTAGTGGGATTTCTTTTGGTAATAGTGAAAACTCTGTGAGCTCGGCTCCTGAAGACAAGGACAAAAAAGGTTTTTCTTTTGGCAGCACAAAGAATTCTGGTGGAGTGGATTTCGGTACGAACAAAGGATTCTCCTTTGGTGCACCAAAGTTTGTAATGAACAGTGATGCAGAAGCAGGTGAAAAATCTATAAAAAAGACTGAGGAGAACAACAATTTATCTCATGCATCTCCAGAAAAATCTGCATTGACAGGTTCTAATGCGGTAAAAGACCCTGAAATAATGCCTATTTTTGCTGCACCAGTGAAATCATCAGGGGGAATAAGGTCAATTGCAGATGCCGCCCAGGCAGGCCTTCTCAAGGTTCCTGGGGTTGGTGGTGAAACTACAGAGGCTAAAAGTGCAGTGATGAAAGCCAAAGCAGACCCTTTCAAATCGTCTTTCAGCACAACCTTGAACGGCCCAGTTCCTAATGATGTCAATTCAAAAACGAAAATTTTGTTTAATGCAAAGGCGTCTGAGCAGATGGCAAGTGATAATGCAGTACCAAAGACAGGTTCAAACATGTTTGATTTTGGATCTGCTGAACGAAAGAAAGAGCAAAATATATTTGGAGAATCATCTACAGGCAGTTTCAATTTTACTACCCCAACTTCAACTGATCAACCACAATCCATTGGTAACAGCTTTAGTTTTAGCTCGGGTAACCCATCTTTATTCAAGTCAGAGGAGGGGGTAGCTGGAGGCTCGCAGCCTAACGACCAGTTGGTTTCAAAAAAGCAGAGTCTTGAGGATACATCAAGCCAAGTAAAAAACTCAGTGCCTGGAAAGTTTAGTTTCGGTCAGATTCAAGAGCAGAATGTTTCATCTCTTTTTGGAAATTCGCAAAGCAGTTCTGAAAAACAGGTGACCTCGCCATTTCAGTTCAACACAGGTGCTGCTAAACCAACGGTTCCAGTCTTTGGACAGAATTCATTAGCAGGTTCTGCTTCGACTGCAGGCAAAAATCTTTTCGGTAATAGCATCGGCAATCCTATTCTGTCATCAAATACCACAGATTCAAAAGGAGAAACAAACTCGTTTGCTTTCTCAAGCAACCCCGTACCATCACTGTTCCAAAATGTAAAAAGCAATCAGGAAAATCCGTTTGGCCTAACTAATGCGCAGTCATTCAACTTCACTTCAAATTTAAATAAAAACCCAGGCAATTCGTTTGTTTTCGGTAGCCCGAAAGAACAGAGAACAGGGACCCAAGATATTGTAAATCCAACAGGAAGCTCTGTCGGAAACTCGATTTCATTTGCTAATTCAACATCAGATGCAACGGTGGCTAAGCCTTTTAGTTTTACTGAGCCATCTTCAGGAAACCAGGGCAGCTCACCATTTAAGTCTGGTAGCACGGAGCCTAGCAGCAACATTTTTGCATCCAGTACACCTGCCACAAACACCCCAGCTGCAGGGTTCAACTTTGGCGGTTCTCCTGGGACAGCTAGCTTCAGTTTTGGTGCAAACAGCAATGCGAATGCAGTACCTGCATTTTCAGTTGGGTCTGGATCAGCTTCACCAGCTAATCGTCCCATGCATAAAGCCGTGCGACGCTTGAGGAAGTAAATGTGATGACCATCTTGTATGCCTCAAGACCAATCCGACGTCTTACGCAATCGATGACAGCGACGGACAGACCTTCCGACTCTACCGTACGATAATGGTGAGGCAATTGACAGGTGAAGTTATATGCACCCACTGTCATTAATCACACCCACCCGTCAGGAAAGGTTTTTGTAAGTGTCTCGTGCCCCACTGCCTGCAACATGTGGTAGGAAGATGGCAGAAAACAGAAACTGAACCGACACAGTGACGACGTTTACAGTCCAACTACAGGATTTCAAGGCTAATGTAGGTTCCTATTAAAGTGGCGATATCAAATTACTGATTGATGTGAATAATTTTTACCCCATTTCCCGCTCTTTGTTTTAAGTTACTTTTTAAACCTATTTTCAAAGCAGTTAACTCTTCTCCCATCGTAGATCTTTAGTTCATTATTCAGTCCTGTAAGAGACTGTTATCCCTGGTGAAATCGAGCCATATCCAATCATGGTTAGGCTAGTTAGGGGAACAAATGACACATGTTATAAAGGTTTTTGGAAACATTATGACAACGTATTTGTGACACCACCACCCCATCCCCAACCCCCCCCCCCGCAATTACTATGGCTGTGTTTGTAAGAGGTTTTAAACCAAGGAGGACCTTTTGTTTTTATTTAGGCAATTGAATAACGCATCCACACTTCTCAGCTGAACGTAGTTTGTAAATTCAACTTAAATTTAGGTGTTGACTTCCCTTTGTAAGTATCAAGAATAAACGGAGAAAAACCTGTCATTCATTTTACCCAGCAGACAATGTCTGTTTTCATAATTGTTTTGTTTACAATTTCAAACTCGGGTATGTTTAGTGCAGGTAAAATAATGAGCAGCGATGAACGATGTTGAATTCTTTTTCTGTTCAATTTAGCTTAAGAGGATTAGTCGAGAAAATGAAGCTTCTGAGTCTAGCATGAAGCATATTGAACTTTGCTACCTTTTTTTTAGTCTTAGGTGTACTTGAAACATGCAGAAACTCCCTACGATAAAGTGCTTTGTGTTTCGCTTAATCGCCCAATGCTTTAAATAGCGATATATACAATACATTGAAAATGAGGTCAACTCCCAGTCCCTCTCGTTGTGTCACCGTAGAATATGATGTTTTCACTGTATGTTACAATTATATTGGCAGCGAATTAGTTTTTAAAAGTCGTTCGAATTTCAGGTAGATCTAAAACCTTCCCCAGTCTGGAAATTTGAAGTTAACAGCACCTCATTTATTGCCACATAAATAGTGATTTGTTAGGTCGTCTCTTTGTATGCGAGGTGACATCTGTTGACCAAACCTACTTTTATCATCCTTGTATGTTTGGTTTCGTGCCCCGACGTGTATGGAAAGTAATAAAGGGGCTATAGTTTGTTGTTTATCAGACGAACGTTTTGTCAAATACACACAGAACAGAACACTAGATATTTTCACAGACAACTGCAAACAAACGCTTTAGTTATTCTAATTTTGTCTCTTTAAATTTTTGTATCCATGTTGTTAGGCATAATTCGATGTGGATAGAGTTATGATCTTGCTAGATGTGATAATGTATAAATCTCCAAATCCTGACAATGTGTTTGATTTTTTCTTCAATTATTTTTAAGGTAATTTCCGTGAAATCTTTCTCATTTAAAAATATCATGTCTGGGTGCCTGTTTCTCTGCATATTTGGGTCGTAACATTCCGCACCAGTACCATAATCCTTCTTTCATTAGTTTTTGCTAAGGTGCTTTTAGAAATGACACTTCCTTACGAAATATGATCTATTCAACGCCCGTCTCTAATTAGCGACTCATTTGACTAGAACTATCCCCTCTGACAAACACCCTCCACCAAAACTATTTTTCGATCTAATTTTGTATTTTTTAGATTTGGCATCAGTTGACGTGAAAAAATTATCTTGCAAAATGTCATTTTTGTAAACACCCTTCTCAAGTATTCGTTCCTATAAAAGCAAAAAATGTATATGAACAAACGGCTGTTTATTATGTCAAATACGGTATTTAACTTGTTCACTTGCTGCGAGGTACAAACAATTTGAAGGAAGAAATCTTGATTATTGTGGTGAGACTTCTTCCATATTTTCCATTTTTGTGCAGCAAGTCTGAAATGCGGCATTGATGAATAAGTATAGATAAATAGGTAAGGGTAGACATAGATCAATAAATATTGTGATTTCTTATTCATAATAGAAATGATACACAGTTGTCAACTCCAAAGATAAAAGAACAAGGATAAACCGCCTCATTGGGATAAACTGCCTCGAGGACATCCCCAAATATAGTTTCTTCGTAGTTTCCCTGTGTCTGGACTTTTCCCGCCATTACTGACGTTGGATGGAAAAAAACATCTTTGTTGAGCTGTAAGTTTTCTGGCTACAACATTTCACTTAATTTCTGCCAAAGTATCTCCTGTATATATGCGAGACAACTAACAACTGATATCAAGTTAAGTATTGTGAGAAATAATTTTGATGTCCCATGTTTCAATGTATTTTTAGGCCATAAGACAAGACTGAGTTTGAAGGTCTGTTTAAAGTAGCTGCATTATGAGACATCAAACAGGGGCCGGATATGCTGCACCAACCCCCCCCCCCAAGTTAGGTGAAAATTTATGGTATTTTAGGCTCCAGTCGGCAGTTATATCTCAATGAATAATGGTATTCTGGCAAGATCCGTTTCAAGCCCCCTAAACGTTTTGCATCTGCTACGCCCATGCTGAGGGCGTGTTTTGTCGCGTTTTTAACCGATTCGAGGCAGTACACAAATTTTGAAAAGGAAATCATTTCAGTACACGTACAGGAAATATTTGGACTGGGAACCATGTCAAACATTGAAAGCCGGCAAGAAGGCTAACAGCCTGTTACAGGAAGTTGAGAGAGGGGACCATAGGCGCAGACTTATAGGCCTGCAGGGTTTGAGCCCCTCCTCACGAAAATTGGGGAGGGGGTATAGCCACTCCTGGGGATAGGAAAGTTGGCTATCAATTTTTTAAACTAATTTTTCATATTCTTGGTTTCACCTATAAAAATCATCTCAAGAGATTCAATCAAGATCAGAATCATTTTTCGTCTTCGCTTTTTGGTAGTAATTCTCCTTGAACGCTTCTACTACTGTCGAAGATAAGTTTCCTAGACAATTTTCGTCGCAACTTGAGGTTGAGGGACTTTTCCACTAGAGTTTTATGAAGATTATGTGGTCTACAGTGTCCATTATACATATTCTACTTGTATTTTAAAACAATTTCAATTCACAACGTGTTATATATTCAGCAAAATGAATCCGTTTTAATTCCCCGATTGCTGTTTAGGTAAGTGTTTGTTTTCTTTTCTGCAGCTCTAAAGGACAATAAAGTAAGTCTCAAAAGTTGAAAAAGAATATTGTGAGATATGCCAGATTAAAGGCGACACCTTTTTCACGAGCAAGATCAGGGGCGAAGCCAAAAATTTTTTTGGGGGTGTAAAGAAGTGCTTTACGCTGACAAAAAGGGCGTGTCTCACTTTTGAAGGGTGTGGTCAAAAGATAAATACTCTTATATACTGACAGAAAAGTTAATACCTTACAATTGTTGAGAAAGGTTCCAGGGTGAGTAAAAATAGCTTCTTTTGCCAGGCGAAAGATCTTTAATGTGCCGACGGACAAATTGTTGGGTGGTACCGCACCCCAATACCCCTCTTTGGCGACGCCCCTGACCAAGATATTCTCCGAGTTCCATAAGCGCAGGTAATGTTATGACGTCGTGAAAGTTTTTGAATTTTGACCACATACCCTGAAAACCTCAACGAAATGCCTCTAAATGTGCGAACTCTCTTGTTATAAGACAATCAGGTGGCGCCATATTTCTTACAATATTGCTAGTTGGCATCAATTGTCGTTATTTTAACTTTATTTCAAAATTGAGAGCTTGATACAGCCCAATGACTATTTGACGCAAATGCTGATAACACATGCTGGCATAAGGTATACTCAAAAGCGATTTCGCGAACAGTGACTATCAAAATGGCCTAAAAAAGGAAACATTTTATAACATATTGGCTAAAAGCTTTTTCGTCTGACACTCCTCAGAGCATAAAACGTCAGAAAAAGGGTCTGAAAGAACACGATGTAATATATATACCCAGTTGTGGGTCGAAATTGGCCAACCAGAAAAACGCAAGCACAAGACCGGCATGGTTGTCCAATCAGTGCCCCGTGCTTAAAGAAAAAGATAATTAGCTTGAAAACGAATTTGATGATACAATGAAAAAGTTTCCATATATCTGGGCATATTTCACGTAGAGTGAATGAAACAAAATTCTCAAGTTATCGAGATCTTCAAACAGTCTTTAAAGATTTTAAGGTTCCAGGAAATTTTATGACCTAAATTTGAGGGCCTTTTATGCGAAGCTGCACTTTTGCAGACGACCTTTTTCGATTACTTGAAACTTTACGACAATACCTGTAAAATGGGTTGTTTTTCTCTTTCACTCCCAGTTCAGTTCGAAATGTAATATTGTCAATGGATAGAAATTGGTCTACAAAAGTTAAAAAATGCGACTTTTGAAAGGAAAAGTTGTAGGAAAACTGCATTTAGCTATTTACCAACAAGTTCTTACCGTATTTACTCTAATATTCCCGCTGCGGGATTAGTGGTTCAACCTAATAAAAAAAGGCGGGATTATTTGAGAGGCGGGTTTATTGGAGAGGCGGGATTATTTTTTCAATGCCTTGAAGTCTAGTTTGAGGATACCGTTTCAACAAAAAAGTCTCTTAAACGTGATTGTGGCAAATCAGAGAAAACATTTGCAATTTCAATATGTATGGGGAGTTAAAATTTAATGGGGGGTGGGATATTTATTTTCACAGACAAAACAGAGCAGATATTGTGCTCAATAGACAGTAGTACGAAGTCAAAGGATCAAACGTCTTTTTATGCTGCGAGACTTGGATGTTTGATAAACTTGCAAAATAAGACAGCTCTTGGCCCTCTCCCGTCTAAGACATTATCACGTGATTTAACCCATTTATCCCAAGCATAAGTTTCAATCCTTGATTTCAACCCATACAAAGTGTGTAAAGAAAAGCAAATGCCAATCAATAGTTTCAATCCCGCATGCGGGAATAATGGGGAGGCGGGATTACTCTTACAATCTATGAAATACAAGCGGGATTACTAGAGAGGCGGGAATAAAAGAGAAGCGGGAATATTAGAGTAAATACGGTATTTTTTTGCAAAATTGTTTCTAATCTTTAATTTGGAATATATTCTGCTTTTCAAAGCCTGAAAGTAAATTTAAATATATCAATTGGTTGGCATATTGATACCAGGGAAACCTGACTTCCATGTAGAGATATTTAAGAGGTAGACGCCCCTATCCACCACTAACCGTGTTTTTTGACGAGAGGATCTTAAGAGATGTTCATACTCTTTAACTAAACATTTAGATAACGGTTCGGTAAGTCCCCTTTTCAAAGCCTCTGCCCATGAAGTGTGTCTCTCTATTTAACAACCCTCGTTTACAGAACTATCTCTCATTTATCTTGTGATCTGATTCGTCGATAAAGAAAAAAGTAAACAAACAATAAATTTGAGTTATTCAGACTCAGAACAACGAGTAAAACCTATCATGGTTCTTCTTGGCCTATTCTCAGGTTTTGGCCTAGGATATGTACCCCCGCGCCTTAGCTTGCGCTCTAGTCCACAAATGCTGCCACAACCCAGTATTTATGGACTGGGACGCAGGCTACCGTGCCCCCTCCTGATGATACTTAAAAATTATACGTACCTCTCCAAATTTTATGCCAATAACTCGTTCAAATACCCTATGTCCAGAGACTATATTGCTGATGGACTCTTGGAAGCTGTGATTTCCAGTTTCGGACAATGAACTTGCCAGGAGATGACAAATAACCTTAGCATCATTTACGCTGTAAAAGATGGATTCACACTTTTTATCTCTAAGACAAAAGTCACGGCATTGCAACACTGTGTGCAGATGCTTTTTATTTAGCTCCACTAAATGATTTTGTTGAAAAATGTACTGCTCCTGCACGTCGTAGCCTGCTGCCAAGTCGCACTTCTCCTCACTATTCAGGGTATGCACTATCATGGCCAAGCTAATAGCGATTACTTGTGATTTCTTCATTGGCATCTCTTTTATTGACGCTTGTACTTTTAATCTGTGCAAAACACATCAAATTCTGTACTTGGAATGTGATTCGATTAAGGGGCAAGAATGAAATACTCGAGCAAATGTTTTCTCTCTTGAAACTTAGATCGATGATATTGCACCTAGCCTCTACCTGAACTCTCCTCTCTCCATTGATTCCAACTTTTACTCCATTTATTTTACTCCTCTCTCCATTTATTTTAATGCCATACCTCCCTAACAAACACTGTTCCTCAAGGTACTGCAGGAACTTCGTGATAAGAGACCTCCAATCCCCTGAAACTTTGTCAGCTAAAATTGCTCCGTTAAAAAAGAAGTTTAACTAATTGCACTCAAGTGGCGATTGCATTTTGTTTCTGTAACGTTGCAGCTAAATAAATAATCGATTTATTTCAAAAAGCAATATAACTGTGTCCAGCAGGTTGCAGAGCAATCAAATCAACGCTGTATGCACATCAGCTGATGCTTCTATACAAGCTGAAGCTTTGCATCTAAAACATTTGTTATCAAAGGGATTATGCAAGGACCGAACTAAAAAGAATTCACTTTCATCATGGGCAAAATCCTAACAGTAATTTTCATTGTATTCTAAGAAGTCTAGACTCTCAACCATTCACATACCGACATAAATCACAAGTCACCTTCTTCTGTCCTAGTGTCATTTCCCCAAAATTGATACCTTTGGTGCCCCACAACAGCCACCCAGCTGAAGCAAATTAACATAAATAAAGCAAAGAGACATGTAGAAAACAAACAGAACGTTCTTATTGTTCTAATTGAACCTGTTATCTTCATGTAATCTATTAAGGAGAATCGTGTCTGTCAAAACAATTTCAAACATTAAGGAAAACGTTAATTGATTTTGCTTGTAGAAAAGTAAGTTTTTGGATCAGCGCATCTTGAACCTTTAACTTTTCGCTACTTTGATTCCATTAAGCATCTGACCTGCAACTGATTGATCTTCTTTCTTTTCGATTCGCTTGTGAACTGTTTTCATAAAGGCTTTCTTCTTCATTTTTCACTTTTTTTGCATGACTGCAATGATAGAAGTATTTGAGTGAGCCGAGAAAGTCTAGATTCTTATGGTAAGGCATTGACAAATTTGCTATTCAAAACTTTCATTTACTTCAAATAGAACAATATTGAGTAATGCGAAAAATCATTGGGTGTGCAGCAGGTGAAAACATTTGGTAACATTTGTTAGCAAAGATGGTAAAAATTGGTGTCAAAGGAGGAAAAAATTTGTCTCTAGTGTATTTTCCAAACATAAATTCATATTAGAACAGCACTCATTGTATATTTCGAATTTCGGGGGGGGGGGGCTGCCTCTATGTCCCCGTAAATCCCACCACTGAGCAACATCAAGTAGTAAATTATTATCCAATCTGTCCCGTCACTGAATTAAGAACCAATCGATGACTTCGCTTAGTAGCAGATTGAAATCTTCCAAAGATGTTTATTTCACATAATTAAACTCTAGTTTTTTTATCTTACCCAAATCATCTAATAAAATCTGAACTTTACCTTAAACAGCACTAACTTTATCTACTTGGCTATCTACTTCGGATATCAAAATAATTTAATTCTTCAAGCACCTGAAGTTTCTCTTGAA